AAAACATACAACAGAAGGGATTCGCTGGTGGTCACCCACCCAACTACTAACCTCCCGGCGTGTGGCTTAAGTACGGCTGAGCGGACGGGAAGCCCTGTTTTCCACACCCTGTGGTCGTATGTGTTAGAGTAGGCTGAGACGAAGGCTAAGTGGACCGTTGTTGCAAGATGCAAAAAGGCAGAAACAATAGGACATTCAATCTGCGTGGCGAAAACCGGCAACGTTCCTGCGGCGGGGGCAATAGCATGCCAAGGTGCCAAGTCTCAACCCTTTATCGGATTCATTTCCGCCTGGCTTACAGCCAAGCCTTGGAGAATTTGCAAATTCTTCCATGATTGACCTTCCTTGACCTTGACAGACACTGCAGAAGACCATTTTCAGCTTTACCATGTCAAGCGACATCGAGCTTGAGCGGCTACGAGGCTCTCTCGTGAGCCCGCCCAGCACTTTGGCGTGGAGCCAACAGATCCACCGGCGCATCCGGCGGGCACACAACTATCACACGGAACAGAACCTCCACATCAACCGTCTGATCCAGGTAGCCGAGGACCCAACGGCTGCGCGGCTGCTGGATGATGAGCCGGATACATCGTCTCTGCACGTCAAGGCTGCCATCAACACCTCCATCTACGGCACCATCCTCGTCGCCGCGCTGCAGATCTACGCCGCGGCGACGACCCGGTCCCTGTCCCTGTTCGTGACCATGGCTGAGAGCTGCTGCGAGGCCGTCAGCAACATCGGCCTGGACTACCTGCACCGGAAGGCGCGGAAGCTCAACCACTCGACCCAGTGGCCCGCCGGCGCGGGCCGGCTCTGCAACGCCGGCAATATCTGCTTTGCCTTTGCGCTGATGGCCGTCTCGCTCGTCCTGGTCGTCGAGTCGATCCGGTCCCTGGCGGGTAGCGATCACGAGCTGGGCAAGTTCGACGTGGCGGCGGTCATCGCGGCGGCGTGCGGGTTCGGTATCAAGCTGTTCCTCGCCGTCTACTGCTTCATCTTCCGCAAGCACAGCAGCCAGCTGCAGATGCTGTGGGAGGACAATCGCAACGACTGCTTTGAGTACGGGTTCGCCATCTTCACATCGGCTGCGGGCGCGAAGCTGAAGTGGTGGGTCGATCCGGCCGGGGCCCTGCTCATCGGCCTGGTCATCATCGTCACCTGGATCGGCACAGTCCGGAGCGAGTTTCTGGAGCTGTGCGGCCTCGGCGCGTCACCAAATTTAGTACAGGAGGTAGTCTTCCTGACGCTGCGTCACTCCGATCTGATCCTGCAGGTTGACTCTGTCCATGCGTATCACTGGGGCGAGGAGCTGTTCGTCGAGGTGGACATCGTCATGGCGCCGGAGCTCAGCCTGCGCGAAGTACACGATGTCGCCCAAGATCTGCAGGATAAGCTGGAGTCAGTCGAGGGCTTCGCTCGAGCGTTTGTTCATGTCGACTACGGTAAGCATTTCATTCTGACTTTGGTCATAGTTCTGTTCTGACTGATGTATTTCCCAACAAATTAGAAACGTCGCATATGCCCGAGCATCGCAAAACCCGCTGATGGAACGCACATATGATCGCGGGAAAAAAGTCTAGTCCTGAATTCTACAGGACTCCTCAGTGTACAATATTGGACCGAACAGGGAAAATTGACTTTGTATACGTCGATGACCTCCGTCTGAGGTCCGAGAGATGATAGGACAATTATATTGTTTATGCTTAGAAGGCTGTATTAGCTTGGCCTTCACTTGACGGGGGATATGACAGCAGATTACCTGATCATAACACTGCTCATTCAATGTTATTTCTTACTCTGAGTCGACTGCCAGACGCTATACCTTGAAAAGACTTTGGGAGGCTTGCTGCAGATGATAGAGAGTGCAAATCCCGATCCCGGCAATAACATCCTATGTAGATACGATCTAGCCGGCCATCGTGGTGCAATCAATCACATCATCATACTCAATCACTTTGGATTGCTCTGTTCGCTTGACCGTTCATCTGAGCAGCAGCAGCAGCAGCAGCAGCAGCAACAGCAACACCCCCCCTCACTTCAGAACCACACTCTCCCCATTCGCCACCTCCACATAATTCGGCCTCGCCCGCTTATACCCCATCTCTCGTTCCGCCTGCTCCAGGCCGTCGTCCAGAGTACGCGGAACACTCCGATAGAACCACCCGACCAAACCCCGGAAATCGAGGAGGGGGCTATGGGTCCGCAGCCAGTACCGCGCGCCCGTCAGTGCCTCGAGCCGCAGCCCGTTCTCCACACCCAGCTGCGGCACACCGAGTGTGCTCTGGTCGTCGATCCCGTGCAGCAGCGCGAGCGTTGTGAACGATGCTTCCTCGACCAGCGGTTGCACGAATGGCGGTTCGATGCCGTGGGGTGAATAGATGACGGCCTCCGTCGTTTTTCTCGGAGTGGTATAAGCGATCACGATCCCGTAATGGAGAGCGGGATGTGGCTCGCCGGTGGGGATGCGCAAGAGGTGAAGCCACGACGGCATTGGTGCAAGCTCCTCATCCAGCCACGGCGTGGTTGGCTCGTAGTCGGGGATATCTACTACCGTGTCGAAATAACCCCACGACCGGACGACCGCGGCGGCCTCGCGGGTAGCATACACTGGAACGGTGGATGCAAGCTGGATCAGTGTGTCTTTGTGGGTTTGGTCGCTGAAGGGATGGGAGACGATCACGGCGTCGATGCGGCTCTCCGTCCCACTGGGTGCGGAGATATCTCGTGCTAGTTGCTCGACTTGCGCGATGCTCTGGAACTTCTCCTGTTCGATGTGCGTGATATGGCTGAGCCAGGATGAGGTGATGATGGCCGGTCCGCCGAGCCATGGGTCGAGCAAGAGGTGGAAGTACCCGCCCGCAGGCTGGGGCAGTGAGATCAGCCAGGAGCTGTCGCCGTTCAGGTTGGTGAAGACTGGGTGGAGAGGTGACATGTTGGGTTTGTAGATTATATAAGGGGTGTGAGTCTGATAGTACTGGGGTGTGTGCTTTAAGTACGGGGTAACTATCGTAACCTTGTATGCAAGTTGCGTCAGCACTAGCCAAGCTGATTTGTTTCCGTAAGCACTAGCCAGGCTAAACCAGGACCACTTGCATCGTCCAGTATGTACAAAGTAAGACTTCTTTGACCTTTTGAATATCTGCCCTGAAAAGTCAATGATCCTTAGGGCCTAGTGCCGCTTCTTCCTTGCCCTACTTTCCCCACAACCACCCGAGCTCACCAATTGAACAGTAGCTTCTAAGAAGGTCAGCTTCATCGACCCCCTGCCAGGCCCCAGCCTAGCTATGCCTCTTCCATATCTCCTGCAGGTGCTCACAGACCTTTAATGAAAGATCTCAATCTTGCTCCAAACCTAAGCGCTGTATCTGCGTAGACGGAGGTACGTTCCCCCCGTCCAGCTTCATGCTTCTTGCTGTCTTGCAAAATAAATCACAGCACCGCATCATATTGACCGGAAGGTCCATACGCTGGTACTTGGTCTGTAAAGATTAAATATCGAATATTATTCATAGACATAATCTGTGAGGGTATTATGCTGTCCAGGAGATGTTCCAAGATATACTATTCTCCGGGGCTGATCTACATATACTTCTGATTCCCGGGGAGCTGGGCTTACTCTGCTGCGAAGATCTACTATATCACCGGACAAGAGACCCAACCCGGGGCTTTTCGAAGTGAAAAACTAGAAGGGGATTCAGGCCTTCGTTGCTATTTCGGAACGATCCGAAGGACCCCTACACGCCAGGCTTTGGGTCTAGTGGTTGTCCATTCATGATTAATCCATAAGATATCACCTTCCGATATAACGAAACAATAGAGGCGTGTGTCCAAATTTGTTATACAATATTGCTTTGTAGTATTAATTTGGTGTAAATAAGTATTTATGTATTTCTCACTGAACCCCTATTCCTGCAGGTTGATTATTATGTCTGTTGTAATCGATTTTGTTGTTCTGTATGTATAATTTCTTAGTGATCGGTATGACGAGAATTGAACATTCTAGATTTCGAGGGGAATGGCATAGAAACAAAATTTGCAATAAGGCGATCCAGCGAATTTTGTATAGTAAAACTAAGTAGAATTTTATAGGATTTCGTTATATACTAGGATTTCGCTTTATTGCTAGTTATTGCATTGGAAGGTCACGCAATATTAGAACCGCTACGGATCGGGGTCCTCTGTTTTGGAACCGGAGCTTACTGTTCTCGACTTTAGGCGTGATTCCTTACTACACTCACTCACTTGGCTGCATTATACCTACCTAACTACCCAGTATAATTTAACCGAGCTAGACTTCGACATAAGATTTGCTTTTAAAGACTTTATTACTGCTCTAACATTGGGTTCCAAAGTTATAAGAGTTATGCTTCTTAGGTTCCATGGTTTCCATTTTCGCTAATTGCGAACCGAATCACATCTGGTGATCTAGGTGGGTCTCCGCAATCACATTCACAAACACAACTAGCCTTTTAATATAGCGGTGCTTAACCCTCGCGACGAGCACCCTGCGATCTTTCTGATGACTGCCTCTTACCAGTACTGTGTGCGCGGAGTCGCTAGCCGTGGTGTCAGCAGCTGCAGTCCGTTAACAGCTATTATTTGTAAGCCCTTAACCACGACCCGGCAAGACGAAACCACGGTCACTGCGTCTTGACTGGTCTTTGTTGCACGCAAGTACGGGCTTCTGGGGCCCAAATATCGGACAACCTCGCCCAGCCGAGGGTAGGACCCTCCGGAATTCACAGGCGAGTGTCGCCTAAGCTCCCGCGCTGGTAGCGATGCTCGCCGGCCCGGAATCGTGTGGCCTCTCTACCCCTCCCCGGAGGCAACCCCGCATACCGGACTCGGGCCAGCCCACCTTCGTATATAACTCACGATCGCATCATGTTCTCAATCACCTCGACTAACCAATTCCACCACTCATAGAGATCAAATCCATCTCTCTCCCATTCCTCTCACAATCCAAAACATCCCACCGCCCGCAAAATGACAGTCGACAGCACCACCACCCCGTCCTCCTCGGAGGTCTACCCCCCGATCCCCCCCTACAAGGGCCGCTGGCACCCGCCAGCCGCATTGCTGGATGCCTACAACCACATGTGGATCGACACCGACGTGTGGGCCTTACCCTCCGAGATCCAATACGCCCTCTACCCGCAACCGACCCGCGGGCCCGGCGCGCAGGGGAGTTACCTGGTCGTCCTACCGCCGGGCTACTCGGACACCGACCTCGAGGGGCCGCGGTACCCGGTCCTCTACTGGCTGCACGGGGGCTTCTCCTGCTCCCGGCACGCGGAGTGGTCCCTGCGCTTCTACTACCGGAAGATGGAGCTGGGCAAGATGCCCGCTTGCATCCTGATCGCCGCGCAGGCCCTCCCCAAGGGCCGGTGGATCAACAGCTACGACGGCACGCGCCCGCTGGGCGACATCATGCGGCGCGATCTCGTGGCCGCCGTCGACGAGCGGTACCGCACGATCCGCCACCCCTCGGCGCGGTGGCTGGAGGGCCACTCGGCCGGCGGCTACGGTGCGTGGAATCTGGGCCTGAAGTACCCCGAGGTCTTTGGCGGGGCGTTGAGTTCCCTCGCCGGCAGCTTTCGCACCAAGCTCGCGGATGAAGGGCGGGAGGTGACGTATGATACGTATAACGGCAGTCAGACGTTCTTCACGGCCAATCATGCGTTGACGCTGCTGGAGAGGCAGTTGGAACATGTTAAGAGGGAGAAGACGGAGTTGCGGTTGTTGATTGGGGGCGAGGATGTGCGGCTGCGCGAGGCGCATGAGCATATGTGGGAGACGTTGACGGCGTGGGGGGTCGAGTTTGGGAAGGCCATTGTCCCCGGGGCGCCGCATACGGCGGAGGATGTGCTGGGGGGGTTGAACGATGAGGGCTTGCAGTTTTGGTGGGATGCGAGGGCCAAGGTGGTCGAGGAGAAAGAGAAGTGGATGTAATTTGCTTTTTCTTTTTCTTTTTCTTTTTTTCCCGCAGTTTGAGACACTTTAGAGTTGCCATCAATACCTCCATTAGTATCGCAGACTTGCTAGAATATGGGCAAACACCAATGGAAATAGAAGGCTCCAATTCATCTGAGATTGTCCACTTTTTTGAGTCTTGCCACGTTCCTGATAGTTCCTCAACACACTCCAGACAGAAGTATAGTGTTCTGATCCTTCCAACTCGAATAAAAACCCCAAGATGAACATCTGAAATATCGGATTACTACTTGATGTATCTACATCTCAACCACTAAAACTGCCCCCGGTCTCGGCACACTCACCGTCGACCCCGTAAACACCACCCCGCCCCCGTTCTCCTCCTCCACCCGCCATACCTGCACCAACCCGCTCACCGAAAGAGCCACGTACAGGAACCGTCCATCGGGACTAACCGCACACCCCTTGGGCGAAACCGCACCCATCAACCCGACCGTCTGCAAACGTTCCAACCCTCCCGTGGTTGGATCGACCCGAAAAACACTGAGCACATTGTATCCCCGCACCAGAGTATAGACAAACTCCCCGCCTGGATGCACCTTCAGATCAGACAGCAGAACTTTTCCTTCCGGTGGCGGATAGTTTGCGTCCAGCTCCCCTGCCGGTGGGAGGACATCTACCTTGGACAAGGAGGTGAAGGACCCATCAGGCTGGTAGGTGAAGGTCTCGATGATGGGGTGGTATTCGTAATTGACATAAAAGACTGGGAGGGTGGGATGGAAGGCGGAGTAGCGTGGTCCGCTACCTTTTGGAGTGGCATGGGATGCGTGCATGCGGAGAAGGGGAGGCTTGGCGGCGAGTGTGTAGGTCAAGAGTTGGTCTTGGAGCATGTCGCATTCTAGATAGAAGGTATTGTTGTCGTTGGTGCTGATTGGAAAGAGACTGATGGAGTGCAGACAAGAAGGCGGCGAGGCGGGTGGGTGGATGTGGATGTCGCAGGGGGCGCCGACGCGGCCGGTGGAGTCGAGAGGGAAGAGGACGGTGGTGGCGTCGTCATAGCGAGGGCGGATTGTGAAGCCCGACTGCGCAGTCCCGGTAATCTGAGTGGTTGTGGTGGTGCGGTTGGTGAAATGCGAGACCACCAGAAAACCACCGCTGGGATGTAGAGCAATTCCCGCGGGCTGTGTGCCGTAACTGGGCCAGTGGCCGAGCTCGCTCAGCGCGCCCGTCTCGCGGTCAATGGTGAAGGCGAAGATCCGCCCACCTCCGCCGCCGGCGACCTGGTGTTGCTCGCGAAATTCTATAGTAGAGGCTACCTCGTCCGTCACGTAGAGGACGCCGCGCTGGGGGTCGAGAGCGAAACTCCCCACGTTGAGGCCGGGGATGTGGGAAGAGACGGGCGTTAGGGCTCCGGTTTCGGAGTCTACTCGGAATACATGCAGCCCATCATGTGCGCCTGGGGTCGGCATAACGAAGCTACCAACATATGCGTACATGGTTCGTGAACTTTGCGACATGACCTTCTTGAGGATTGGTGGTATGAGCAACGTGGCGAAGGAAGGAAGGAGGGGTGAGTGAAGGTAGGTGCGAGCTCAAATGAACACGAGGAGAAGCTTTGAGGGGCGCTTGAGGCTAGACCATGGCAGCTGGCCTCTTATCACTTAGGCGAGATTAGCGAGCCGCGATCTTTAAGCTTTGGCAGCCAGCAATTTGGCGAGCATCGCCTCGGATCGTATGGCCTGATGGATACGAGGTACAGTGCCATTAGCTTCCTGGGACACCTACAAAGCCTGCATCAGGCGCGATAGAGTATAGCCGGACCTTGTTTACCCCACGTTTCCCCGCAAAATCCGGAAGACCATTTAGAGGCGATCGTCCCCACCGGAGTCATAGAAGGCCAGAGATGCCCGTCTCAAAATGGCTGACTCCAAGGACTCCGAACTAAACATCGAACAGACCACTTTGCTCGAGAGGGCTCACGCCGCCAATGCTGCGGACCACGCACTCACCTGGTGGCAGGCCATCCGAAAGTATCGTAAAGCTGTCTTCTGGGCATGTGTGTTTTCCTTCACACTGACCATGCAGGCGGCGGATGCGACATGTGTTAGTGAAGCCCCCACGCCCTCCTAAATGCCTCCACGCCCCCGCATTTCCCCCGCCCCCGGTGTCCAGCCCTAACTAACCCTTCCACAATGCCGCGGGCCGTGACAGACCACCACCTTTTACGGCCAGGACCAATTCAAACAGCAATTTGGCACGCATGACAACGGGGTTCTGGAGATATCCGCGAAGTGGCAAACCGCCATCCAGCAAGCCATGGCGTGCGGGGAGCTCATCGGCCTCTCCCTGGCGGGGTTCCTCGCCGACCGATACGGGTGGAAGCCCATTCTCAGCGGAATGATGGTCATGCTAGCTGGCACCCTATTTCTGTTTGCCTTTGCGAAAAACCTCGGAATGATGGTTGCCGCCATGGTAATGTGCGGGATCCCATGGGGTGCGTTCCAGACCGGCTGTATCGCCTATTCCTCCGAGATGGTGCCGACGTGTCTGCGTCCGTTTGTGACCGCATGGGTGGGCATCTGCTGGGGGTTGGGATTTTTCATCGGCTCGCTGATTGTCCGAGCCTGCTTGAACGTCCCCGGTGAATGGGGTAGGTCTCCCGTCTTCTTGCAGATATGGTCTGAGTGACAAGAGCGCTCCTGATCTGACCATATTTCTTTCCAGCCTGGCGCATCCCCTTCCTTATCCAATTTGTGTGGGTTCCTCCACTGCTCATCTGTTTTCTCCTCGCCCCGGAATCTCCCTACTTCCTCGTCCGCACCGGCCGCCTCGACGACGCGCGCGCCATCCTCCGCCGCATCCGCAGCGACAACACCACCGCCGAAGAAATCGAGCAGACCATCGCGTTGATTGACTACACGAACCGCATGGAGGTGGAACTCAACGCCTCCAGCAGCTATGCCGAGTGCTTCCGGGGCAAGAACCGCTGGCGCACGGAGATCGTGTGCATCGTGCAGATGGCGCAGACCTGGGGCGGGAACGGGATCAACGTGCAGACGGTGCAGTTCCTCGAGCAGGCCGGCCTGTCCGAGCACGGCGCCTTCGACCTGAACCTCATTCTCAACTCCCAGTATCTGACCTTCGGGCTGTTCTGTATCTGGCTCATGACGCGGTTCGGCCGGGCCACGATCTTCATTGCCGGGCTGATCATCAGCGATGTGTTTCTGTTCGCGATCGGCGTGCTGGGGTGCGTCAAGCAGAGTACCCAAGTGTCGAATGCGGTCGGCTCGTTGCTGTTGGTCTCGAGTGTGGTCTATATTGCTACGGTGGCGCCGTCGTCGTACACCATTGTGGTGAGTCGTCCTCCATCTTTTCTGTTGTGCTGTCATCCCGTAACCTGTGCTGATGTGGAGAATGTGGGAACAAATAGGGCGAAGTCCCATCTGGCAAGCTCCGGGCCAAGATGATCTCCCTCGCTCGAGTGGCTTTCAATGTGAGCTCGTTGGTCTCCAATGTGCTCATCCCGAAGATGTTGACCGGTGGTTCGTGGAACCTGGGTGCCAAGACCGCATTTCTGTTTGTGAGTGATCCATACGCGACGATCCTGTCAGTTCTGTTACCTTATTTCTTATTTGTGCATCATCGCAGGCTGGCACCAACGCCCTTATCTGGATCTGGTGCATCTTCCGACTACCCGAAACGAAAGGCCGCACCTTTCGTGAGATCGATTACCTGTTCGAGAGCTCGGGTCTGCATCCGCGCAAATGGCGTAACGCGAAGATCGATGTTTTCGAAGAAGATGACGCGGTCAACCAGCATCACGTGGGAGGTGAAAGCGGGGCTGTAAAGAGTCAGGCCGTTGAACATGTTGAATACAGTAGTTAAGAACATTATTCGATCTGTTCCGGGTAAAGAGAAGGAAGGAAGAAAGATTGGCTAGGTGGCATATGGTTGTTGTATGGAACTTGAGCATGGTAAGTTATGTAGCTAGTCAGATAGCAGCTGACAAGACAATGATATGAGATGTCTGATCTCAGGCCTGAATAAGTGCATAAGCTAGACACCGGGGACATTGAAGAGAATATCGGAGGATAATGATTCTCTGCAAAGCGACATCTCTTATGCCCATCAATAGATTGAAAGAGGTATATAGTCTGTATTTAGGTTGCTGCAGTTCCGCACGACAGAGAAGAGACGGTCTGCGGACCTTGCGTGGAAATTTACGCATCAAAGCACACCGCGGTGGGAGGTACGAGTGAGCATCATAATACAATCCTTCATAACTTCCTGTCTGAAATTCCTTTTGTCTATTGCTTCTAACTGTCCCGCGGTACTTTGAAATTCGCACAATTGCCCAATCACTAAAGTGTTCCCTTACTAGCCACTAGTACGGAAACGCGCAACTTGACTTCACTCCTTTCAAGCCTTCATCTTGACCGAGAAAATTGACACATTCTAGACCCTATCTTCAACCTCTTTCCGCCGCTCCTCGATCTCCTCCACCCCAGCCACCCCTCCCGCCACGCCCCCCTTCCCGTCTGGCTTCCTTTTGCGCTCCTGGAGCCAGTTCTTCGCCGCCTCCTTCTCGCGGGCATCATCCTCGCGCTCCAACGAGTAATCTTTGACGAACAACACACAGAGCAGAAACTGTACTCCCGCCAAGGCCGTCATCATGTAATAGGTGACCTGCACACCTTTGGCTATAGCCACCCAGACCGAGGTCGGGACGAGTCAGTGCCGTGCAGACCGGTATGTGCGGGAATGAGAAACTCACCGTACGCATCCAACGCCTGCGTTACCTCCACCTGGGACAATCCACTCATCGAGGTAATCGTCGTCGGATCGGACACAATCGACGATATCACAGCGGAATCAAAGTCCAGCGCCGTGAGCTTTGAGCTATAGCAGAGAGAATCATGGTTAGCGTATATCCGATACATGTCATATCATTTTAACCACCTCAAGCACTAGTCATCCGCGGGGAAAAGAAGCAAACCCACCGAACAACATTGTTCACAATCGCCGCACACGCCGCCACGGCCAGCGTCGACCCCATCATGCGCAGGTAATTCCGTGCGCCCGTCACGACGGCCATCTCGTGCCGCTGCACGGCTGCCTGGATGGCTACCAGCGTCGTCTGCAGGGTCTGTCCGCTGCCCAGGCCGGTGATCAACTGGTAGACGACGAGCTTCCAGGCCGGGGTGGCCGGGTCCACGGTCGTGAAGACCCCCGAGGCGATCGTCCACAGCCCGTATCCGACAATCAGATTGATGCGGTAGCACCCGTACTTGGACACGAGGAAGCCGGAGGTGAAGCTTGTGATGATCTGGGAGAGCACGAGGGGGAGGATGAGGATCCCGGAGCGGAGGGCGGAGTCGCCTTGGACGACTTGATAGAATTGGGGGAGCTGTTCGTTTTGAGAAGGGATTAGGTTTGTGGTGAGAAATGGTGGGGAAAGAGAGGGGGTGAGTACGTAGTAGAGGTTGACAAAGGTCATGAAGCCGGTTAGAAAGGATGTGGTGATGCACACGGCTACGTGGGTGTTTTTGAACATTGATACTAGGGGTGGTTTATTGTTAGTATTGGCTTGGGGACTTGGAAAAGGGGGGGGGTTGAAGGTTGAATTGGGGACTTTTCGGAAGGAACGCACATGGGATTCTATGCAGATAGATGGATTAGCCATTGTTGTTCACACTGAAAGTGTGGCCAAAATGAATGTAACAGTGTAACTCACAAGGGTAGTCTAGCCAGTCTGACTTCAACCAAGATAAAGACTCCGATGAGCGAGACCCCGATCAACAGTGGAGCCAGAACCGCCGCCGATGTCCAGGCATATCGCGTTCCAGCCCTAGAAAACACCCCCCGGTTAGCTTAGAAGCAGGCCCAAAAAGCCTACTACAGAAGCGCCACCTCACGCACCAGGAAATCGGCAACAGGATAGCGATCGAAGCCGCAAAGCTGACCAAGCTCCCCCAGCCGTCAATCTTCTTGATCTTCTCCATCGCATTCCCTTCAACCTTCCTGAGCGGCAGGGCAAATGCGACAATCACGATTGCGACCGCCGAGAGCGGAACACTGATGTACTAGAAATCAATCAAAAACCCCCGAATCTATCAGCATTTCACAATATCAACACATTCAGAACGAATTGAGGGAAAAGAAACAGGACAGGGGTACATACAAAACACCACCGCCACGAAGTCTTCTCCGTGAATACGCCCCCAATCACCGGCCCCATCGCCGTCCCCGCGGCGACCACCACGCCGATGATCCCCTGATACTTGCCCCGATCCTTGAGAGACACAACATCGGATACGACGATGCTGACGACCGTGACGATCCCGCCCCCGCCAATCCCTGCAATGGCACCTGCATCACATCCCGTTGGTGTCAGCTCGAGCCCAGACTCTTCCTCCAGAAGAATGGAACACATACGCGAAACAATCAACATAATCATATCCCGCGACACTCCGGACAAGACGCTTCCGAACAGGAAAAACCCCAACGAGCCGAGCAGAATTACCTTCCGACCGAAGATGTCGCTCAGCCGGCCGTACAGAGGCTGGCAGGCGGTGCTGGTGAGGAGGTAGGCGGTGCCTACCCATGCGACGATGTCGGCTTCGTGAAATACCGCACCCAGGGTAGTGAGGGCGGTGGCGACGCTATATGTTTCCTGTTAACAACATCATAGACAGCGGCGGGGAGGTCTGGGTGGGCTACATAGTTTGATTGAGCATAGAGCATAGCATCGCAGTCGATAGGCCAGAAAAGACGATCAGAAGCTGGCGCATTGGGAGGAGATTCGTCTGCGTTTGGACGGGCGCATCTTGGCGGGTGCTGCTGTCGCTGTCGGTGTTATTGGTGGAAGTCGCCGCGGTTTCTGGGGCTGTGACCATCTGGGTAGCGGCATGTTTCTCGTTGTCGGAAGAATTTGTCGGTTGATCTAACATTGTTCTTTGTTGGTATAGGTTGGTGTATAGGTCAATGGACGGTGGTATGTGGGAGATCTCGTTAGGTGTCACTGACATCCACCTGATTCGGAGTCAAATAGGCTGCTAAATGAGTTAGTCAGATTCAACCACGGCAGTAGTAAAGACCTCAAGCCAGCGACCGAGAGCAGAGCACATGAATTGGCACGTCGGAAACAAATACGCATTAGGCTGGGGAAGACGCTCGGTATGCTCGCTCGCTCGCTCGCTACTGTCACGGCATCGGGCGGGTTTACCCGATCCGGAAGCGAGGGACGTAGGCGAGGCTCGCCTAGGAACTAGAAGGGGAGGTTTCTAGAGGTCTCCCCACAAGGAGCAGACAATCTTATCTTTGGGGCCTCCATGAAATAAACATATCACAGTGGACGTCCTATACCTCCGGCATTATTTCGCGTGAAGCACATATTTTATGGTACTTAGTTATCGCTCCTATTCTAGCATTGATTGTAAGCAGATTATCTCGTCACCGAGCCTTTTACACACACGGTTCTAAGCTTATGCAACCCCAGAGGCTGCCCCGCAAGACAAAACACTATAGATCTCTGCCCAGAGAAACCTTTGCGATCACCACGAGCAAATACTGACACCCGGTTCCAAGTCAATCCTCGTACCATCCAAGCCATTCGCCGCCCGCGATGAGCTGCGGGTGTGTTGTGGTGCCCAGAAACCAGGAACCGTGTTCCATTCTATACTTGGAGGGGGGTCCTGAATTAAGGAAGATTTTAAGTTGTCTGCCCAGAGAATAGAAGGTGTATTGTTTAGGACTCACGCACCTGTGACAGAGTAGCGTCCCGAACTTCAAGTCTTTGCATCCAGCCGGTAGTCCCGTGCGTTGATGTGCAGTCGGGCAAGAGATCGAGGAGAATCGCGTCAATGTCTATACTTTCCTGCGTCGGGAAAGCGTGCCAATTAGTATCGGGACGATAGAATTGGCTTCCCTCATCTTTCAGTCTACTCACAATAGCTGCTTGCTCTGCAAGCCTTTGGCTATCTAGGCTCTTTTGACGTCGGAACCAAGGTAATGGAGGTGTTTCGGCTCTACTAAGCGGGGATTCAGTCCGTGCTTGCAGGAGATGCGGTGGTGAGAATAGATAAACAAAGAGCGAACTCACGACTGGCTCTCCTGGTGCGGGTTGCAAGGGACTACTCCATGGTCGGCGAGCATGCGATGCATCTCCTTGAGCTAGATAGCACGAATAAAGTCATTAGCAGGAGCGGTCAATGCAGACTGGAATCAAGGATGAGCAGGGCTTAATCTCACCACGAGCTGAACCGACCGGAAATAGGTACTCGTTCGTTTCACAAACGCGAGCATCATCTGAAATCGGTTCCTCAACCGAGACGGGATCTCGTCATCCACGAGTCCGACTTCCAACTGCACTCGAAGGGACAGGTAAACTACATGCGCGATGGTATGGTCGTAGATCGTCAGCGGATGCCCCGATAGCTCCCAATCAAGGAGTTCCAGCACATCGGTTATAGCCTGCGCATGCCGCAAGCAGTTCTGCCGCGTCTGTTGGACCCAGCCATCCGGAGCGGCAGCGAGAGTATCCACGTCCAACGATTGCGCGTACCCCGTCAACGCCATGCTGCGTAGTTCAATGTGGCATATGTTCCACCATAGGTAGAAAAGCACGATTTGGCCGAGGACGGGAGATTCGGTGAGTTGCGCGACGCGTTCGCGGGAGAGCTGGAACCTGGTAGGTAGCGACTCTCGGATGAGGGCTAGCTTGGCCATGCATGCTGCATACGGGGAACTGGGACTCCACGGTGCTAGTGACGGTAGTATCATGGGGCATCTTGGGCTACCCCCGGACACTGCTCGTATGTCGCTTTCCTGCTGCTGCTGCTGCTGCTGCTGCTGTCGGCTTTCGGTGACGCTGTGAAAGTATCGCCGAGTCATCGTTCGGACCCCGACTAAGCGCACCCAGAACCCCATGGCGCCCACGCATTGGTGGGTGTCAGCTGACCCTGGTGGCCCCTCGGCCTCTTCCAACTGGGCGTATGGTGTTTCCACAGAAACATCCATCCGGTAGTTGAAGCCGTCGCACGGTAGCTTGAGCCTGATGCGAGACGAAGGGCACTGAATCGACTCCGGTGCGCCGTTGGATATGAGCCGGCTCATCGCGTAACATGCGTAGAATATCCGTCGATCGCGTTCGCTCTCGACGAAGGTGTGGTTTCTTAGTGGGGCTTCGCGATGCAGGCCGAGGGTAACTGCCTGGTTCATGGCAATCCCGGACCAGAGATGGGATCGTGCAAACTGACCCGCCTGTTGATAATAAATCGTTAGCAGAAGGGAGGCCGCGATGTTGTCTCTGTTCACGTCAGTCGATGCTATGATTTGAACACCTGCATCTGTTGCCCAGGCCATCACTGTCTCTTCGGACTCCGGAGGAAAGGAGAATCTCCCCCCAACAGCACAAAGAGCGAGGACAATCGCCTCGGACAGAGTCCCATCGCGGATGGCAGTGAGCGTTCGGTCTCGGTGGAGAAAGGCATTGGCGCGATAGACATGAACGTGAAGAAAGAAAGCCACAGCAAGACGCTCCAGTCGATCCTGGCTTGGCAGATTGATTTGAGCGGGTTGATTGGACCTGTCCGCTTGGGTCCTACTGGGACTAGCGGAGTTGAGCATTGAGTCGGAACGGGTCGGCAACAAAACATCGTGAACAGTATCAGGACCAAACACATCCAACCCATTGAATGTGTTGACCAAGCCAGTGTTCATCACCAGATTCTCCTGTATTGTTTCATAACTGAACCCGACACGGCTCTCGTCGCTGGGAAGCTCGGGGAGAGATACCCTAGCACGGTCATAGACAGGAGCAATGGTTCTCGACTCATCTTCCAAGGAGATGGCAGGGGACGGTGAGTGACTACTTCGAAGTCTTTGCATCAAGGACTGGGCAGAGGACGTCAGCGACCGTGCCTTATTCGTCTCGGGGTAATTGCATTCGTGGCCGTAGATGGCACAGCGGGTGCACGACGGGCGGGACTTGGAGCATCTGGACCGGGCGTAGCGACAGGTAAAGCACGCGGGAGAACGGGGCCCGGCTCTGGTCTGTGGATCGGAGGGTCGACCGGCTTGATCGGAAAGAGATGCAGTAGCTGGTTGACGGATGAGCAATCGAGAGCATGTCCGATGCCCCCGCTTACGTCTGATGAAATTACTCACATCCCTGTCGTCTGGATCCTTGGCCCCATTGACACTCCACATCCAGGTTGCGGCAATTGTTGCAAAGTGGATGTGTCTCGTCGCACTTGACCTTGCGTGCGCGACAGGTCAGGCAGCCTAGATGGGCCAAAGAAATGTCACACAACCGATTCAGTCACGGACGCCAGCTGATCAGACTCACCCGTCTTGACGCGCTTTCGCTTGCGGGGGAGCCCGGACGAGAGGAGCGGGTCGGTCTGACTGGAATCTGGTGGGAACTGCAGAATTTGCCGAGTAGGAGCTGTCATGATGGCTGACGGGGATCTGTCAAAACGGTCAGGGTGGAAGCGAGGCGAAGCGAAGCATGAGTTGGGAGAAGGAAAGCAGACAGAAAGAGCGGGGGAAAATGCGGAGGCGAGACTCGGCTGAGATTAGATCCGCCCGGCAACCCTAATCATTAAATGAGGGGTAAATAATCCCCGAGCACGCTAACAAGCTTTCAGTATTCTAAGCCGGGCTTGATATGTCCTGCTTCTCATCAATGAGAAATTGTCATTCTTTCACCGTCAGTCACAGTCGAAAATGGGCAGTACATTACCACCCGTCCAGGTTGAGGGCGGTCTCATTCAGGGACTTCCCAGCCCTCTTGACCCTGGGATCACAATTTACAAAGGCATTCCCTACGCGGCCCCTCCTACTGGAGCCAATCGATTCAAGCCACCTCAGCCCATTCTTCCCTGGGACGATGTCAGAGTATGCGATACCATCGGCCCGGTGTGCCCCCAAGCACCACCCGATCCACGCTACCCCAATGTCTTGAAAGGCCATCCCCAGTCGGAAGACTGCCTGTACCTCAACGTCTACCAGCCCAGCAATGATCTGGAGACAAAGAGACCGTACCCGGTTTATGTCTGGTATCATGGTGGTGGATTCCGCGAGGGCGGCAGCGCAGACCCCAACTTCGACGGGACTGGACTGGCGCAAAAGGGAGTCATCGTCGTGGTGCCCTCCTTCCGACTGTGTAAGTCAACTTGATACGCTCAGCACCAGTGCCAGGCAAACCCACCCACTGACACGAAGAGCAAACAGCGATCTTCGGATACTTTGCCCATCCCGAACTCAGCGCCGAGTCGCCGTCCGGAACGTCTGGGATGGTCGGGATGCTGGACGCGGTGGAGGTACTGAAGTGGGTACGATCGAACATCTCCGTCTTCGGCGGCAACCCCAACCAGGTCACCGTCGGCGGGCAGTCGGCTGGGAATGCAATGAGCCACACTCTCCTGTCCTCTCCCTTGGCGAAAGGGCTTCTTCACGGCGTGATCCTGCAATCCGGGCCCCGCTCGTTCCAGGAGCCTGCCCTCGCCAACGGACCCATGTCCTACCGAACCCTCCAGGAAGCGGAGGAGGACGGAGTGCAACTTCTGCGCGAGCTCGGCATCAAGAGTGTCGACGATTTTCGGAAATTCGACGATTTGGACAAGTTACGCGAAGTCTCGACCAAACGCGACCAGCGATACTGGGGACCTCCCCCCTTGTTCCGCCTCATCCTCGACGGCTACGTGATCCCCAAGCCCTGGAGTGAGATCCACGCGGGTGAACCACCCAACGACGTCCCCGTCATGGCGGGCATGAACAGCGAGGAAGGGGGCACCTACAACGAGCCGCGCTTCACCTACGAGGACTTTCTCGACTGCGTGGAGGGTCGTCTCGGCCCCAACTCGACGTACGGCAAGGGTAGCCCCGCCTACGTCGAGCGATTCCACGAACTCTACCCTCTCCGCAACCAGGAGACCGGTCAGGGTCCGTTGGAAACGTGGAACCAGGCCGCTCGGGACAACACGCGCAACAACATCGCCCTCTGGGCGCAGGAGTATCACCAGAAGACTCGATCCGCAGTGTATGGCTACTACTTCACCCATCCCATCACCCCGTGGCGCAACTGGCAGCCGGATCACTCCCAGCCCAAAGTTCCGGGGTTCACCAACCAGAAGGGTCCGGTCGGGGGCGCGTATCACGGGGCCGAGTTCGCCTACACGTTCAACAGTCTGATCACGAACGGCCTCCGCCCATGGACGGAGACGGATCGGGTGATCGGCGACAAGGTGTCGACCCTGTGGGCCAATTTTATCAAATACGGTAATCCGAACGGGTTGCAGGGTGCGTCTTCTCGTCCGGAGGGTGTGGCCGAGTGGCCGAGTCTCGTGAATCACCCGGACACTCTGCTCGAGCTGGGCGGCGAGTGGCAGACGATCAAAACGGTGGATGACCCAGCGCGCGCGCGCTTCTGGACGAACTACATTCGCGCTCAGAGGGCTTGGTGATTCGCGGTCGGTCTGACGTGCTCCGATCTACGGCTTTTGTTATTACCTTGACTGTTGACATATTTGTACTACGAACTTATCGCTCCCACGATATTGATTCGATATCTAAGAGTTTTTATTTCCTTTGAATAAAATATTCTTCAAGGTAGTCAAATATATGTCTATTGATCATTTTACAGTTTTTAGATTGGAGTAGTTATGAGATTTTCCAAGAGAAATGTCCATCTCATCCTGTTCTTATCTTGGATAGAGATAACATTCTGTAGAGGAATATATACTCCCAAATCCGAGTACATAGTTTCTCAAGAAGCGCGACCGAAGAGTGAGGCAACTTAGGCCCCCTCAAAGTTAGCCTTCCCTGAGGGAACTTCCATTGTTCGATAATATGCATAAAGGGGAGATTACCCATGGCTTAATATGTGAATTATTTATCCTCAACTATTATCAAGACAAAACAGGTTGTTCGTGCATTCAAAGCTCATACAATTCCGTCATCGAATGCTTCCAATCTTTTTACAACAAGCCGAAAAGCGCCACCAAGCCAGCCGCAGCCACCGAGGCCGCCCCCGAAGCCCTCATCTCCGAAACAGCCGCGCCCGTGAAAACCGCTGAAGAGGAAGAAGCGGAGACAGAGGAGGAGGTGGAATTCGCCACGGAGTCATCGCCGATCACACCGGTTGCATTCACCCCGGAAACATAGGTCGTTCCGTTGCGCGAGTACGACGTGCCCACATTCAATCCATAGGGCGCATCGTAGGGGAACGGCGAGGTGTAGTTGTAGGTGGGCTCCTGGCCCTGATAGGCGTCCACGACGGCGGGCAGAACCCCGTAGCCCGCCGAGCAGGAGGCGTTGGTGGCGGGAATGGGCCAGGTGGGCCGGTACTGGGAGTAGTCGGCCTCGGAGAGGGGGCCGGGCAGGGAGACATTCACGAAGAGGTTGGCGTTGTCGACCGCCCAGTTGGTGTAGCCGACCTTGTCGGCCACGAACTGGATGATGTTGGCGCCGCAATCCCAGCGGCCGAGCGAGGGGAGCCCCCAGTTCGCCGAGGCGGTGGCGATGGTCGAGTAGTGGGTGTAGACGGTGTCGTCCTCGGTGCCGACCAGATGCTCGGGGACGGCACCGCCGAGCAGGACGCTGAACACGCGGTTACGCTCGGCGTACGCCTCGCTGGAGGGGACCCCGTAGGTCTCGGTCTCGTCGAAGGTCAGGAGCAGGAGGGTGTTGTCCCAGAAATAGGTGTTGTTCATCAACTCGGATACAAAGCCCCGGAGCCATTGGGAGCCAAAGGTGATGTTTGTGTCATGCGCATCGTTGGTCATGTCTGTTGGGAGATGTTAGGCATGCTTTCTTGGGATAGGATAGTCTGAGACAGATTGACTTACTAGGGGTGATAAAGGCCCATTGCGGGAGTACGTGGTTATCGAGGTCGTCGTAAAAAGTCGTGAAGTTTTTGATCAGGCGCAGAGCGGTGTCATTACTGCTGATCGAGTCGAAGGAGACCAGGGGATTATGCTTGCGCATGTAGTCGTTGGCGTAAGTCACCTGGTTGGAGAAATTGTATCCCTGGAAACCGGGAAAGGGCATATGCTCCTGGTACTCGCCCCACGAGATGCCTTTGGTGTTCAGGAGGTCGGCAATGGTGGAGACATTGGCGGGGATGTCATGGAAATCATCTGGGTCATATTATCGTTAACGTCTATCATCAAGAAGTTGAAGAAGCGACAGTGAACTCACCATTGTCCATGCCGTAGTTGTCTCCACTGGCAGCAGCAACATAGTTGGGCTGCGAAGGATGACCGGTACCGTAGTAATTGGTCAAGGTGATACCCTTACTGGCCAGCCATTGCTGGTTGGTATCGTTGGCAGCATTTTCATAGTCCTGCAAAGGGAACGTGAGCTTCAAATCACATACACCAGAAAGATGCAAATACATACCACATTCTCCAACCAGATCTGGTAGAAGCGGTCGTAGGCCTTGCCAGTGACATTGGAGGTCCAGGTCAGAGGGACGGTCGTCGCCTGAGCTTGTCGAATCTCAGACAAAGAAGGCTCCGTGGTGGTGATGGTGGCACCAGTGACCAGACTGGCCAGGGCGACAAGTGCAGCGACTGAAGAAGCCATTGGGGTTGATCTTGCTGAGGGAGCTGAGGACGAAGACAAGAGGAGATCCATTCGAAGGGAGACAGCAGCGCCTTAAATAATGGTGCAAGTTTAGTCTCACGCGCGGATTTGGCGATTCCATTCATTCGGTAGGACTTCTTTCCTACCCATTACTGTCCTAGTACTACTATCTACCACCTTAGGGCTGGGCACGTGCTTGACAGGAACAAACCAATGGCATGTGGAGATTGGTAGCACGTTTCTGACCTTGACTCTAGCTGAGTGGGGCGTGGCGGGGCGGGCGTGTGCTTATGCCTGCTCAAGCATCTCACTAGACAAACCACCAGCCACTAGTCATGGCAAAATGGCACATGTGGTCGTGTGCAAGGATGAATCAAGGATGTGGTCTTGTGCATTTGCCATTCTCTTCGATAGCCATTGGACAGAGAAATCCGTCTTCCGAGGAACTTCCGACCGGAGTCGGCCCTGGCAGGCGGCGGTCTCCTGATATCCGAGCTCGTGCGACCGACAGCTCCCGCAGCAGGGCTTGAGCCTTTTGGGGAATATTTCCATATCTCTGGACCAGACAGTGCTAGAAACGTGCATCCGTTTGGCGTCTATGACATCTAGCTTTGCATCACATTTCATAGTAGTTACTATTCACTGCTCTATTTCAGCGCATACGACCATAGGGTGTGGAAAGTAGGGCGTCCTGTCCACTCAGCCGTCCTTAAACCATCTATTGGACGGGGTTGAGTGACTGAGCTGGTTAGCTAGTCAAGCAATAAACTTTTCTCAGCATTACATTGAGTGCGCTGTACCTGGTTATCCAATACTTTTTTTTTCTGTCCGACAGACTCATTCTCAGTCAACAACTTAAAAAAGGGTGACCCTATGCTGAGAATCACCTGTGCCACGTGACCATCCCTCGGGCTTTTCCGGGAGCAAGTAAAGATAGGGACTGATAAGCTCCACAAGACGGGTACGCAGTTATAACAAGAAGAGATGAGATGAGATTCATATAGAAAGTCAATGAAGCGAAAAGACAAAAAGACCTTCAAAACACTATGGCCCAAAGAAAAATGAGTCGGAAAGTTTAAACCAAAGGCCAATCTGCAGAGTGACGGCTGCTGTCAGATCTACTTACCGTACTTACCTCGGTTCCGCTTAGAATATCGATCCGCTTTCTCTGGTTACCGAGTCTGATGACCGCAGCTCGTACAAAGAAAAGCTACTCCGTCCACTGACCATGATGATTGCGCAAAAAAAGTCCGCTTCTATACCAAAGCTCCAAAACCCAAACCCCTGGATTCTTCGAACTCTGTTGGTTTTCTTCTTGGCATTGTCTCCGAGGACAAAGGCGACAACGGCCCCAGCACTCTTCTTTTACCTTGTTCGTTGGCTAGCCAATAGCGGCAGATGTTGGAACCCCGGTTGTCGTTTGAGGCCTTGGCCAGGCCCTGAGCTCCCCGGATGATCGCCGCTGCTCTAACTGGAGGGCTAATGGTAGCCCTCGGAATTTGTTTTCCTCTTATCTGTGACGTGGGATTCTGCATGCTTTGTTATGGACCTCAGCTTGGCACACCGATAGAGGCCCTTTGTCTACCCTTGACATATTTCTGTTGCATACAATGACGTTGCCTATAAGTTGCAGAAGGCCCCCCCTCCCCCCGCACAACTCAGAATCATGTACCCATCAACATTAACGAGCTACTCAATATACTATGTCTCGTCTAATCCTCGTCATCAGCCTCGTCATAGGCCTGCTGGACAACCTTTGCTTTGCGAGCCCGTCCAGGACCCATGCTGTGGCTGCACGGACTCACAAACGCGCGGACTGTACTCCCACCCTCACCGGGCTCGGGGAGAGTTCGTCTGCCGAATGGATCCTGGGTAAAAAGCCCACCGGACAGCAGGTCCGTGTATCCTTGAGTGCCGACAAGCAGGTCCTGCAGGTGCGATACCCGCCTTACAAGGACCACCAATATCAAACGGTGAGTGTGTGGCTGGGGACCAGTCGACCGACCGATACCAACCCCGGAGGCTATCCCTGGGGTTCGAACAAGGGGTCTCCGCGGTGCACGATCGCGGGCGCCACCGCATCCTGTGACATCCCGCTGAGTGAGGCCCTGCCGAATGTCAACCTGTGCCCGGACAAGACCATCTACATTGTGACGCATGCCAGCGTGAAAAGTCCCACGCTGGGCTCGGAAGGTGGGACCGCCGGCAGCCTTACGCAATGCATAAAGACATCCTGTAATCCCTGGTTCACCTTTTGGAGCTTCACAACCAAGTGTGGATGCGATAATCCCCCGCCGCCACCGCCGCCACCGCCGCCGGGGGACGGACAGTGGTGCGATTTCGGCTCCGCGTTCGGACACGCAGCGTCCCCGCCAGGGGTCGCACTGGAGTGCAACCCACCCTGGGGATGGTCGAACCAGATCGACTCGGCCCCGCTCGGGGGAACGCTGTGGGTGGGTGGCCTCCCCAACTACAACGATATCAACGTGAACGCTGTCAATGTCGGGCCCTTCATCGCCTTTTTTGAGGGCGGACAGGTCCGGTTCAGGTACGTCGTGGACGTCGACTACCGACTGACCGCCGTCCATGCGCATGTCGCCTGTTCGCCGTCCCTCACCACGTGTTCCCTGAACCAGTACGCGATCAAAATCGACGGATTGGCGGTCCAGGAGTATGAGACCCCTGCAGTGTCTGTGGACTGCAACAAGCCGTATATCATTGTGCATGCCAGGATCCAGAAGAAGAGAACGGAGACGACATGCCCTTCTCCCCGGAACACCGGTGCGCATTGAGTGGGCTGACTTGCTCGTGGGAGGATGGGGGGCTGGAACGCAGTCAAAAAGCAGTGCTTTGGGAATTTCTGAGTGTGGCATAGGAATACCGCCGAAACAAACAGGAACAGTCCCTGGATAAGCTCTAGCGCATTGCTTTAATGCTTGTTCAGGTTTGGGATCCTTTGTGATGTCAGAGACGGGGGCGTTCCACCTGGTTCCACGTTATGCGTTTTTCTTTTAATCCGCTAATCAGGATGATTATGCGAGGCACAGTCCAAAAGTACGGGGCTCTCTTCCAAGTCAGGTTGTACGTTTGTGAAACTTCTTTGGTACATTCATCGTGATCTACTCGTAGTTAATATAACAGGTTGTAAAGCGGTCCTACGGGTCAGCTGATCTGGGCGGTATATACTTAGTATCTTCCAACCGCGTTGAAGCGACGCGCCAGGAGAGTAGCCCCAGCACTGATGTCACCCGGCTGCCAAGCCCACAATTCGTATTCCACGGTTACGCTTCCACTTCAGACACCGCGCAAATGCTTCTCCTCGACATCCGACCGGCAGATAACCCAGTACGTGTCCAGTCAACATCCTCTTCATTACAAAGATATAATATACACAACTATATCGACAAGATAAAAGAAACTCGTCCAGCCAGAGCCCAAAGAACGGCCAAACAATATTTCGATGGGCGCCTGAGTTTCCCCGCCTAGGAGGTACCTACCCATCCCGTCCCCAAAAACCATCCCCCATCAAACAGCATAGGAAAACACAACCGCCTAAGCGCGATACACTCCCCGGCGACGCAAGCCGAGCAGCCCAGTACTCCGCGACTGCTGCGCGGTCGTCGTCGCCGTCTGGCTCGCCGCGGTGGCATCGAACGCCCAGATCGCCTGGAAGCAGTGGGTATCCACCTGGGCCTTCTGGTTGTTGGCCTGGGCGTTGTAGGAGCTGTTGGCGGGGAAGAGGCCGATGATGTTGTAGAAGTATGCCTGGCGATGGTTGGGTCAGCACGCATTCATCCCCCACGCCCGCAATCGAGACGAAGAGGGAGAACCTACATCCACAGCACTTTCCAGCGTGCGCACGTTCGACGGCACGCGATCCTTGGTCGACTCATCGAGGGACTTCAGCTTGGTCGCGCTGGTCGAGAAGGCGTCCATGAGTTCGAGGAGGGATTGGACGAACTGGACCACAGTACATTAGTACACGGTTCTTTTTTCAAGCGGGAAGCAAAGCAGCCGCTTACGTTGGAGTACCCCTCGTACACCAGCTGCTGCTCGGTCTGGTCGGCGATGACGGGGGTATTGGTCATGAAGTTGACGTTCTGGAGGACCTCGATGACGATGGTGCTCATTTCGGCGTAGACGTCCTAGACTCCGGGCAAATGATCAGACCATGTATGTTGATGGAACCTTAGGCAACCACACTAACCTGAATAGGGGAAGCGTCCGCGGTGGAATTAATCTCCAAGACCAGATCCTTGGCGGCGAAGCCTTGCTGCGCCAGCTCGTTCAGCGAGTTGGCGATTTGGTCCGGGGTCAGGGCGGCGAGGGCCCAGTGCGCGTAGGCGCAGAGGGCGACGATTACAGACAGAAAGCGAGTCATGCTGGTTGTTCACGAGGAAATGAGGGACTAAGTTGGACAGATTGGTTGAAAGAGTGGATTGGTGGATGAAATCCAGGGAATGAGGAAATAAATGAATGACAGTCGTGTTGTTCTGAAAAGAGTGGCAGAACAAGCTACGACAACAGCAACGGCAATAGCAACAGCAAGTGTGGTAGGTTGAGAGAATTCAAATGAGCAGCTCCCCTTGCCAAAAGGAAGGGCGCCTCGTATTGTTTATATATGTGCGGGGGTGACACCAATTGATCCGCTCCCCTGAATAATGCATGGACAATTTAACTAGCCTTGACGGGCTGTGAGCCTGTGTGACCCCTATTCTCTCTAGTCCGCATCGGGCCTGGACGCACGGACTCATCCCACCATTCCCCGCTGACAGCCAGCATTAGGTAAATTATGTTGGTAAGTTGTTCGATTAAGTGGCATCTGCATACGTGAGCTTCCATTCAACATCGATCAATAAAAATTATATTCAAGCAGCCAAGTCAGCTGCGAACCACAAGATAATCTAATCATACAATGCCCCATGGATGCTATGTACTCACTATAGACAGCAACATCATGCCGCGGGGAAGATGCACCCGGATATATCTCCAACGATTAGTAACCAAACAAGACAAACAAAGCCAAGACACACGCTAGCCAGGCAAGAAGACAAGAGAATGAAATAACCACAACCACGCAATTCAATGCAATTAAGGCAATCAAGGTTTCGAAAGCTGTTCTTTGCGGTAGAAGAAGAGGCAAAGCACATTGATGGAGAGCATCAGCAACAGACACACCCAAAAGTCGGCCTTGCTCAGCCCGGCGGCCACGCCCGCCGAGAAATCCGGGAAGACGTTGCCGGGGCCGAGCTTATCCGGCGCCGTGGCCCGGGCCAGGATCGTCGCCACCGACCCGACCACCTGCGCCGCCAGGAGGGTGAAGGTGACGTGGAAGCGGGTCATGGTGTTGAGGAGGATCATTCCGAATCCTGGGTTGGGTTAGTTTGCGAATCTGGGGTGATTTGATGCGATTGTGGGTGGGGTAGGAAGGAGACTTACCAACACCCTGGAGACTGTCCAGCACTCCCAACCAGAGCCACAAGGCTCTTCCAAGGATGGCCCCGGCCACTGGACCTCCCGCCCAGGGGATATACGTTGCGATGTTGGAGGTAGACCACAGCATCTGCGCCCAGCGCGGGGCGCCGAGACCAATGGCGAAGATCGGAAGGAACCAGGCATGTCGTTTGGAAAGGACGTGGCAGATCCACAGGGCGGCTGCCCAGACCCCGATAAAGAAGAGGAGAACCAGCAGCACAATGTGCCACACCTTGGCGTGCTTACTGGACCAGAGGTATAGCCAATTGCGACCGTACGGAGCCGAAAGCCAGTAGTTCGAGATGAACACCATGTAGAAGAACCACTGCATGATCGGAGATTAGAACTAGGACTGATTGCAAGGAAAGGAGGGAGGAACGTACAAGGACGATGCGACGCCGGAAGAGCGAGAGGTAGAATGTCGGTACTCGTCCGGGCGTTTGGCGGTAATACGACGGCAGGCCAAAGAACACCAAGCCTCCCAGCAGCCACAGGAAACACGCGAGACCGACGCCAATCCCAAGCAATGCGTGCGGATTGGTCATGCTGAGGCTGAATCGCGTGCTGCCCTCTTGGTTGAGACTAGCCATCCAGCTACCCCAGTACCAGAGAAAACTGATGCATAGCTGCTGGCTGCCTTGGATGACGGTGGCTCGGTAGATCCAGGAGCTAAGCGGCGCTCCGCCTGGACAGAGAGGTCAGATACATTGTGTCCCTTCAAATCGCAATTGTGTATCCACATACCTTCATCTCCAAAGTTGAGAGCAAAGAAGATCGATCCGCTCGAAGAGGCAAACGAGTAGAACCCCGTTCCCACATTCTGCAGCCAGGTTTGGCTTGCACCGCCGGAGATAGGACCGGCGAGACCGACAAAGAGGAAGGCAAATCCGTACATCTGTGAAGAGTTAGCTCCGACACTCCTAGGTCGGACAAAATGCTGGAAAGGATACGTACCAAGAAAGGGATGGTCAGGACGTAAACCGAGGGCATCAGTCGGAAGGCCATCCACCATACAATCGACGACCCCAGATAGATGGATGCGAGCGCATACAGCTTCTCTGCCGTCTCTCCGATCTGCCCATTTAAAAGCGTGATCTGATACGAGTTCAAGGCGAGGATTTGACCCTATCGTATTCTGTCAGTCGATTGCATGAAGCAAAAAGAATAGGATCGACAGTGGTAACTCACAATGGCCAGAACAATCGAATAAACGGGCCAATCGCCGATCTTCATCAACATGAACCGCTTCAACCCCGTGGGGGGCACATAGTCCTTAGGCAGGAGGAACTGGCCCGCATTCGGATCCTCCACCGGACCCATCAACCCGGGAGTCGGCGGGGGGCTGTTGTCATTGACCTTGAAGCGGAAGACCGAGGGCGAGGGCGAGGGCAGCGGCGACTTGCCCAGCTTGACGTCGCGGTAGCGATTGAACCAGTCCTTCTCGCTCTTCTCGAGGAACTCCTCGATGCACAGCTGGTCCTCGGAGTTCTTGCCGTTCAGGTCGGCCAGTTTCCTCTCGAACTTGTCGGCGTACTCGTTGTTGACGTCCGTGAAGAAGGGGCTGACCTTCTGGAGGTTGTAGTCCTGTTTCTCCTTGACGATGTCGTCGACACTGACGAGACTCATCATGGACAGGTTCGGTCTGCGACCCAGTAAGCCGTCTTCGGGGCCAGCGCCCAGGGTTGGGGTGCTAGCCCCCGAGTTGGCGAAGTGGGGAGGGGTGTGCGGTGCCACCGACATGTTTTCAAGCTCTTCGCCCTCGTTCTCGAAGGAGTACACCACCCGAGGTCCTGCGCGAGGGATCGAGGATAAGGGTCGACGTCTTGCTTCGGTGTCGGTGTCAGGATCGTTACTGGCCAGACTCAGGTTGGAAGGCAGGATTGCGGGCAGTGAGGGCACGCGGCTGTGGCCGGGTCGGGGTGCACCGGGTCGCAGCTCGGCGTTGATCGCCCGGCTGGGGGGGCGTGAGATGGTCGAGCTGCGGGATCGGCTGTGTTCGCGACTGGTGTCGGGGCTCAACGAGAGGTGCATGTTGCGACTGCGATCGGGCACCAAGGTACTGGTGCTGGAGATTCTCCAGGAGCTGCGCTCGTTGCGCTTGGAGTGCTTCTCGTGCTTCCGGATTGAGGTGGTCTGCAGAATGCCGAGATCCTCGACCCACTGCGCTACAGGGAAGCGCTGCTTGCCGGAGCGGGCACGCATCAATGCTCGTGTCTCTTGGGAAGATCGCAGGGCATCGTTGATAGCCAGCTTGAATTGGTGGGTGAGGTGCTTGGTTGTCATCGATTCACTATACTTTGCTTAGTTGCATGGACATGCGTAACGGGTCTGGGAGGAAGAAACTCACATTGTGAACCACCATCCAGGCATTTGTCCGAGACCACCGACGCTGTTGACACACAATCGTTAGCATTGACAGCCAAACTAGGGCTGACGTTTCATCTTACCGTGATCCGACACCCAAAGCACCCTTCCGCCCAAACTCCACAGCCACCAGGCCAAAGGGTTCATCACGCGAAGGAATCAGAGCGAACTCCGCACCACTGAAAATAAACGGCGGCAAGGCCGTGAACTCCGGCTTGGAATACACGCGATCGGGGTACAGCTCCATGAGCCGGTTCAGCTTCAACGCAGCAAAGCGTCCATAGAGATCGATGACCGGCCCGATACAGATCAGCTGAACCTTGGGGTGAGCGTCAAGAATCGAGGGGAAGATATCCGCGATCAGGTCTACTCCCTTTTGCATCGACCATCGTCCAACAAAGACGAACAGCTCAGCTTCAGGGTCCACCTTGAGCCCGGCCCATTCCTGCGCCTGCCTTTTGAGCGGGGCACGGCTGGCTTCGAACTCTGCATCGATAGTCACCTCCTCCGGATTTTGATTCGCGTTATTATCCCACTCGGCGAGGTCAGAGGGGTCCGGGTTGGGAAGAGCACCGATGCTCTTCAGTCCCCAGAAGATCGGATACCGGGCGTAGGATCTCTTGCCGTATTTCTTCGAGACACCCACAGCGCCGAACCCGTTCTGGTGGATCTTGAGGTAGTTGGCCGCGCAATGGAGGAGGTTGAACACATCCCCGAACTGCACGTACTTCTTCACCACGGCCTGGTAGAGATTGAACACCTTACACACTTCTTGGATCTGTTGGACGGTTTGCATGGGCCATAGGCCCTGGAATTCTGCATTGTGGAGGGACAGACAGCATGGGATCGTGCGAGGGAGAAGATAGAGGGGGGCGGCTGCGCCGTGGTAGTCGTTGATGTGATAGAGGTCGATAGCAGGGAACCGCTTGATGGCTTCTGCAATGCATTGGTTCCAGGCAGAGTAGAAAATCGCGGAATCCAGGTCATCCATGCGCGCGGGGTACGGGTCAGATTTTGACTGAGCCCGAAAGACAGGCGCGTCGAGCAGAACATAAGTGATGTTGTGCAGCCGGTGGTACTGGACGTCGACTTGGTACTTGTTCCCAAGCACAGTAACGACCATGGGCTCCTGCGGATCGTCGCGGGGGTAATCCACCCCTCCCACACAGGGGACCACCCAGATCAGATCTTGGTGCGACAGGTGCTTGCCCATCAGCTGTGCCATCACTCCTAGCCCACCAATCTTGATCTTGATGGCCCAGTCCTCAATGTCGTACTCCATCGTAGCGATCAGCACGGTGCGTCGGCGGACATCCACCGTGGCGCCGATGACGCTGCCGCTGTCAGACACAGACGGACTGACATTCGCGCGACCGATCGCGGCGGCACTCGCTTCCCCGTCATAAGGACGGCTCCTTTTCTGGAAGACACCGATGAGAGGTGCAAAGCTCGAGCGCTTCTCCGTGACACCGATCTGGTTGAACTTGACCTGGTAGAACGCCTTCAGGTACATGTACACCGCGCCGATCGCGGTCGAGATAGGAAGGACAGCCAACAGGATGAACAGGGCCAGCTGCACCCACCGCGACCCCGTCGGGGTGGCGTAGACCCTGAGGTCGCTGTCATCCACGGACAACTTGAAGGACAGATATGGGGATGGGGGCGGGATGGTGACGTTGAAGACATTGCTTAGCAGGGTGATTGGGGGCACCTGATCCAGCACGTTGTCGCCATCGAGATCCCCAAAGACCTGCGTCTGATCCAGCGTTCCGTCCTCGTTGATGCCCCAGGCATTGAAGGCAACCTGGACGGGCCACTCGCCCATAAAGTTGATCTCCCACCGACCGGTGAGGTTGCTGAGAGTCATTTTGTTCGAGTAGCCGGCGTCGTAGCCGAACTGGTTGAACTCGCCCTCGATGAAGAGGTTGGGGAAGCGCCGCGGGGGTTTGTACTCCCACTGGCTGTCGCCGTGCTGCCAGTGATCACTGCTTCCGGCCAGCTTGCTCCAGTACTGGGCGATGATGTGCTCCCCGTCCCAGGCTTGTCGCGCGGGCCCGCTGAAGTTCTTGCTGGGGATCGAAGTGTTGAACCCGGTGTAGGTCATCCAATCACTGAACGTGGCACCGAAATCCAGCGAGTAACGCCACTTGTCAGCACCAGGAGCTTGTGGTCGCACGGATAGAGCCCCTGAATCGGAGGATGGGACTTCAAACAGGAGTGTTCGGCTGTAGTTGGCCACTTGCGGCCAGACCATGGGGTTGTCTAGCTTTCCGACGCGGAAAAGGAAGTGGTCGACGGACTGATAGATCCAGTTAGTCTCTGCACATGGTGGACGTGGGTAGTGAAGCTTGTACTCACGTTGGTGGATGAGTTTCCATTCTTTGTGGTCACATTGCTAACGGTGACCTGATGAACTCCCGGGTACACGTTCGTCAAGTCGGCCTCGTAGCTGAAAACACTAGTGAGTGCACCAGGCCAACCTGCCACTTCTTTTTCCGCAAAGGACTTGCACGAGACGGAGCTGTTGTCCAGCTTGGGAATCTCGTCGTTGAGCGCCGTCGACGCGATCGTCAGCGACCGAGTGATCTCGTCACAATCCATCTCCTGGGAGAACTCAAAGCCGATCCGCACAGTGTCACCAGCGGTGCTGTTGGGCACGAGACGCGCGTCATGTCCCGGGGTGAAGCTTGTGATGTACGGCGAAGGCTGCACGAATTTGTTCTTCGGGACGAATGCCTTGAAGCCCCATGCTGGCATTGTAAGGTTAGGATAACACCCATTCGGAAGCTTCGAACCTTCCAACCTGCTCATAGTCAGTAAGAGCACCACTACCGAAGTTCCCACGGGGGACTACCATACCCAAGCGTCTTGGAACTTTTGACCAGCGTATACTCATCGAACGGCGGAAAGAGGTTCTTGACCGTGGTGCCCGCGGGAAACGGCGAGATCAACGCGTCCTTGGCGCTGCAGTTGAACTCGTGATGGACCGTTTGGTTATCGTTTGCATACAACAACCAAACACTCTGGTTGCCCTGGCCCTGGCCGTCGAAATTCTGCATGTCGGCAAAGCGCGAGCGCAGTACGCTCCACATGCCTGTCTCGGTCGGCGTCCCGTCACTACCAGGCAGATAAATGTCAAAGGTGTGGTTGGACAGCTGTTGCAGGTACCAGCCGTCGTTCAGCACGGGGTAGTTCTGCCGCATCTCGAACATCAGCTTGATGAGGCCCCGCACGGGGTGCGAGGGGTCCCGGTGATCGAGGCTGACGGAGTCGTCCTCGCAGCCGGTCAGGGCGCTCTCGAACGGCATGTCGTAGTATTTGGACGCTCCGATCTTGTAGCATCCGTGCATTTGCCATGCTTGTGCGGAGGACATGGGTCCACGGCCAAAGACTATTGCAGTGTTAAGTATCAGGGCCTGCTGGACAAGAGACGAGATGGGAATGTCTTACTGTAGTTATCCGCCTGATTGTCCAGGACGTAGAAAGCTTGCTCCTCGCCCCAAGAGAGGATAGGGATTCCGGGCATGAGCAAAGAGACGACGTACATTCCGAGATTCTGCTTGTGTGTGCCATTGGCGATCGCTGGCCACCGAAAGACGTCCTGGTTCGTGACACCGAACAGGTGACGCGGGTCGAATTTACCGGTGATCGTGTTAACCATGTCGTTTGTCTGCACAAGACCATTCCAGGTTTCTACAAAGTTAACCGGTGGGTCGCCTTCAGCCGTGTAAACACCGTCCAACCTGAATGCAAGCAGTTGTCAACCTCAACTGGCCTCTGAAAAGAAGGAGAGGGGGACTACGAGGGAAGCGGGGACTAACCCTAAGAACCGACTCAACCCACGATACAAAGTGTAGTGAAAAGCAGCCCCATCCAAGGCGGATCTTTCAGCCGGTCGCAAGAAAAGATCCTGGGTTGCATTGTTTGTCTTGTTGGTCATCATGAAAGCTTCTGTCGTGTTGGAGATGGTTTGATTTGTCTGGCGACCGCGACCAATGTACAGCGAGCCAAAGGCGTTTCCCGCCACGATTTCCCCGGGGAGGTAGAAGTTGTCCTTGCCCACCTCCTGGGCGCATTCGCGCATCGCCTCCGACCACTCGCCCAGGGAGTCCAGGGTCACTTGCAGAGCCTTGTCCACGCGATAGCCATCGATGTCCAGCATCTGGATGGTCAGGCACGAAAAATGTTTGATCTTCGCCAGAACGTCCGGTCGCCATCCGCGCAGACGGTCCTGCACGAAGGCGAACTTGGAGATCTGCCCTTCCCATTCGGAGTAGTTGCCAAACGCCGCGACTTCGCCATACTAGAGCAATAGCCATGAGGGGTTAGCGCGACTTGACACCGTGAAGGCAGTAGGGAGGGTAAGAAGAGGGGGAGGATTTACCTGATCAAACTCACTATTCCGACACGAAGCACCCAGGGTGGTGGTGGTCAAGCCAGTTCCGTCATCATCCCAGAACCGCGGATACTCCCAGGGACATTCGGCCTGGACCTCGTTTCCGGGCTGAAAGTCCCAGTATCGACGATCGTACTTCCATACAAAGTCATACTCGTTGGGGTTGATCGGCGCGGACCTGTTCAAGAAACCCTGAAAACCGACAAGATCGCCCATGCTGTCCCCACCACGATTAGTGGATGACACTGGAATATTTCCCGGGTATGAATCACACTTACGTTGCGAACGTATTGTCAAAAAGAACGTACATGCCCCGTCGATGAGCCTCTGATATCATGGTGCGCCAGTCTTCGATCGTCCCAAAGTGATGATCCATGAGCGTCAGATCTAGAGGCGAGTATCCATCCGCACCCCAGGGCCAGTTGATGTATGGTGTGCCAGCGAGGTAGACGCCCTAAGCTTTGGTCAACTTATTCCAATCAACATTCAATCCGACGGCAGCAAGCTTACCTTGATCCCCATACCCTGAAGGTAATCGAAAGTATCGACCAAACCAAGCACGTCGCCACCATGGCGGAACTGGTTGGAGGTCAGGATGTGTTCCCACTGCGTACCATTCGCATCGTCGTTACTCGGATCACCGTTCACGAATCTGTCGAGGAAGATGGTGTAGAAAGGGAACCGCCAGTTGTCCGGTGAGGGGTTGTAGGTGTGGCCATCCCACAGACCCGAGTAGTCAAGAGGGTCTGTCGCTGTCTGATTCTGGTTGAGATTCCAGTTTGCTTCTTCTTCAAGGTAGGGCAGGGATAGTGCAAGACGATTTACCAGTGCAACGATGGCAAGGTAACGAATGATGGGGTTGAACAGCTTCATGGCGCACAGTGAATGCCACTGCTATAGTGACATCCACGGAGCAGCACACTGTTGGAAGCCTCGAACTGCGGAGAGAAAGAAGCAAATCTCCTAGGAACTCATACAAGCAGCAATAAATCCAGCGTGAATTAAAGAGAGTGCAACAGGTATCTCATGGAGAAAAAGTGATAAATTGGCTGAAATATTCTCAGAAGCGCAAGATGAGCTTGCGAAGCATGTTCGCGTAGATAACGAACCCTCCGCAGCGATAAGGCGATCCATACCGTAGTCATGTACAGCCTCCATGCGCCGACACCGAGTGAGGCAGTCGAAAACAACGTCCTAATTTTAGCGGCTCTGTTGGAGGCAACAAACGCCATCTTTTCGGGGGTGGGTCTCTTCTCCAGCATGTTCGTTATCCCAACGAAATTTTCAGCTGAGAGACAACCACGCCACCTTGCTCGGGCCTCGACAACCAGGTTCCAGGCCCAAAAGAGACGCCTCATGTCTCGTATGGACCGGATCTGACATGCATCGAATATAGGTCACTTGGAGTGGTCGAAATGGACTGGCCGAGTGTACGAGGTGGGTCTGTATCAGTTGCTCCTCGCCCATTCCAGCGGGGAGATCCTCCTTACAGCTCATGCACCGGACCACCCATGGGGAGGGAGAGAGGGGAGGGGAAAGGATGATTCATGCAAGTTGATACAGGTATATATTGATATATGTTCAACATCGAAGCTTGAAGGGTTCTACGATGGTGTTCATCATACCGAGTTGGAAATGGCTGCAAGGGCAAATTTTCCCATCCGACAAGTCATATATCTCTAACCCGCGGATCGGCGAGAAAACCATCAATGGGACCGTCAGTACGGAGTACCCCGTATGTACGGGGAGTACGGGAGGAGTCAGTGAAATGTATGCCCGACCGGCTAGCACGCCCTCAATGAAACACGTCATAGGCGATAACTTAACTTCACCAACTAACGAAGTTGACTTAGCTGATGCTGATACATGGCCTTTTGCGGACAAAGGAAGCGAGCCAAGGAGAAAAGCCCAGAACACAGAATCGGATGGAGAGATAGTCCGGGTTCCAGGTTGTGATTTGTGATAACCAACTAGGGCAGATAAGGAGCCGACTGTCCCGTCGCGGGAATGGCGGGATTTTCCCAAGATTGGCAGTGCCGGGGAACGAAGAGAACCTTGAGGACAGACTAACTTAAGTTAACTAACTATCTGACAGTCGTCTTCTGTCTTGTATCTGGGCTGCCGATCGGGCTCGATGACAGGCCCAGGGCAGACAGAACTGGTCAACGGGCCGATCCACTCTTCGTTACCGGTTAATACCACGTCCATTACCAATACCTGTATTCCGATTACTCTGTACCCTGCCCGTCCCTTGGGCCAAGATCCCAGGATAATCCAATCTAAAAGCAATCTAATGATCAACATTATTAACTTAGCCAACTGGGACTAATTATTAAGGTATCAATCCTATGCTGCTAGAATACCAACGTAGCGGTCGCATATATGAGATCTGGTACTCCGTACTCCGTAGATAATGAACTTACATGACTTGATCACCTAGTCACTTAATTTGCGTAGGGCAACTAGAGCATTGCCGACTCCATCCTGCACCCCGACCCCCATACTCTTTCTTTCTCACCGAGTTGGTTATGCTAACGTCACCGATGATGAGCGGGCGGTGGTGGAGAAGGGCGTTGATGGTTGCAGCCACTTTGGCGGACTGGACAGTAAGGGTTGAGGCCGCCTCCAGAGATCAATGGCTCGGTCGCTCCGTCTACCAAATAGTTACCGATCGCTTTGCTCGAACCGACAACTCAACCACCGCCGCTTGTGATGCAGCACAAGGCAATTACTGTGGGGGCTCGTTCCGCGGCATCATCAACAAGCTCGATTATATCCAGGAACTCGGCTTCGACGCAATCTGGATCTCTCCGGCACAAAGCCAAATATCAGAAAGAACCGCGGATCTTTCAGGTACGCTCAGGAAACCATGCAACTGTCCCATGGGACTGTGAATCTTGCTCCTCAAGACTAATTCAACGCAAAACAGCATACCATGGCTACTGGCCCAACGACCTCTATTCCATCAACTCCCACTTCGGTACCTCCAATGACCTCAAAGCTCTATCCTCGGCCTTGCACAAGCGTGGGATGGTGAGTGACCATGGCCATGAACCTGCAAATGTCAGACAAGACTGAAAACAAGGGATTAATAGTACTTGATGCTGGATGTCGTGGTCGGGGATATGGCCTGGGCGGGGAATTCCACCACGGTCGACTACAGCACGTTCAACCCTTTCAACGATCGGAAATATTTCCACGACTACAAACTACTCTCTTCGGACCCCACAAATGACACTTGTGTTTTGGATGTGGGTTTCTCTCTACGATGGTTGCAGGGGAGTTGCTAAAATGTGCATTAGTGCTGGATGGGAGACAATATTGTCTCGCTCCCAGATCTGCGAAATGAGGACGAGCAGGTTCAGCGCATGCTGGGCACTTGGGTCTCGGAGCTGGTCTCAAACTACTCTGGTGAGTTCAATGTTTCATGTGATATCTATGACTTCCAAGTGTTCTAATAACACCGGTGTGGGTAGTCGATGGGCTGCGTATCGACAGTGTCTTGAACATTGACCCCGACTTTTTCTCCGGCTTCAACAAATCCGCGGGAGTTTTCCTTTTTGGCGAAGGTGCCACAAAGACTGCAGCAGACATTTGTCCACTGCAGTCTGATCTAAACGGACTGTTGAATTATCCGTTGTGAGTACACACACCAATATGTAATGGCAGAAGGAGTGTTGATGTTTTCAGGTATTATATCCTCACCAACGCCTTCAATACGACACATGGCGACCTGAGCGCCATTTTCCAGTCTATTGACTACACCAAGTCACTGTGCACGGTGAGAGTTGGCTGACCCCTGAAATGATAATCTGAAACTAATCATTGGCAGGACGTTCTGGCCCTGGGAACGTTCACATCGAATCAGGACGTCCCTCGCTTTGGCTCGTATACTTCGGACATATCCGTAAGTTTGGTCACAGCCCCCAGTGTGAGGATGAGCCTACCTAGTCTAATCTTGTGTCTGTCGAATAGCTTGCTCGCAACATTCTCACCACCAGCATGCTGGCAGACGGTATACCCATTCGTATGTTCCAGCTCTCTCCCCACCAACGCAACTAGTCCGAAGTACTAAGCGAGGCAACGCAGTCTATTACGGTGAAGAGCAGCACCTATCGGGGGCATTTAACCCAGTGAATCGTGAGGCTCTCTGGCGCACGAACTACTCGATGGATTCGACCTCCCTCCCGTCGCTCGTCCAATCGCTGAACCACATTCGATCATATGCCAGCGGTGATGGCAAACAGTACACGCTCAAGTCGCAGGCTGGGCGTGACTATCTCTCGTACCTGTCCTTGCCGATCTACAACTCAACCAACATACTGGCCATCCGCAAGGGCTTCGCTGGCAATCAGGTTGTGAGCGTCGTATCTAACCTGGGAGCCAAGCCCGCCACCAAAGCCACCACCAAATTCACCCTGGGCGCCGACGGCACGGGTTTCCAATCCCGACAGAACGTGACGGAGATCCTTTCTTGCAAAACATTTGTCACCGATGCCAGCGGCAATCTCACGGTTGACCTCAGCTCGGATGGCGGTCCTCGGGTGTACTATCCCACTGACAGCCTGAAGAAGAGCACCAATATCTGTAAGGATGAATCCTCAACCGGAACGTCGAGTAGCTCGTCAGCCTCGTCAGCAAGCCCCTCGTCCTCCACCGGGGCTCAGTCTTCCTTATTCGGTCTGTCGAGGGAGATAAGGACGGTGCTGGTGACGGCAGCCATGGCCACCTCTTACTTAGTCATCTAATCCTGTCGACTGCCCCTCCTTCATCATTCCCTCCTTTGATTCTTTTCCCCCTTTCTTTCTTTCTTTTCTTTTTTCTTCTTTGTCGATTTGCCGTGTTGATCTTATTATTAGATGGTCGAGATTCTGCCTTCACGAAGACAGATTACATTTGAGTTTGCTGCTATAATACAATAATTCACTACGCTTAAGACATTAATTCAAGTCTGGGCGCAGTTTTCTGTTTTTCATTGCTTTCTCAATTTGGACCTCGTCGTCCGTAGCAGCGATAGCTTTTGCAGTGTGTGGCTCTGAAACGCATCCACGCTTGTTGAGAGTCCTTAAGCATGTCCTTCAACAGCATGCCTCTATTTCACATGCAACGCCATACATTTGTGTGATTGTATGATTATCTCGGGATTTCCGACCGTGCCCAAGCTTCCAAAATTTCCGTGGGTCGCCCTGAGTGTCGGGCACAGCCACCAGCTCCCATCGGCTTCGGTTGCCCCAATTTACAAACCACGGCAGTTTGTTTGACAGTTGGCGCAGACACTGACTTGGCCAATGTCATTTCGAAGGCAAATCTTACCGTCAGGACGGGTCATAGATTACAGACGTGACAGAACGATACACACAAAAATAGAATGACAAACTTGATAGCCTCGATTCCCAAGCCTTATCGGCACCGCCGGATTGGAGACTTGCCTTTCTTAGCGCCGCCCTAGCGCTGACATCAGAAGAACCCTGGTTAGTGCAAAGCTTGAGTCCTTTTTATCGGTAAGGGTAATCTACCCCATCTGATTGGGAAGATATTGTGGAATTATCCCAACACAGCATGACAGATCACTGATTCAGTCATCGATCCTTTTAGTCCCCGTTTGTTGTCATTGACGTGGGCACCGGGATGGCGATTGCGTGACTATTCGCCTCTGGTTCTGTCTCCACAGGCGAGGCTCAGCTCGTACTGGAGATCACCTCGTATTGCTGCTCCCTGCTCTCAGAGGCCCAGACAATCTGCGTGTCTCATTCTGTCGGGCTTCAACTGAATTGAAGGGTGTTGACAGTTTGAGTGTTTTCTTCCACGAGGTACAGATAGCCATCAGCACACTGCACAAGTATTGTCTGCTGTATATATAGTTGTTTTCCTGGCAAATCGTGAGACGTTCTCTGTAGCTTGACTAGCCAGCATACTCTGTTGTTGTTGCTTGAAAATGCGTTACTCCTTCACACTCGCTTCTTTGGGCCTGATCTCCTCGGCTCTGGCCATCACTATCACTACTCCGTCATCAGACACGGAATGGGACTTTTCTACCCCGAAAACCATCAAATTTACCAGCGACTCCAGTGATCCTGAGTATATCAGTATCATCCTGCGAAATGAGGATGGCTCCTTCCAGACCAAGTTGGCGGACAACGTGAAGACCTCCGAGGGGGAATACACCACTCAACCCAACCCTAGCATTTCCAACGGGTATGTAGCCTTAGCCAAGAGACATCGTGATTCTCGCCAAGATTGGAACCGCTGGGTTGACTTTGCCTTCGTGGTACCTTAGAGATGACTACGAGATCCAGATCATTGACTCATCAGGGCAGCTCGCCGTGAGCCCGGTGTTCACAGTCGAGAAGGGAGCTTCGAACGATGGTACAACGTCCTCATCCTCATCCTCCTCATTATCTTCTTCCTCATCCTCATCGACCACTTCATCGTCCTCAACGTCCACCTCCACCACCTCTACCACCTCCACTACTTCCTCTACATCTAGTGAGACCACTTCTACCTCAATCACTACCACCACCACCACCACCACTCCAGGATCGTCGACACCTGCGTCGTCGATCACACCTTTGTCTTCTTTAGGCAAGACCATACTCCATACGCAGCTGCAAGATGACCATACTAACCTGGCTGCTGTCTCTGTCACAGGTACGAGTACCGCGGCTTCGTCGAAGGCTACGATCACCACCGCATCCTTGGCGTCCAGCTCCAACTCGACCAGCACTACCGCGACTGCCGCCGCGCAGCAGTCGGTCGGTGCCGCGGCGTCTACCTCCGGGACTACCAAGGGGGCGCTGGCTCTGCTGGGTGCGGTGGTCGCGCTCTTCTACGCCTGACGCTGATGAGATGCAAGATTATTGAAGCGTGCATGCATGCGCTCATCTCCGTGCTACGAGCGAAGGGGGTTGAAGGACTAGGCTATTACGATCGCGGATTCTGTTATGCTTCACACGGTAGTTTCGATAGACAGTTAGCAAATTGACCATGTTACCATACAGGTGGTCCATGCATCTTAAGCCTCAAATTATTGCCAGTATACTTTCGTGTACTCCCACGAAGGGGAGTGTAATTCCTCGATATATTGGCTTGGTTGACTGCGGGATGTTGGCTACTTTGGATCGCGTAGTACCCTATCTTGCTCAAATCTGCGATATTTCGGAAGAGTCCCCATATATCACTCTCCTTGTACGACATCGCCTTTCGCAGCGGTTCAAGGTTCATCGATATTTTATTGCAGAGATATTGCATCGCGGTGTCTACGGTACTGGACGACAACGGGGAAATAGGTGACTTTTTCCTACGACGTACAGAGCAGGATGTTTCGATTTCCATTCGATCGGCCGTGGGGGTTATTCAGATAGTTGATGAATTACCTAAACCATTTTACTGTCCATTTCTCAGCACCCAACCCGCGCGGAAAATGAGATTTGTAACCCATTGAGGGGGATTCCGCAGAAGCGGGACCAGCGTGCATAAGTGCACCTGCAGTTTCTCCCACTATCCGGAATTCCCCCGCACACCGCAACTCCTTTTCCTCTAAGCTCAAAGCCTTTCGGTTCTTGGAAGAAGGTTCTTCGGAGATGCAAAGCTTCATCGGTATGTTGGTTTAAACATGCATATTCTACTGGCGAAATTTCGTGATGTCACTCGGTCAGACCTATCGATCCTGGAGCGGCGAGATATATCTCACCGCTTTGCGAGCTTTTGCTGATTACGGCCATGTCTTACCTGGTGAGATATGTCAGCTCGTCTGTGTTGCCTATCTCGATAATTACGTTTACTGACGACAGACAATTTAGAAGTAGAAAGTACCTTCACATCTTACAGTTAGAACTAGCTTCTGTGATCGCATGCCGAAATATGGATAGAGAGCCGGACGGTCGCCGAAAGCCGTCTGATCCGGGTGCTGGGCACACGCCAAGACCAATTAGTCAAGAGGAATTCATGAGCCCTCTGGAAGTGCGTGGGTTAAGGCATGATGACTGCTAATTATAACGAGCGGAAGCAAGGTAGACTCCGTCTTCTGAGACAGCGTCTGAAGGTGGAAACCGCTGCGGATTTTCTCCTTGGACACCGCCTTGATGCGGTCGGGTGCCTTTTTTCCATGCGGACTGCTGCTTGGGAACCTGCGTCAAGAGCCACCTTCCCCTCGTCTATTATTGGAATTCATTCGCTCATCAGCAGCAATCGTAGAATTCGGCAAGTTGGTGCTGGTCCTGCTCCAGGCTCCTGCAGTGCACTGCCAGGTCGGAACTCAATACCACAGCACCATTTGTGAGGTTTTCCGCTGCCAAGACGCCCGCTGCTGATGATGGAGGAGTCAATCTGACCTGCCTGCGCCATTGACCTCGGCAGCCTTTGGCCCAGTCTCCTAGAGTTCCAGGTGCTCTGGGTTCGATTCCATGTGAACTTGGACGCCTTTAACTGGTCTCATGCCTCGTGAGCACAGTACAGTCAGCATGGGTCTGAAGTTAACGACCCTTGAAGTGGGTGTAACGACAATGATTCGTCCCGAGAAACAACAGACTCTCGTATACTTCCCCTCGACAAGAGCCTCGCGTCATGGATCGTGGCAAGACCCTGTCGAGATCCTCTCACTCCACCCTGGATAACTAAATGCCTTGTTACTGGCTCACTAGTGATTATGATCTTGGCAACGCTCGGACCAGGGGTGGATTATGGATCATGGATCACAGGCCTTATCGGACACGACCTGCCTTATCATCCCCTCTCGGTGGACCAGCTCTTCCTTCGAGCAGACTAGCTAGGCGGTTAGGATTTGATCCTTCATTCAAGCTGAAAACTCGCTTACTGTAAGCTCACGAGTACGATGACTCCAGGAACTTGTATCTTTATTCTTGTAGTGGTCTTGTTGCCTTGCTTAGTTCTATTCCTTCAGTAGCGACTGTTGAACGGCCATGCAACTACCGCGGACCGTTGAGGTCACCCGTTAAAGCTGGCTTTTTCTGATTTGTATACTGTACGTGATCATGTCAGCAGTCTTAACTTATAGCTCACGGCGCTGATACACAGTACACCATCCCAGCACTTCCTGTCCACGCACACATCTGAGGTAGGCGAAACAAGTAGTTATACCACCAAGCAGTTTAGTTATACAACGAAATGAATGACTGAGACGAAAGGGTTCAAATAGTTGATCAAGCACTGCTAAGTTAGCTAGTTTACATTAAGATAAACGGAAGGTAGATTCCTCAGCATCCACGATCCAGTCACAATCTCAAGGCGCACCCAAGCAAATACATATCCCGTAGGCTGTTTACTATGAGACTACGTGACTATTGCACACTACGGTCATCGAACACCTGCTTATCCAAAATGATGTTGGTGGAAGAATATCATAAACAGAGATGAGCACCGAATCTTTTCCCTGGCCGACACAGCTAGACAGCAGCTAAGCCGAGCTTCAGGACAGCCGCTACCCACCACGCTGACCAGAAGACTTCAACTCCCTCATAACGGTGAGGTAGGCATAAAAGATTTTGTTTGGCATCCGACTGACCTGTTTTACCCTTTAGTCGGCGTTGTGTGGGTCAGGCAATCATTGGTCTTACCGGACAATATAAACCTGCGCGTGGGACAAACCGCGGGGTAAATGCTATACTGATATTCTTCAAAGGTCCCCACAACTAGTATACTGATTCGCAAAGCAATGTCGTTGTTTCCGGCGCGAATCTAGGGTCAAGCTGCAACCGAAAGCAGATACGTCATGCTTGCACGATTCTTCGTCATAGACTCCAAGCTATTGACTGGACCATAAACTGATCGATCAAGATAAGGATCGCAATTTCCATCCGGCAAGCTTAATCTCCAAAATGACCCCTACAACCTCACCATGCCTCAGGACGCAGATTTTCTGAGCCCACGAGGCCTCCTGGTCGACGATGACTTCTGCTTAAAGCTGGCCACATTTCGCACGCTGGCCGGAGTCATTCAGGCGACGGAGAGCCTACCAAGCGACGATGATTCCTTCAGCAGTACGCTGGCTTCTCGGACAACGGCTATCAGATTGTATGAGTCAAGATGTTTTCCTGACACCTGCGGCCATCTGGGTGCTGGGCTTTGCTAACACATCTCAACAGCTATACAGCAAACTGGGCCCAATCGCCGACGAGTTTATGACGGTATGGAACTGCGGTTGTTAAGCAGATATTGCTCTCTGCTCATTCATCTCTACCTACCCTTGTTGTTGCGTATATTGTGTGTGTGTGTGTGTGTGTGTGTGCTTCGACTGACAAGCCTCTATCCCAGGTCCGACAAGTCGCCGCGAATCTTTATGTATGTTCTTCCTCCCATATATCCAGTTCGTGATAGGATCCTCAAGACATCTACCACAAAACTAGGGACAGTACGAGTACACAGGCTACGTGTGTGACAGCGCTCTGGCTCTTTGCTCCACCGCACCTGATGATTATGGTGTGTATGACCGACACAAAATCCTCATCGCTCTCTTTGCTGCCACTCCTCCATTCCTCCCTCTTCCTCCCTCTGCCATTCGCTCGGAATCCCATCGCACCCCCTCACCATCTGATTCTTCGTCCCAGACTCTGTTGAAAGAAAGGTAACGATAAAAAAACAGACAAGATATTCGCCGACTTCGAAGCCCTGCGGCAGGACCCCACCAACGACGACCTCCGCGACCGCGTCCAGCAGGAGGTGACCGACCGGCTCAACGCCGTACAGATTCTCTGCGACCAGGCCAACAGCTAGAGCGACAATCTGAACACCTACACCCAGCAGGCGGCCGACTGCTAGACTACCGTGCAGCAGCTAGCTCTGCCATTCCAGGGCTCCACGCTGCAGGACCAACTGACAGCCGAGGATTTCCCGGAGGATCTGCAGGGGATCTGGACGCGTTGGGCCGGGTTAAGGTAGGATGGGCACTTCCCCCTCCGCCTCACTCTCTCAAAAGTCCAAGGATGTTGTTATGGTTCCTTTGAGGCGTGTCGAGCATTGGAGATTAACACGTTGCGCGAAACAGGAACTACTCGATGGGTTCAGCCTGGCGGACGATATGGGGGAGTCGATACAGGAGGTAGAACTGTTGTGCGGTAAGTCAAGTGTGCCTTCTTCGCCCCCCCCCTCTTCTTTCTATGTATGTGCGCGTATGTGTATCTCTGGATGTGTCTTGTCCGAGGATCGAGACCCCCCCAAAAATGGCTTTGTTGTGTGTTTTTCGTTTTTGTCCGCGATCCCCCTCCAAGTAGAACGGGCGAGGTGCTAAGATCAGACCGCTGCTTGCGTTTCACCAGGAAGTGCCCAGCTCATCGCGAACGACGTCCAAATCCTGGTCGATTATATCCAAAAGCACGACGATCCCGACGACGACCCCCTCGATGGAGTAGTGGAAAGGAAAGTGCTCGAGGACTGGGCGACTTTGCAGCAGGACGGTGAGTCAAAGGACATGTGCTGTTCGCTCTTCTCGGAACCCGCCCCCTGCTTTGGGTCCTTGAGAATCTTCAGTGCTTTGCTTCAGTGCTTGCTCGGGTCGCTACTGACTTATGATGCGGGAGACAGTCACTGATTTCAAGAATGCGTATATGAATGGGGACGGGGTGGGGAAGAGGAAGTAGAAAACAAACGAGAAGGGGAGGTTCTCTGATGTGTCGGAATTCGTTGCGAAACGGAAGGAACATGTATTTTGTGGTGGTTTGATGTTATCTAAAAATCCTCTGCCTTGTTTCTGGTTTTTCTTTCCCAACTACTTTATTTTCAACAGAAAAGACAATCAAACGAATGAAGAAACGTCCGTGCTCGAAAATGTCATCGCTGATCGATCTACTCCGGTGATCATTCAATCCTTTCGTTCCGAGTTCTCTGCCACCGGGGCCGAGGTGTACGCGCGATAGTGACCCGTCCAGTTGATTTTCAGGCCGTCGCAGGCACTCAGATCGAGGTCCTGTGGCGACTCGACCGTGATGGTCCACTGGGTGAATGGGCTCGGCTGGGCGTGATCGGCCGCGGTGAATACAACAATGTCGCGGGCCTGTAGAAAGTTTCCGTCCGCATCGATCTCATTTACAGATACCTCGATCCTCACGCCCCCTATATGGAAGAATATCGATCAAGTGATAGAAGTCTTCAAAGTTGTAAGCTTACTTCGTGCATGTGGCGTAATGGATTGCTGTCTCTGACTGCCCTGCTAATGACCTTCGCGCTGCGCCGTGCTTCAGATATACGACGACTGCGTTGGATTTTTGACCACATCCACAGACCCCAACGATAGTCCTAGCAAGGGGAGGCGTCCTCGCAAAATGCCTTCTACCAAAAATACGAACGAATCTGACGATGATAAAGATGACTTTGACTCATTGTGCACATGGAAAAAGTTGAAATCACTCTCGTCTCAAATCCAAGAATACTCGTCTGTTGCTGGAGATAAAGACGCGGACAACTCGTACTATGTGATCATGCTGAATGCGTGCAAGAAATACCACGACGACGACAGCACCCAAAAGGATAAGGATGACGCAAAGCAAACGATAATGGATGCCACCTCGGAGTTACTTGAGGACATGGCCCCGATGCAAACTTACCTTAGCAAGATCCAGACTGCGCTGGGAGACTTTGACAACAGCTGCCAGGCAAATCAAGCCTCACTCGAGACGCTCGAACAAACGATGTCCGCCACTCTAGAGGACCAGTTTGGCGACATCAAGGACCTGCTAAAGGATATCGACAAGTTGCGGGGCGATGTAGACGCAGACCAGCATGTGATCGATAAAGGTGCGCTTCCCCTTTCGAACATATTCTCCTTCGTCGCATCCCCGCTGATTGATGCGGGTAATCGAGTCCAGATCGCATGAACGAGGAACTAACGGCGGCCTACGTTTGGATGTACGTTACGTCCCCTCGAGCTTTCCCACTGCAGCAAGAACTGACCCCTCAAAAGTCCTGTGGCTGGAACCATTGCTGGCGTGGTCATGTGGACCAAATACCAGAATGAGATCAATGCTTATCAAGACAAAATTGACAATTTGGAGGCGCAAATCGAATCGGACGAGGCCAAAGTGAAAGCGCACATATCACTCATGGGGATTGTGACTAGCATGAAGGTAATGCGTTTACTAAGTCCAATGGCCGAACCGAGGGCTGACCACGGGGCCCATAGCGAAACATGACAAAGATAAGTAGCCTCATCGGCCCGGCAAAGACAACCATTGAAGAGATACAAGGCGGTTGGGATGTGATGGGCAACATGCTGCAAGACCTCTATGACAACGCGGCGAAGTTCGAAGACAAAATCCCTACAATGACAATCGACTGTGCGAAGCTCAACACAATCTCCCAGGAGTGGAGGGATCTCTATGTTTACGGTACGTCCGCCGCCAGGATTGTTCTTTCCGTAGTGATATCATACCCGGCTTTGATACTGACGTTGTGTGAGTTCTGCAGTAAACACCTATGTTAGCCAGGCTGATCTTACCCCCGATCTCAAAGTCAAATCACTCGACGACTATAAGAAGGAATTGCATGAGGCCTCCTCTAAACAGAGGTCTTAGCTGAATGTGCGGTCTGGAGTCGCCTGTGCGCGGGCGGGAACTACAGCGGCTTTCACAAATTCTTTCCAGGTTTACCAGCTTCGCAGGTTATGATTTGACTGTGTGGACCCGGCAGGGACCGCTTGAGAGTAGGAAGGATCATTCAATACACCGGGGTTCAACACGCGGTGCTGCAACATGGCTCTCCTTCCCCTACTGTGCACTCTTTGCGTCGGTGACTGTACGGTGGTTTTGTTAAATGCTGTCGATTGTTTTCCGCAACTTGTTTTCCGCGGCGAGAAGGCAATGGAAGTTCCAAAGTCTAGTTACTTAGTTTGATTGGAATATACGAATCTTCCATAAACGGAAGTATCGTGACGCTGCTGGTCCAACATCTGACAGAGGCCGAGCTCGATTTAGGGCCCTTAATTCAGGTAGATGTAAGATCATCTCGCTGCCTGGTGTCCGAATGCATCTTCTCTTGGGGCGTTCGAAGCCCTGTTATCGCACCACCTCAACCTCTGATCCTCACAGCCCATGTCGACGGTGATGGATTTTCCACAAAATAATTCCTTCAACCTCGCCTCTGCCTCCAGAACAGCCATACACCCGCTACGCAGAACTTCAACGCGGCTGCTATCCACAATGCCGCCTGCATGCCGCCGGCGCTGAGACTCAACCACCCGCCGCAGACGGCACCGACCACATATAATACCGCACCGCATACGCGCCGGTTTCTCTCGGCATTTTTCAGTGGCGAACGTAGCAGATGCGGGTCGGAGGCGATATCGAAGTACACGCTCGTCAGCACGACGATCGGAATCTCGCTGAAGCCCAGGAAGCGACTCGCGGCCAGACAGCCTGCCGACTGGAACGCCAAGAGCGCGATCGGGATGAGCTCGAGAAAGAGAGGACCACCCGCCAGCGAGGTTGCCGCAGCGGTATGAGGAATGAGGTCTGCTTCGACGAAAGCGCTGGCGATGATGATGAGAGAGGCTTGAACCAGGAACGAGAGACTGAGCGTGACGGGCCGGCGCGGACCGAAAAGGCGCATCCCGTTGGCGAAGGTGAACGAGCCCGCCATGAAGGAAGATATGGAAACTAACGACTTGAGCCAGCCAAATGGTTTGGACTTGGGCTGACCCGAAGCCCCGAGGCCGAGCGTGATCGTGTTCCCTGTCATCGGGGTTAGTTAGAAGAACCTGGTTTCTCCCGAGGAGGGCTCTCAAGGTTGGAAACTGCTGTACCTGTCTGCAAGCCTAGATAGCACGACCACACACTGTAGGCACTACTATCGCACAGCGCGGTGATGAAACAGAGGAAGAGGCAAATCAGGTCGGTGTGCTTGGTGTCGAGGTCATCGAGAATCCGTCTTGATAGCCAAGTTGCTCGCTCCATGGGAGAAGGGTGCTGGAGAGGCTCTGCATTGATCGAGGAACCCCGCTCGTGGTCCTCCATGAACGGCGCGTCTGGTTGCAGTGTTATGTTTGCTGTTGGAGAGGGATGATGCCCCCAGCTAAATCAAGACGTTTCATTGCTCTTGGTTTTGCACTTGAAGTGTCCAATAGTCGTCACCTTTTCCTGATCAACGTCATTTTGTAACTCGCCAGCCGCAGATGTGAGCGATATGCCCTCAGTTATTTCATCATTGAAGACAGCTTGTCTGAGGTGACTACTGATGCCTACAATCATTAGATCATAGCCGAACTCATTGGCCTTTTGGGCAGTTGAACGGCACCAATTCGAAAGAGAAATCCGGATCCTCGGCCCCTGTAGGGGTGGCCCCGCTTTTGCCGTGTTACCCGCCTGTTCCGTCGCTTCTCGAGTAGCGACACGAACTTTGCTCGAAAAGCTTGACACCGGTGACCAGGACCCCTTATGTACGACTGAGTAGTACGGCCGATGGGAGAATATCTACGTGTATGCCTCGGAGGACAAGAATGATACATAGTATCTACATCCAGGTACCCGCCCATCCCCTGGCGAGTTGGTCCCCACCTGGTTCTCAGAAGCACCGGACATACATTGGAGACTTGTCTCAGCCCTATAGGGATTGACTGACGGGTAATAGGTACAGGACCCACACCTTTCCAGATCAATCACTCGACACGACGGCCAACCAGTCGGAATCGGACATCCGACGAGTGGGGGCTTTCCCCCGGTGACGCACAAAACATGTCCAGGCACATTTATGTAGAACTCTAATCGGTGACGTCGTTCCTTGTCCGTGGACCTGCGGCGGCATCACTGCCAGGCCAGGCTGTTCACAGCCCGCTGCGCTACGGCGCGAAGTTGGCCTCGCGGCCAGAGACTCAGGCGTTACGTGGATCCGTCACTCATCTATGTCATCAAAGACTCTCGTCTTGTAGGGAACAACGGTATTGCCGGACTATCTTCTCACAATAGGGCAGTATGCTTGCTTCTGTCCAGTACCCATGACGCTAATTTTCAAAGCCATCCCCCACCCTTCCCCGGTCTCGACGCGGGCGGCTGTGCCACCTTCACACAATCTGACTCTGGAACATTGCAAGAATTCGAGAAAGCATCACTAATCCCATTTCAAGAATACTGATTCAATTTGTCCGCGGAAGCGCGAGGCGCGTTTACATGAGCGGCGGCGCGATACCGGGTGGTTGCTCCGCTGCACCGGCTCGTTTGAAGGCCCGTTTACACCACGAGCGGAAGGACGCTGGCCGCGGGGTCGGAGGGAGGACTTGCTGCTGTACTGCAGGGTGGGCGGGCTGGATCCGCCGTCGAAGATGGTAGGACTGGGCCCGACAGAGCGGACAGCTGGTGTCGTGGTTGCAGAGCCAGGCGTCGATGCACGGCTGATGGAAGCTGTGCTCGCACGGTAGCTGGCGGTAGACCGTTGTGCAATCCAGGGGCTCTAAGCATATGATGCAAGTGTCGGGGTCCGTGGAGTCGCTAGTCAGCTAGCTCCTAGATTATAGTCTTCGATCAGGCCGGTGGCTCACCTGTAGGGTCCTGGACTCCTTGATGAAGAGGGAGACGGTGCACATCGACCTCGTAGAAGACGGGCCACATCCTATCGGGTAACATTGGCAGGGGTGGGTGGAGAGTATGGCATTGGAGGTAGTGTTCTTGGTTCGCTGGCTGGCAGCAGTAGCAGCAGCACCCACGCGAGTGTCAAAGTGGCCGGATTTATTGACGGACTGTGTACAGACCTGGACTATGTGACGTGGATTGGTGGGAAAGACTTAGGGCTGCGAGAGACTGCGGATAACCCGGCTAACACGCTAAACACGGGTGTCATTTTTATCTTGCTAGATGAACCTGACTCTTCCAAGCGACATCCTCAAATTATGTCCAGGCCGTGACCAAATATTGTATACATAAAACATTCCCAAGCTTGTCACAGTGTTCCCTGAGCGGTCGGTTCAAACCTACAATGCCTCGACTACCTCGCGAGAAGTCCAAAACGCACACCGAGCGGCCAGGTCCTCGTACCCGCCCCGGATGACATTCTGCCCGATTTCTCGAACTCCACTGTCCGGACCACCGATAATCTGAATGAGGTACTGCTCGGTCCGGCTTGACTCATGGTGTGGACGCGCGGACGAAGAAAAGGCAGCATTGGTGAAGCCCGTCCACGCAGCAATCGTGCCATTGCCGCGCGACGGAGACCCAAATGCTGCAAAGGCCGCGCAACTGCCGCTTATTTCTGAGAAAACGAGGCTATCGGCCGCCGTGGCGTACGGGGTGTATCGCTCTGCGCCTGGTTGAAGACGTAGGGAATGTCGCTGAAGTGCGAGACCCCGATATAGGAGCTATTGGCGGCCACGTACCAGGATCGGAAGACCGTTTGGTTGAGGGCGAACAGATAAGTCGCGGTGCTGGGCACGCTGGCGTGCCACGCGGTCATCTGCGCGATGGAAGGGTGCTTTCGTTGCACGACCGCTGTATGCCGTGATCTGAAGACCGACTCCGGTTGCGCCGTCGCTCTCGCCGACAATGGTGACTTGGGCCGGGTCGCCGCTGAGCCCGGTGATGTGCTTCTGCACCCAGTCGAGGACCAGTCGCTGGCCCAACAACTCAGGAAGTCGCTGGCCGCGAGCGCGGGAGAGGCAGCAAGCCCGAAGATACCGACGCAGTAATTCATGGCAACGTAGATGATAGCGAAGCCCTTCTGGTCAGCGCCGGTCACGAGACCTGTCAGGTTGTAGGCTGAGTCGTAGATCTGCCCGAATGAGTCCCCTGCCCCATAGATCCAGACCATGACGGGAAGCTTTGGGGGAAGACAGGGTGTTGGCTGGTCGGTCGACTCAGAGAGTGAGACAGTCCTCAGACACGGTGGTGACTTTGTCAAACAGGGGCATACTGGAAAACCCTTGTTGTGGTTGCGGGCAGGCGGCGCCGGCCTGGGTGGCATTCACCAAGGTACCGGGGGCATAGTCGAATGGCTTCGGTGGCGCGAATCGTTTATGAGCAGAGTTTTCCTGATCAAAATGGATATTCAGGAACGGCTCGACATTGTTCGCGACTGTTCCTTCAAACCGGACTACATCGAGACTCTCAACGAGCGCTCTTGGACGGTGATGTAGGAGAGGGCTTGAATAGTTATGAGGAAGAAGCGCGCACAACGCCAGAATCGCACGAGTTGAGAATGTTAATCTCGTGGTTGAGCAGAAGGAGAAAAGGCTGGTCTGCTTCGATGGAACCTACCGGGAAGCCGAAGCTCAAGCTGAATTTTATGCATAGGTTGAGAGCGTGCTCGGCGAGACCGGAATCACGAGTTTAGGGCAACCTGGAAGGATGAGGCTGAGTTGCGGGTCCATCCATGATCATGGAGACCTCCAAGCTACCTAGTATTAAGGTACCTGCACCGATCGGTATGGCATGTTTACATGAGTGACTTCGCTCCGTCAGTTGATTGGCTGAACATCTCGATTACCCTTTCGGGCCTTAGTCTCGAGGCTTACTCCAGCCTCCATGACGGGATGATAAGCGGAGGACTCGGGCGAGCCAACCACAGCCACTTGAGCCCCCGCAGTGGGTACGCTGCCCCAGTACCTAGTACCAAGCACCTCCGGAACATGTCGAAGGTAATGATCGTCGTTGGCGCACAGCCTCAATGCTACTCAATCTTCTCAGGAGCCTTCTGTAGGGCATTGAGATGATCTACCCTTCCATCGTAGTGGAGATCTGGAAGCGGCTCAAACTCACACTTTGTTGTATGACAACATCTTTCAGAATAGACAAACGCACTATCCCATAGCCCCTAATATCCCAAATCAAACAGGCTCTACTTGACAAGAAATAAAGTGGATATCAACTAGAGTTCTCCGAAAGAAAGGCCACTCCGGTCAATAGCAATTTTCCCTACGTAAGATATTACGCTTCTGCCACGCAGGTCGCAATTCGGTAAAGATTCCATTCTGATTGACAAACACTCAACTCCCGATACACCACATCGCACAGATACGAGAAACAAATCCTCTATTCAACTGAAACACAAGCACTTAGACCACTTCATTCTTTCCGACCACGGGTCTCTCGGTCGGACTCAACTGCACAAAGTCCTTCTCCAACACAGCCGAGACCCCCAGAACCATAGTAATGAGCATGGCAAAAATCTCCTCCAGCACGTCCATGCACAGATAGATGGTGGGGCTGCCCACCAGCACCATGAACCGGGTGTCGGTCGTGTAGTCCCCCATCGCCGAGTAAACCAGACGAACAATGAGCAGGGGACAGGAGCAGGCGATCGCGAGAAAGAGCTTTCGCTGGAAAGCCCGCATGGTGGGGCGAAGGCGCACGAAGAGCCACGCGCCGACCGCAACGATGAGGACGAAGATGGCGAGGAAGATGCCCATGGATGCCTTGACGATGCTGTTCACGTGGTAGCTGCCGTTGTCATCTGCACTGCTGACGCCTGCAATGCCGAGAATCAGGCCAATGATGCAGACGAGGCTCGCGATGTTGAGGAAGCGGGGAGGGAGACTCTGTTGCGTGTCGCTGGTGTTTCATTGTGGTTAGCTCGTCCCAGAACATGCAGTCGTAGGCATATTCGATTCGTCGTTGGCACTTACATTTGCCTCAACAGACCAACATAGGTGAGTAGCAGAGGAGCAATGCCGATGAGCTCGCACACCGCTACGGCGACCTCGACGTTGTAGGAATCATGGCTGATGGTCAAGAGGGACGCGATGCTCCCGGCAATTCGGATGAGGGAGAGCGTGACTGCGAACCGCCAGATTTTGCTGCCGATGCGCCAGCCCGTGCGTTTCCAGATAAAGATGGCAGCCACAAGAATGAATGGGAAAACGATGAGCTGTAGGATAGCGATCCCGTCGCGGTAGGTAACGGTGCCCATTGTAGATGATAAGGAACAGAAGCAGCAACTGGAAAGTGGTGTTTGTCGATAGTCAAGAAGATTTGAACTGGGATACAGCAGAGAGAAAAAAGGAGCAGAAACGAGGTAGTATTTATGTTTCTAATTGTTTCTAAATGCTGTTGAGGCTTATATGTTGGGGCAAACACAGCCCTAAAACTTTGAAGTTGTTGACGGACTATGAATGGCAGAGCATCTCGCCTACTGTAAGAGGACTAGTGCTGACGGGAAAACGGTGGGTCCCGCGGCCCGCTTTCCAAACCACAAAACAACCAAGGAAACTGAAATCTCTTGGCCTCCGCCGATCTCGGTTGCTCCTCTCTGGTCAGGTCTCCCTCCACCCCACACCACCTGCCAATTCACCTTGTGCATGCCACCGATGCCCCTCCCGCAGCCTTGGATTTCGGACCCAAGCACTTGCTCGTGCTGAAGGATTCAGACTTAACACAGATTCAATTTTAATTTCCGCACAAGATGTCTGGTCCCCGAGTCTCCAAAAGTTGTGGCAACTGCCGAGCCGTCAAACGACGTGTGCGTAACATTCCATTCGGTCTTTCCGTGGTTCAGGGGCGCTGACTACCCACTCCCGAACAGTGCGACAAACAGCGCCCCCATTGCGGGCAATGTATTCGATTGCGGGAAGAATGTCCCGGTTATCGAGATCAATGGGACCTTGTCTTCCGCGATCAGACCAACCAAACCATCCAGCGATCGCAGTGTCAGGCAGCCTCGACCGCGATGACACACAGCCCCCTGTCGCCCCCACCCCCCCTGCCCTCACTGTGTCTGAGCATGGACCAGGTGGGCGTCAACGCCTTCCTGCACCATTTTGTCACCGGCGACCACAGCCCCTCGCGTGGATACCTCAACTACATCCCAGCTACTCTGGGCGCCAATGACGACCAGCCGACCCTGGTCGCCAGCCTGGCCGCCGTCGGCCTGGTGACGCTGGCGAACTCCCATCATCAGCCGGAACTGGTACGCCAAGCGCGCATCAAATACGCGGAGGCCATCCGCAGCGTCAACGCTGCCCTGGCCTCGCCCGTGGAATCGGTCAAGGACAGCACACTGATGGCCGTCATCTCCCTGGGCGTTTTCGAGCACTTCTCGGGCTTTGACGCGTGGGTGCGTCACGTGCAGGGGGCGGCCGCGCTGACCGTCCTCCGCGGCAAGGGCCAATTCGCCGGCGGCAACCCGACCGCCCTGCTCCTCTTCACGCAGGTCCGCACCGACATTATAGCCGCCTGCACCCGCACCAACCGACCGTTCCCGGCGGATATGCGTGCTCTCCAGGACGAGGCCGCCAAGCACGTGGGCGCTCCCAACGCTGTCTGGGAGATAGGGGTGCTGGCCACCCGGTGTGTGGACCTGTTATGGCAGGTGATGGAGACCACAGGCACAACTCAGTTCCCTGATCTTTTAAGCGCCGCGCTGGCAGTGGAGCGGGACTTTGAAATCGCCATGGCGACCCTCGCCGTCCAAGAGCCTTTCTATACCACCACCGCGGAGGAAGCGGGATGGGTAGGCAGTGATCCCGACACTATTTACAACGGTCGCGTCGACATCTACCTCACCCCGTGGGCGATTCGAGCCTGGAACAACGCGCGCAGCATCCAAATGATCGTCTGCGAGATTATATGCTACCTTCTGAAGAAGATACTCACGCTGAGCCCCGCCGCTCCAGCTGCACAAGTCCGCTTGCGCCGTCGGCAACTGCACGAGACCCTCGGAATCCTCTCCCGCGTTGGCGAGGATATCCTGGCCACCGTACCGCAGGCGCTGGGGATCGTGGCCCCGCCTGCGGATCCATCTCAGCCCTATGCAGGGGATCTGAGCCCGAGAGCCAGCGTGTCGGGTGCATACATTCTGATTTGGTGTCTCTACATGGTTGGGAAATCACCTGCCACCGCAGAGCCGGCCCGCAAGTGGATCATTCGACGCTTTCGGAAGATTTTCCAGGGCGCGGGGATGGAGATGGCGCTGCCACTCCTTGAGGAAATTGTTAGGGTAGATCAGTCGAAGACATGAGGGAGTTGTTGGCGGGTGTCAGCTCTTCCAACAAGTCGTATATCAGATGCTGAATGAGAGACATGCGGGATGAGGAATGAGAATTATCCTGCTAAACAAACGGAGCATAGCCCCATTCCATCCCTGAAAGATCCCAACTCAGCATCGAGCTAAAATCTAAATGCGGGCCATAGTCCGCTAAGTCCGGAAGGGAAACACTGGTAATGCCGAGAGCTGCGTTTCCCGGCTCCACATCGCCGACCGTGCTGATGGGATCAAGGATGCGGTCCAACAGCTGCTCGAGTCGAGCCTGGGCTTTCTTGCAGCAGTTAGAGTTCCTGGTGCCTCGTGGAGCCACCCATGACAAACAAGAGACGTAGATGGTGAGATTGCGGATTGTTTTTGCATATGAGAGGCCCGGATAGGTCTCCCTATCTCTCAGGGCACAAGGGTCATGATGAAGCATGTCAAATAAGAGGGTTTCAGCACTTGAAAGTCCATAGGGTAGAAACTAAGGTCCTCCATCAGCGGTGCGGGGTTAGAATATCGGACTGCACGTACAATTGGAGCTAGATCGGTGGTCACTCCTCTCACCCTATCTCGCTCCTCGTTCAGGACAAGTAGGCTAGAAAGGGCCTCCTCTGCCACTGAAATCAGCGGATGGGAATACCCCCGGGCAGTATCTTGGTGTATAAGTCTTTGGGTCAGAAATTTGCAATGGAGGAAGTCCAGATAATTGTAGAGATGGGTAAGGACCTCTGCACACCCGAGCGGCTTTTCCCACATATCGCTGGTATATCTCATGTAGCTGGGGAAAGACTGCCACAATGCATCGAGCCTAAGCAGAATTTGTCTGGAGCATGTGTCAGTCCTCTCTGAACTGTCTTTTTGGGACCACAGTGAGCGACATACGGTGCCTTTTCCCGTACAGCCGATTTGTTTGTGCCAAGCTGCATTTCGAGAATCTCCTCCTTGATGATGGCGAGGAGAAAGCGGAGGCGAATGAACATGATTGGAGAGCTTTTGCCCCCAGTACTGAACCCAAGCGCATCCAACGAGACACCCTTGCTTCTCATCCTCGTGGTGTCGTCATCGCTGATGTTTACATCTGCCGGGGCCTCCATGTCACAGTACTGACGCATCACTAGGGGCGGACGGTCCAGAAACATCGCCAATTTCTTATCCATGGTGTAAACCATGGCGAAAATTCGTCGGCGCCACTGCGGCACGAAGGTGATGTGCCCTCCTGCGGATGGAATAATACGATGGAAGCCTGCCATATAGGTTGCAGAGACGATCGTAGCGAACGATGAGTGGAGGGTCTGACCTATTCAATACCGTGTCAAAGTGGCCCTAAAGAGGATTCAAAGAGGATGTACTCACCAGAATCGTCTGATTGGTGATAGGCTAGAAGAAAGCGATTATACTTCAGACATAGGCCTAACTCATCACACATTGGCAGGTTGCTAGTCAGCTGCGTGAAAGCCTCGGTGACCTGCTGGAATTCCGAGCGTAGCACAGCTGGCTCTCGTTGACGAGGATCTGCGCCGACAAGGTCGCGATAGTGGATGTGCAGCAGATCGCAATTAGCCAACATCAACACGTTGCCTATTGTGTCCCACCGAAGATTATCTCCGCCTATCAACCGATGAAGGCTGTGGAGCGACGTTGACTCGGTGACATCGGTGGGGCGATGCGATATATGGAATATGCGAGCTACGAGACTGGTTTTGGCTGAATCATTCGCAAGGTCGAAGCTGTCCAGTTGATACCACAGCGAATCCCATTCCGGGAGTAGGACGGATTCTGGGAGGATTGGCAGGTAATTGAAGCCGTACAGGTGAGCAATAAGGTTTTGTAGCAGCGGCAGGTTCCGATGAACAAATTCCAGTACCTGCACGCCCAGGTGTATGAGCTGCGGGCTAAGTGGGTTGTGAACCAAGGTATGGTCCTCTGCATTGCTGGGCAACTCACGGGTTGCCTGCTGGTGTTCGCTGATCAGAGCACGGCTAGCACGGGGTTGAGGGGATCTGGCTTCCGGAACCACAGACGGGCCTCTAGCGATCGATGACACTGGATCGGCTGATACTGAGGGCTCCTGAGAGATCGGATTTTCTGTCACTGGATTTTCTACCGCCGGACTGACACGGGGCCGGTCACCGAAGGTGACAGGTCGAAACCCTCTTGTTGTGCGCGCGGAAGCATAGATACAGCGTATTTGTTTTTCAGTGCAGCGGACACAGCTCGGTAGCGAATGATCGCATTTGATCTTAAGTTTACGGCATGCCTCACACGCCTGTAACTTGCCGTTCCGGCGCAACGGCCGGGATACTGTTGGTGGCATACTTACTTTGCCCACACCAAATATACCTTTGCAATTGACACACCACAACTATCTTGTGGCGGGTGATGGATCAGGATCATTGCGGAACGGACTTCTCCAGAAGAGGATAAGAACGGAAAAGAGCCAAGGTCATGTGACTCGACAAGCTATCTCCGTAATAGGCAGGTCCGCTCCGGGTCCACCACGGTGGAGCCCGTGAGCCTCGAGCCCTGAGCCCAGCCTGTCTCTTGACCCGGGACTGTAGACCCGTGGACCATCAGCCGGCAAGAGTATAACTAACTCTGCTTATAAAATGGGTCTCTTTTCTGTATCCTCTCTTACCGCTCCACCTTAAGAGGCAAGGGCGGTGGTGGCTTCATAATTCTGTGAGGTGCCTTTAGTGGCTTCCTGACGTCATATCCTCTACAACCTTTATATATATGCCATATCCACAAAATTGGTCTATAAATGAGAAGATTATACATACCGCAGCAGACAGACCGATAAGCAGACCGGTAAGCAGCTTGATTGCCAGCAGACTCAACGCCAGTCACCTTGTACCTTGCTCAAGATTCCTAAAACAAAGTAAGTATTATAAAGGCAATCAAAGACTTGCTTTCGCATTTCCTCGGCGCGGAGCACTCTACGAATGACGAACCAACGTAGAAGGAATAGTGGGAGTCGACGGATAAAATGAGGGAGGGCCTCCAACAAATCTCTTCGATTATTGCTCTGCAGCCATGGTGTGTTTTACGTGACTCCTGCGGGAGCAAAAGAACGACATTGTACCACGGCGTACTAGTTCAGCCAGAGTCACACCATTTCTCAACTTGAGCCTACACTTTCGACATATGAGACGTGCAACCGACTTTGATTCAAGGAGTGCTATTCTTCGTTTGAACTGGTTCTAGCGGAATCCATTGGCAAAGGGAACGTGTTTTGCATGCCTGACTCCAGCCTTAGCTCTCTGAGGAAACCGTGTGATGGCTGAAGCTATCTAGGCTTTCTAACACCGTGTACTCCTGTCGCCTTCCACGCAAGTCATATGCTGCGCGTAATCCGTCAGCTGCGCTCCTTTAACAGCGCGCGCGGAGTCTCATAGCCGTACACCAGTTCCCCATGCCAGAACTTGCTTGCATCAACCTTGGCAATAGACCAAGCTTGGTCCAAAGCATCAACCACCTCGGTCGGCAGAGGGCCCTTTGCCAAATCATTCAGGTTACTCTCGAGCTGCTCAAAGCTACTAAATCCCGTGATGATGCCATCACGACCATTAGTGATGCTCAAGGCCGAGTGATGAACACACCAGCGAAGGGCCACCTCTACCATTGACAGTCCGTGCTTCTGAACTACCGGCTCCAGTATCTCCAGAGAACGGAAGATGCTGGATTTGAAGTACCGGTCCCGATACATCTTGCCTTGAATTGGGTTTCCATTACTAAATCTTCCGTCTGCGGGCTGCTCCGTCGTCTTATATTTGCCTGAAAAGAACCCGCCTGCCAAGGGGTTGAACACGACCACGTCGATGCCCCAGCGGCGGCAGCAGGGGATGAGCTCATCCTCAATTCCGCGCGCTAATTTTCGATAGAACAATCAGCACTTCTCTGGGCGTCCATGTATAAGAGGGGTCATTCTCACTCAGCGCATTGTAGATTGCCTGGTAGATCGTGGGTCGCACCCAGCCGCGTTCATTGCACAGAGTTACGACTTCGGCAACCTCAAAAGCGGAGAAGTTGCTTAGTCCCAGCTGCTTGAATTTGCCCTGTCGGTAGAGTCTGTCGAGTGTTTTGAATGTCTCTACAAAAGGGGTGGTGCGATCCGCCGCATGAAGATAGAAGATGTCCACCTGGTCCGTCCCCAGCTCGCGTAGGGACTCGTTCAGCTTCTCCTCCAGAACCTCTGCGCGGTGGGCGCCTGGTGTGAGTGGGGCCCACTTTGTTGCCATCGACAGACCTCGATCCTTCCATTTTGTCTGGCGGGTGAATGCTTCCTGCCGACCACCATCATAGAGTCGAGCAGTGTCCACCTCATTGTAGCCTTTCTCTTGAAAAAGGTCCAGGCACCGATTGAATTCCTCCAGACTCGTGATGCGAGCACCGTGTGTGGTGTCTGGGCCAAGGGTCATCAACCCCAGAATGATGCGCCGCGTGGTTTTATTTTCTGATGCCATCTTGTTTTAAGAAGACCGTTTGAGAGACTGCAATGGGATCAAACCTGTGTTCAAACCGAGGCCCTGAGAGAGAGAAAATGAATATTCGTGCTTCGAATGGCAGCTGTGTACTTCCTTCAAATATATAGTGGACTTCAAAAAGAGCAGGCTTCCAGTTGGCCTCTCGGAGAATAGGAGAGTAGGTAGTATAGAAGCACGGTACCCGGCTCAACTCAGGGCTCATGCGTCCCGATTAGGAAGGTCAACTCCGACCGGCGCCGCGCCCGCCGGCGCCCACCCGCGGCGTCCCGCCAACGGGATTCTCGGAAGAAGACATGCCGCTCATGCGCTCCTCGGATGCGGCGCAGAATGCCGTTCCGCGATGTTTTGGATGTTGTCCTGGTACTACGGCCCGGGAAGTCTGCAGCGCATGACATTGGCAGAACATACCCAAATCGCTGGACATCACATTGTACCAAGGGCCCGGGTATGCCCCGTCGTCCTTAATTTGTATCTTCAACCTTGCTTCTTTTATTGTTCTGACCCAACAAACATTAACAGTCCCAACCCCTGAAGATAGACAACAGTCATCCTCCACCAACAAGCAGCATACCACTCCCCCACAAACCTCTACGCCCCGCACCTCTTCTTGCCCGACGCCATGGGTTTTCAGTGTGAGCGATAGCACCATCTCTCCGTTGATATGCTATGAATGCATCTCCAGCTCCGAACAGGTGGACTGGCTCACTTATGAAATGTGCTCCGCGCGTGCAGTATAGATCAGTAATTCTTCTTCCAATGATTTTGACCCCACATAACTGAAGTAAAAGTAGCTGCCAGTGGGACTTTACTCTTCCGGCTCCCTGCCCGTTCCATGACATGTATTACACTTCTTGCGGTGCGTGCCAAGGCACGTGTGGCAGGACTGATCACATTGACTGGTTAGCCCCGTCGCAGATCATCGCATCTCAAGAAAAAGCAGGAGGCGGCTAGCCAGTGTCCTTACCTTCTGACCGGTGCCACCACACATGCCGCACTTGTCTGACCAGTACGCCGTAGCCGCGCGGCCACGGACGGAATCGGCTTCCTCCCCTGCGTTGGAGTCGTTAACCCGCCCGGAGCCATTACAGACATGGCAGGTCCATTTGCCACCATGGCAGGTACAGGTCCAGTAGCCATTTTGGCATTCCTAGGTGGTTATACGCTTCTTCAGCATTGTCTCTTCTCGTACGCAGTTCGTGGGATACTACGCACCGACGAACACGGAGCCATTTTATCCGCACGGCAAGAAAGGTTTTTTAATTCTGGTTTGGTGAGTGTTGGGTGATCTTGGAAGGAGGCTCAACAAGCTTGGGGGTGGAAGAGGAAGTGGGATTCTGCAGGCTATTTATACTACGTCTCTCCGTACTCACCTGGAAAACAACAGGCTGTGCCAGCTGAAGTGTGGGTCATAAGAAGAAGATCGGGAGATCTGAGAGCACTTCGATGAGGTGACTTGTGTTGCTGATTGGCCAATGTTTTCAATTGCAGCTCCACCGAGCTCCAGTACGGAGTACACCTGTCCAATCTGCGGGGCTGGGTTTGCAGACCGCTAGGTAACTTACTAGTTGGTACCTAGTAGTGATTGTCAGACTCGTGGTTAACCCTAATGAGCACCCGATACGGCATATTTTACCGAGGTTCCGTAGATGTGTGATTGAAGCCTTCACTGCAGTCTGCCGCCGCCGCCACATAGCTTTCTCGGGTTTGCCTGATCCTCGGAGCATAATCTGTGTCAACTCAGATGTACTGTAAAGCAATCTCTCACCTCGAGGTGAGGTGTTCCCGATAACTAAGAAGGAATTAACCATCCAAGGCTCTAAGGCTCTAAGCAAGGGATGACCCAGCGGAAGATCTTTTGCTTTCCGACTTGAACCATGGGTGCCAGCTTCAGGCTCCCCACATAAGCTGCCCGCTCCGGACTTCTCCAATCAATCATGATATGTCTCGCGCATATGATTGCCTGGATTAGCTGGCACAACCACATTGATAGGTTGATCTGTACAGTACGGTATCTTGTCTTCTTGCGGCGGGCGACACAGAGAATAAATATTCTTCCACTTTCACCCGGATTTGTTCTTCGCGACTTCTTGAAACTCGGCTGTAGCGCCCTTGTACTGTACCAGACAAGGTGGTTTCCTCACTTATTTGCATCCACGAGGCTGGATTAACGCGACCCCAAATTGTTATTGTAATGGACATACTCATCGAGATAAGTATGTATATGACAGCGGTCCCCAGAGTGGGGTATCCAGGAACGAACAAGTGTGTAAAAGTATTGAGGAGCCTCTTAAGGCTGAGCTAGCGTTGGCTAGTAAGGACCTTCTTTCTGTTAGCTCGCGTGGTGGATCCCCCATGCCCGATGCAGACGCCTCGAGAATCCGATTCTAAAATTCAGGGATACCACCCTAAGTCAACTTCCTCATCCCGCCTTCGGAGCAATTAGCGAAGTGAAACATGGTCTTCTTTCGCCAGCATCCGAAGAATGAAACAACAATCCATTCAGCCTTTGATCCCCTCCTCCCTCTCCCCCTTTGGCTCTTCCCCGCTCCCCGGCCCCTTTGGCTCCCACCCCGGCTCCGCCATCTCAAAGCCCCCAAATTCAAAGCCCGGCGCAACAGAGCATCCCACCAGCGTCCAGTCTCCCAAGGACAGTGCGTGCTGCCACTCTCCGCGTTCAATCACAATCTGCGGTCGCTGGTCGGTCCAGACATCCGGGCCTAGGACAAGGTTGCGCACGGCTGTACCATCGTCCCAAGCTAGCGACAGCTGCAGTGGAGCGCCGGCATAGTAGTGCCAGACTACGACGGCGTCGAGCACGCGGTGCCAGTGTGAGAGGCCGGACTCGCCCTCGAGGAGGTAGTAGATGTAGGTGCTGGTGGCGCGGCCCTCGGGGGTGGTGTTCGGGTCACGGAACGTCTCGATGTAGTAGCCCTTTTCGGGATGGGGGGTGAGGTTCAGGGCGGAGATGACTTGCTGTGCGGTGTAGGTGGTGGTTGCCAGCGCCATTCTCTCTGGGGGTTGCTTCGGGTTTTGGTTGTGTAGGGTTGTCTTTGGATAGCTAATTTTTGAGGGGGTCTTTTTTTTTTTTTTTTTGAGCAGCATGTGGTATTGTCAGATAAAATGGCAGGTCGCAAGTTGGCCAGCTTTGAGATTTATGCGAATGTTGGAAAGGGGTATACATGTTTGTTGTGGTGGCCCTAATGCTAGTTCGATCTATATCGCGAACAAAGAAAGAACGCTGATCGCAGGGCCATGACTCTGCCGCGCCTGGCTATCTCTCAGTCACGACCATCATAATCCTTGCAATTCCTTGTAGCTTGCAGCGCCGAGTTTTGTCTCCTTCCCGTTAAGGAAACCGCTTACTCGCCAGTTTCAAATGCGCCGGACTTCAAGCGCTCGCAGGGATGCCGGTGCCACCGGGATAGGAAAAGGGGCAAGGCATCCAGCTGAGTATTGATCTTTGTGCCTGGCCCAAAGCCTGTATTAAATGTGCTTACGGAATAATCACCTGTTTTATATCTCCATATGGCTCATCTCGTAGTAGATGTGTAACTAATGGTTGGGATCCAGCACCCTCTTCCAGCCGCTTGGTTGCCTTGGATGCGATACAAATTTTGTAGAAGCAAACACTTGATGTACCGCAATGATGGGCCTGACCTGGTTACATCACATACTCCCTTTCGATATAGCAAACAATTACTATGAAAAATGCCTAGTCATTCTTCTGTCCCATATAGTCACTCCGTTTGCTCCAACGGTACCCTGCGGTCCCCCAGCATGAACGACATCAGGCAGGACCTGCCCATGTCCATGACAATGGCCACCTTCATCGGAATCTCCTAGTGGCTAGGGCTGGAGGTGAATGCGTCCCTATTCTTGACCTTCAAGCGACGCCGCGGACTATATTTCTGGTCCTGCGCACTCGTTTCGTGGGCGATCGTCCTCCAACCTCTCTTTATCATCCTCGCCGACTTCCATGTCTGGACGGACCCCGTCCCCTCCATCACTATGATCTACCTCACATGGCTGATCATGGTCGTTCCGCAAAGTTGGGTCTTATACTCGCGACTCCATCTGCTGTTACGCAATGCAAAAGTTCTGAGGACGATAAAGTTCATTCTCATCGTCAGCTCGGTGGTGTTCTCGATACCGACTATCGTGATCGGGATTATGGCGGTAAGGGTCCTCGACTCAACCATAGAAGAAAGAGCAATAGGCAGGTTAAATAGGTCACTCACAATATCTCTCCATAGCAAGCCACAAATATCAACCCCGCCCTCTCTTCCGCCAACCTCATCTGGGACCGCGTGCAGCTGGCCGCCTTCCTCATCCAAGAAACCGCCCTCAGCACGCTATACATCTTACAGACACGAACATTTCTACGCGGCCGCGCCCCGCTGCGTGAACGTCCCTATTCACCCTATGCCCCACGATCGGCATCTGCCCTCCTCCATGGCGTCGATCCCGATCGTTCGAACTTGAAGGGGCAAACTGATGTGCTGTGGCAGCTGATCTACGCTAATGTCCTGATCATCGTGCTGGACTTGGCGCTTTTCGGCATCCAGTGCGCCAGGATGTTCTACTTGCAGGGAGCGCTGAAGCCGTGTGTCTATGGCATCAAGCTCAGGATCGCATTCCTGATCTTGAATCGTCTGCGGGAGATTATACTGCAACCAGCGAGCCGTGGAATATACCTCGGGAGTGAACAGGCGAGCGGCCATTTGATGGGTAGGAATGTACTCAGCCCCGATACGGCGGAGGAGGCACATGCGCATCGTGCAATAATACAGGCAAAATAAAAAAATGGATCCTAGTTGAGGGGGCCTACTTGGGAGCAAGCAGGCAAGTGAGAGAGATTAAGAATAAGCATAGGGCGGGGAAAAAAAGGCCAAAACATACAACAGAAGGGATTCGCTGGTGGTCACCCACCCAACTACTAACCTCCCGGCGTGTGGCTTAAGTACGGCTGAGCGGACGGGAAGCCCTGTTTTCCACACCCTGTGGTCGTATGTGCTTGTATGTGCTTAGGTGTTGGTGATAATCCTATCTGCCGATGTAATCTGTTCTGACCCCAGGTTCATGGTCCTGTTTTGGCGGTTCTACATCGCGATGTCCGGAGCGGTCGGTCTCCCTTGACCACAACACACAATGCCACCGGATCGGGTGGGGTCGCATTGACGAAGGCTTGCTTGGCTACGTTCTTCTGCTATGATAATCACTCTCAGGTAGTCTAGAGAAGCCTTTGTGTCTCAAGCACTGTCACGGGCTGTACTAGCTAAACTAGTTTCGTGGCCGCCGCTATGTAGCAGAAACAAACTTCTATGCTATGCGGGCTCACAGCGCTGATAAGGACGGCGATGTGACGAAGATCGTTTCACCAGACCCTCGCGTGCATTTATAATCGGCCTACCACGTCGCCGAACACTATACTGCAATGGGCGAATTCCCCTTCCAGTCCCAGGAAACCTATGGCTCTGATCCATCTGCTTCTTCACCCTCAACCAAATCTGACCCCATCCATCGTGAATACTGCCATCCGAGGGCTCGCTTACAGTATGCTCGGGGAATGAACCGAGATTTCGGCGAATGCAATCCACTCAACCTGGCCGGACCCCTCATCCAGCCCGACCATATATAATCACCCCCTGGAGGATACTAGGTAGTTCACAAGAAGGATTCTGGAACAAATTCCACCATCGCAACCCAGTTCTCTCTTCGACGGTATAGTACATCGGTACACCCCCAACAACCATGCAACCGATCACCCTCTACTCGCACCCCATCGGGCCCAACCCGTGGAAGGTCGCCCTCATCCTCTCGGCCCTCCGCCTCCCCTACGAGACGGTGCTGGTCGACTTCGCCGACGTCAAGAAGTCCCCCTACGTGGATCTCTGCCCCAACGGCCGTCTCCCGACCATCGTGGACCCCAACCAGAACAACCTTACCCTGTGGGAGTCCGGCGCGATTGTGAACTACCTGATCGAAACCTACGACGCGAGCCACCAGCTCAGCTACGAGACTCTCCCGGAGCGCCACCACCTCCAGCAGTGGCTGCACTTCCAGGTCTCCGGGCAGGGGCCCTACTACGGGCAGCTGGGGTGGTTCCAGCGGCAGCCCGAGCGGGCGCCGCTTGCGATCGAGCGGTATACGGCGGAGGTCCGGCGGGTGATGGGGGTGCTGGACCGCGCGCTGCAGGGCAAGGAGTGGCTGGTCGGGGAAAAGTGCACGTTTGTGGATCTGTGCTTCGTGCCGTGGCAGGAGTTGGTGCCGCTCATGGTGCGGAATGAGGGCGTTGTTCGGGAGCTGGAGGAGCAGTATCCCAATGTGAGGGCGTGGATGGGGCGGATGAAGGCGAGGGAGGAGGTGCAGAAGGTGCTGCGGGAGAAGCGCGAGGCGATGGCGCAGGAGCAGTCCAGGTAGTTCTTTGTCCCTGGCTGGAATTGTGCGGGATGTTCTATTACTACAGGTAGTAAGGTACTTGCTCGGTATAGATGCGTGCATCCAGGATGCCTTAGTACTTTATGGAAGGGCAGCTCGCTTGCAGTGTCATAGGGTGTGCGGGTTACAATCTGGATCACGGTGCATCCTGATTTGTCCGCGAATGATACATGACGGTGAATTCACAGGTGTCAAAAGTCTTTAATAGGGCTCTTAGTATGCAAATACAGCTTGGTCCTTGTTTCAGCGGATATCAACGACAGAAACACATCAACATTACAGCAGATCAAATCAGGCCGTGTTCAATCAGTTGAAATCGACTGGAATATATAAAACTGCATTGGGAACAGGCTAACAGAGGGAAAACTGTATTTTTTTTCCTGTTTTTAGATAAGACCAACAATCTTTCAAAGGAAGGAATAATTCTGTTCGAGACTCAGAGGATCAGGCTTGCTCCCTATCGAAGTGAGCATAGAAAGCCGTAATGCAGGGGTCCGACCGATCAAGGAGGATTTCGCCGAAATAGTGGGGCCGCCGGCCTTTGCCCACTTCACCACATCCGATTATCCGTTTGTTCTATAGCACTCATGGTTACTCCTCCTGATCTCTTATAAATGCATGACCCTTCATACCAAGAACTATCATGCAGAGAATAGTCAGCCAAAAACAACGATGGAGTCAGACAGCTTAGACAGCAACGAGCCCAAGACGGTGTCTATCACCTCACCAGAACTTCCAGAATGGGCGGAAGACCCAGCCAACGCGCAGAACTGGGCTACACACAAGAAACTCTACAACACAGCGATCCCTTCGGTACTGTGTCTTCTGATGTGAGTATACAAGCAATGCGAACTGGGTATGTGTCAAAGCTAACGTCAGGTACCTGGAATCTTTATAGATCATTCGGACTTGCCATCTACTCGCCCTCTCACGGTCATGTTCAAGCCGCATTCCACACCTCCTCCACCAAATCGCTTCTACCTTTCACCATGTACGTATACGGATTGGCATTTGGACCCATGATCGCCGCCCCTCTCAGCGAGACCTATGGCCGGCGGTTTATCTACCTCGTTATGACCCCGCTAGCAATGTTGTTCATTCTCGGGGCCGGGTTTTCGAACAACCTGGCAAGTCTCACCGTGTGCCGCTTGCTGGCGGGGATGTTCATCTCGGCGCCGCTGGCTGTCGGAGCGGGCACAATCATGGACATGTGGAGCGGGCCGGCGACCGGCCGTGGCGTGACGATCCTCATGACCATCGCCTTCATGGGCCCTGCCATCGGATCTCTGGTCGGGGGCTGGGTGGCCGAGTACAAGAGCTGGCGCTGGTCGCAGTGGACGACGCTGTTTCTGGGGGCCGCCTGCTGGGCGTTCAGTGCAGGCGCGCAGGAGTCCTACGCTCGCCCGATCCTCCACCGTCGCGCCGTCAAGCTGGGACTGCCCGTTCCTCCGAGTCCCATCCCCGGGGGCCTGGCCGGCGTCAGAGTGATGCTCACCGTGACCCTGGCACGGCCGGTCTACATGCTCCTGACCGAGCCCATCGTGGCTCTCTGCTCGCTCTATTCCTCGCTCAACTTCTCCGTCCTCTTCTGCTTCCTCGCCTGCGTACCGCTCGTGTATACCAATGTCTACGGCTTCACGCCGGGTCAGTGCGGCTTGGTCTTCATTGCCCTGGCGCTGGGGTGCGCCCTGGGCTGTCTGGGGCTTCTGGCGGCAGACCAGTACACGATGGCTCTGCACCGACGACGACACCCAGAGGGCACCCCCGCGCCACCGGAACGCGTCCTATGGGCGGCGATGTTGGCTAGCCCGTGGATGCCGGCGGCACTGTTCTGGTTTGCATGGACATCGACTCCCCACGTGCACTGGATGAGCAGTATCGTCGCCATTGGGCTCTTTGGGTGCTCCAACATTATGATTTTCGTGCGCAATCCTTCCTCATTCTGCCGTATCTCTCATATTGACCGCGTCATCATAGGTGTCGACCGCCCTGTATCTAACGCGTGTCTATGGGGCGCAGTTCGGAGCCTCTGCGTTGGCCGCCAATGGTCTGCTGCGGTACGGCATCGGCGGCTCGTTTCCTCTTTTCACTCTCGCCAGTATGTTCTCCTGGGCTAGCTCTTCCCGGTCCTTCTTCAGGTCTAATTGGACGCTCTCAGTGTACCACAACCTAGGTTATAGCTGGGCGTCTAGCTTATTGGGGTTCTTGGCTGTGTGCTTTGCGCCCCTCCCGTGGCTGTTCTTCAAGTGGGGGGCTCGGATCCGGAAGCATAGTGCTTATTCATCGTGAGATTGCCAGGGATGCACTTAATGGCATGAGACAGATTGGATAGACCCCCGGAACACAGGGATCGATAGTAATAGAGCATATATACAAACAAGGAAGACAAAGAAAGTATGCATGACTGTGAAAATCAGCCCTTTCGTATCATCTGGGCAGTAGTGGTGCTTATAGTTCGGCCTACATGTACTACACAGTACATACAGCATCGTGGATATAGACTCACCACCCAACAGGTATAGTACACTATGTCTGATTCGGCAGAAATCTAGTCTTGATCATATTGTCTTCTTCTTCTTCATCTTCATCTTCATAAATCTAACCTTTGCGTACAAACCCCATCACAGCTCCTCAACGCATTCTTCCTGCCAAGACCCTGTCTTCCCTTCAACGTCCCTCCTGGACAACATGCTCTGGCATTGATACCTCCCAAAGGCTCTGGCCGACACCCGCTCGGCGAACATCTCATCGATCTCCTCCAGCGACCGCTGCTTGAGCTCCGGCACCACCAACCACACGAACACCGTCGCCACCACCGACAATCCCCCATAGATAAACGCCACGCTGCCGCCGATCGCCGCCTGCGTATACGGGTTCACAAACACAATCACCAGCCCCGTGCCGTACGCCGCAAACCCCGCCAGGGTGACCATCTTCTCCCGCACCGCGGCGGCCGGGGGCACTTCGGCCGTGATCACCCACGCCAACGGGCCCCAGGTGCTCTGGAAGGTGAAGAACCACAGCATGAGCATGACCACCGCGCCGACCTGTCTCCCGTAGCTGTCGGTCGGCGTGCACGTCAGCCCGCCGATGGTGAGCATACACGCGGCCAGCAGAGCGGCGGAGACCAGCAGCACGAGCCGCCGGCCCAGACGGTCGGTGACGGCCACGCCCGTGAGGTTGCCGGCGATCCCGATGACATATACAACCACGGACATCAGGAGGACCTGGCGGAAGCCGATCTGTTGCAGGAAGACGGCCTGGTAGTTGGCGACGAAGGAGATGCCTTGCGCCTGTTGGAAGACCTGCGCCCCGACACAGATGGCCGTGCGGCGGCGGTAGATGGGGTTGGTGAAGCAGACAGCCCAGGAGGAGGACTCGTCGGGATGCTGCGCTTGATTCTGCTGTGGCTTTTGCGATTGCTGTTGTTGTTGTTGTTGCTGTTGAAGGCGAGCGACCTCGACCTGGGCGTCCGCGAGGGGAATGCCGCGCAGTCGAGCCAGACTGGCCCCGGCTTCGTCGAGGCGTCCGCGGTGCATCAGCCAGTACGGTGACTCGGGAAGAAGGGGCAGACTGATCCAGTTCAGCAGCGGGATGGCGATCTGCGCCACCACGACTCCGCGCCAGGCCCAGTCACTGGGGATGTGGCGACAGAGGTAGACGATGAGGGCCGCCACCAGGCCGCCGACCATCAGGAAGACGTTGTACGTGCCTGCCATCACCCCACGGAGAGCCTGGGGCGCGCACTCGCCCTGGTAGACCGGGATCACGTTGGAGGCGATGCCGCCGCCGAAGTAGACGACGGCTTTGCCCACGAGGAACTGGGCGTAGCTCGTCTGGCAGGTGGATTCGATGATCACGCCCACGCTCACCACGGCCGACTGGATCCACAGGCTATTCTTGCGGCCGAACCGTTCGTTCAACGGGGTGGCACACAGAAGCCCCAGGATGACCCCGGCATAGCCCAGTCCGGTGCCCAGCGATTGCTGCCGGTCGCTCAGCACCCAGATCTCTTGAGGGTGGCTGTAGTGTCCGAACCGACGGGCAAACTGCTGGGAGCTCATGATGCTCGCCCACCAGGCTTGGTCGAACCCGAACCCTGCGGAGGAGAGGGACCCGAAGATCGCTACAGCCCAGATGAGCCATGGGAGACTCCGTATGCTATCAGGCGCCGCCATTGGTGGAAGGAAACTGCACGGGAGGAAGTAGAGATGCGAGAAGAGCACTGCAGCCACGTTTTGCTCGCGGTTGCAGACTTGTCGGATTCTTCCTCTTTGCTGAGGACCTTTCGCCGCCTTTTATCTAAGTACGCGGAACAACGAGAGAGCTAGTACCTGTTCCATGATAATGCCTCGAGCATGATCCTACAGAGGTCTATCAGTCATGGTGTCATCCAATCGCTACTCGGATTCATGGGGAAAGGATTCGCACCTGCTTGGCAAAGACCAGAATCCTTCGTGTGTATGTCTGCTTCGAGCCGGTGGCGTCTGCTTAACAGTGAACGTGGCCGCGAAGGATTGCTAGACTGAATCAAGCCTTACCAATAGTGAGAGAGAGAGGGAGACACAGTGAGAGAGAGAATTTGTCTCCAGAGAATAATGACGAGCCAGGACCCCGTGTTCTACTTCCCCACACTAGTTAGTCACTGGAGATGCGGACCCCCCGGTCATTGCATTGCAGCAATGCCCACGCGATGTGGGAGACCCACTTGGTTGATGGATGAGGGCTTGAGTGGGTCTTCTCCACTATGTCGGCGAAATCCCCCCCACTATATCGCCGACACAAGAGGGGTCTGGAAGAGGCTCACGCGAGGAATGGGGCCACTGCGATGGCCAGGAAACAGCAAACTTTGACGTCTCAATGGGGTAATTCATGTCTGCACCGTAGGTATTATGCTAACGCTGCCAAACATGGCAGGGATGCGTGGTCCATCTGCCTGCACACAAACCACCTCAAAAACCACCACTCCCCTGTGCGTGGATGGTCAACCTGCCAAACCAAACTTCTTCTCTCCTGCCCGCCGAGAATGTATTCCAATATCCCCTCGTCAGCTGTCAACCAGCTCCTCCAGTCTCTCACACTGGAGGAGAAAGTCGCCCTGCTTGCGGGCAAGAACATGTGGGAAACCGCCAACATCGACCGGCTACACATCCCCAGTCTGAAGATGACCGACGGCCCGGCCGGAGCCCGCGGGTCCAAATGGACGTACGGCTCCCTGACCACATGGATTCCGTGCGGGGTGTCGCTGGCCGCCACCTTTGATCTGGCCCTGGTGGAGAAAGTCGGGACCATTCTGGGGCAGGAGACCCGACGCAAGGGCTGCCAGGTCCTGCTGGCCCCGACCATGAACCTGTCGCGCTCGCCCTTGGGCGGGCGGAATTTCGAAGGCTATGGGGAAGACCCTTATCTGGTCGGGGTGATGGCCGTTGCAATGATCCGCGGCATTCAGAGCCAGGGGGTCGGGGCGTGCATGAAACATTTTATCCTGAACGACACCGAGACTCGGCGGTTCAATGTCGACCAAACGATTGATGAGCGTACCCTGCGAGAGGTCTACATGAAGCCATTCGCCATGGCTGCGCAGGAACCGGAAGCAGCGCCGTGGACGGCCATGGTCAGCTACCCCAAGATCAACGGGCTACATGCCGATCTCAGTCCTGAAATCCTGCCGCGCCTGCTGAGAAAGGAGCTGCAGTATGATCGGTTGGTTATGAGCGACTGGGGGGGTTTGAACAGTACGGTCGAAAGCTTGCTGGCCACGACTGACCTGGAGATGCCGGGTCCACCGGTACGTCGGGGTGAGCGCCTGTTAGCCGCCATTCAGGCCGGTCGCATTGATGTGACCACACACGTCGATCCGAGTGTGCGACGAATGCTGCAGCTCCTGGAACAAACGGGATTACTGAACAACCCCTCTGATTCCACGGAGGTATCCTCCGAACAAACCGCCAACGACCCTACGCTCCATCAGATCGTGCGCGAGGCGGCGCAAAGTGGCCTTGTGCTGCTGAAAAACGAGAGCGTACTGCCTCTTCAACCCTCGAGGCTGCGGAAGATCGCAATCATTGGGCCTAACGCGCGCAAGCCCACGGCTGGTGGAGCGGGCAGCGCCGCCGTCAACCCTTTCTACGTCACCACGCCCGAAGAGTGCCTCCGCAACGCGCTTCGGGCTGCGAACCCGGACATCAAGCTCACATATCGCTCCGGCATCCGCGACAGTCTGCGCCCCCCTCTTTTGGGCGGTCAATTGACCGTCCCGGACGGATCCCGCCAGGGTCTGCACGTGAGCTTCTTTGCAGGCCATGCTTTCGAGGGGCCGGTCGTGGCGACCAGTCTGTGGGACGACTCGCTCATTTATCTCATGAGTGATGGGGATATCCCCGCCGCGCTGGAGGATCGGCCGTACTCGTACCAGGCTGCCGGAGTAGTCACCCCATCCGAATCGGGCCGCTACACCTGGAGCCTAGCCAACACCGGAAAAGCCAAGTTGTTCCTCGAGGATGAGCTGCTCATCGATAACAATGAGTGGGACGTTGTGACTGGTGGCTTCCTGGGCTGCTCGAGTGAGGACCGGACCGCTAGTACCCATCTCGAGGCTGGCCGCTCTTACCGACTGCGAGTAGACAATGTCGTGACCTTGCCGCTCGTCGACGCCTTCGACAACACCCTATTCCCTCGCATATCGGGCGTGCGCGTGGGACTCGCCCTGGAGCGGGACGAGACGCTGATGCTGGAGCAGGCGGTTGATTCGGCCCGCGAAGCAGACGTGGCCGTGGTCGTCGTCGGCCACAACAAGGATTCCGAAGGGGAGGGAGGCGACCGGGCCCACATGCAGCTCCCGGGTCGCACCGACGAGCTCGTGGGCGCCGTCTGTGCAGCCAACCCCAATACGGTTGTCGTCATGCAGTCGGGCAGTGCGGTGACTATGCCTTGGGCGGATGCTGCGGCGGGCATCGTGATGGCCTGGTACCAGGGCCAGGAAAACGGCCAGGCCCTGGCGGAGGCTCTTCTGGGCCATTGCAACTTCTCGGGCAAGCTTCCCATCACCTTTCCCCAGCGACTCGAGGATCATGGCTCGAGCGCCTGGTTTCCTGGAGAGGCTGCGCAGGATCGCAACACATTTGGGGAAGAAGTGTTGGTTGGATATCGGCATCTCGATGCCCGGGGGATTCCGCCTCTGTGGTCATTTGGGTTCGGCCTCTCGTATACTCGCTTTGAGCTTGCAGATATTCGCATCAGCGGCACCCTCAGCGTTGCTTCTTCTCCTGAGACCAGGGTTTCAGTCCACGCGCGGGTCCTGAACGTTGGGGGTTGCGACGGGCAGGAAGTGGTGCAGGTGTACGTGGCCCCCTCGACATGTATTGGGGAGATGGGGCTGGTCAGCTATCCAAAGACGTTGGCCGGCTTCGCCAAGATCTCCGTCCCTGCAGGAGAGTCGCGTGAAGTGAACATCACCATTCCTGGATCGGAGCTGCGATGGTATGATGTGAAAACTGGGCAGTGGCGATTGGATGCGGGCAAGTATAAGTGCTGGGTTGGGCGTAGTCTGTGTGAACTCGACAAAGAGTTGGAGATTAAGGTAGAATAGGTAGCGTGATTCTGATGGAAAGAGGAAAGAAATGATCTTTTCTGCTATAGACTCCATCATGATGATGATGATGATGATGATGATGATGTTGTTGTTGATGATCTTGTTGATGTCGGAGGAATGAATAATCCGTTCATCCGTTAACTAATTTGTTCCATCTGCTGCTGATCCTCCCATTCCTTCTACTTCCCCACCGTTTCTTCCAACCAATACTCCGTAATTATACTACACTCCTTCTCCTGCTCCGGCAAGTCTTATTAAATCCTGTCATCATGGACTGCACTACTCCTGTAGCCTGTCTCAACTGCCGAGACAAGCACCTGAAATGTGATGGCAATCTGGCTGGATGTACTCGATGCCAGTCAATTGGTCTTCCATGCCACTTCATTCCATCTCGCCGTGGTCGCAAATGTCGCCCAGCCTTGCCAGCTTCTTCGATTTTATCCCTCGCCTCACCTGTACCATTGAAGTCAATGGGTGAGGTGAATGAGCAGAGTCTACAACTCCACGAACAGCCACAATCACATGAACAGGATCTGCAGCAATTTTCTTCACTCCGGGGACGGGAACAAGACTTGCAGTTGATTTCCCTCTACTACCTCCACTTCCACCAGGCACATCCTTTCCTGCCCCCAATGGAAACTCTGCTAGAATCCAACCCCCCTTCTTACTTACTGGACATCATGGAGTTTACCAGTCTACATTATTTATCGCCTCAGTTTTTCCACGACAGCAGCAAGACATTACTTTTGGCGGTGCAGGCCGCCGATTTGACGGTCGAAAAGACGCAGGCCTTTCTGCTCCTGGCCATTCTACAACACGGGCGACAGCAAAGCCACGAGGCTCGGTCTTGTCTCGGCCAGGCCCTTCAGTGTGCGCTGGAATTGGGTCTGCACCGTCGCGAGGCTTCCGACGCGCTTAGCGTAGACGCTCCCTTGAGGGCCGAGAGTCTCCGACGGACGTGGTGGGAGATTTTTGTGGTTGATGTGCTACTCGCAGCTGTTCAGGCCGATGGATACCTCCAATTTGAAATGAGAGAGACGCCCCAAGTCCCCCTTCCCTGCGGACCAGAAGAGTATCACTCAGGCTGTATTATGAGTCCTCTCCCGCCCACCCTCGCCGACATGGAACAGAATGGTCTGTTCTGCGGAGATGACGAGTTCTCTCCCGGTGCCTACCGGATCGAAGCCGCCATGATGCTGCGAAAATGCTTGCGCGCCGGCGAGTCGCATATCACTCAGGAGACGCTCGACGTACTCAGCGCCGCCATCACCGCTTGGTTCCATCGATTGCCATCCAGTCAACGCCCCATTCTCCAGTCGAATGGTGTTTTGGAGGAGGCAATGATGCAGGCCGTGATGCTGATGCACTGCGCCAGTATCTATCTGCACTTCCCACGTTCTTGCCTTTTGGCCTTTCTCCCCATCACCGGCCGTATCCTTTGTTCGTCGCCGCCTGCGCTCGTCACCACTTCCCCGGATCCTCAATTGCACACCACAAAAGTAGCGGAGAGTGCCGTCCAACTCTCCCGACTCGCGTCATTGTCACCCTCGGTCATCAACCACAGCCCGTTCTTTGCTTGCACACTGGTGATAAGCTCCGTGATACACGTAGCACTCATGCTCAGCGATGGCCTGCAACCCCCGGGGCCCAGGCAGCAGTATTTGGCGCTGAATTTAGGGGTCCTCAGGTCCATGGGGGAGGCGTGGCCCATTGCTGCGAGCGCGATGCAACGAATTCGTCAGGCTGTGATGGAGGTTCACGCAGCAGTCTCGTGCGACACTCGTCCTCTGCTGGACGTTTTCTCTCCCTCCACCTCCACGTGAGGATTTGCCCACAAAGACGGGTCATCTAGGCCCGAATTCAGCGCTCTGTATTTGTTCACCGATCCTTGACGCAAATATTATTTTGTTGAGGGTTCCTTGTGGGCATCGCCTGTAGCACCCCACGCTAGGAATCCTCCAAGACCTAGGCCAAGATTTGCCACCTCAAGCAAATTAAATTATCTATAATACTGGAAGAGGGTTCTGGTCGTGGCAAGCATCCCACCGGCATGACAAATATGCTTACCTTGAGCCTCCAAATGGGGAATGTGGGTCATTGGACCACAAATTGAAGACCCCCTCGACCACTGCAAGACTCAAACCCGTTATCCAGTTGGCTGAGGCCTGAAGACCGGCTCCACCTCCCCTCAGCTAGCGTCCTCGTATAACCCTCGGTGACCCACACTGAGGGTTCGAAGTATGGCTTTGGTATCACGATAGCCGTTCATTTGACCTTTTCTCGACCGGAAAAGATTGATGATCATTGGGATCATGTCTCCATGGGCGTCGGGAAGGATCGCAGGATTCGGCGAAGGTGCGCCCATCGAAGGGCACGCTAGAAAGTGTTGAAAGCCGAGTCCTGTGGCATCATGCTCAAGCGACTTGTCGAAGAAGGTTTAAATATCGGCGTCGAGGAATACAGTGGCTTCTTGTAGCATTCCAACCAGCTTAACAGTTGCGCAACATGAAGTTGTCCAGAGATCGCTTGGCTATCACTTGGGGCCTTATGGCTGCCCTTGAGGCAGGCCTAACCGCGGCTCAGTCGGCCTCCAAACCGCCCAACTTCCTCTTCATCATGGCTGATGACCAGGATCTGAAATTGGACTCTCTCTCGTATATGCCTTTCACTACAAAGCACATGCAAGACAAGGGAATGTCCTTCGTCAACCACTTCGTGACTACGGCCCTTTGTTGCCCGTCGCGGGTCAGCCTCTTGACTGGACGGCAGGCCCATAACACGAATGTGACAGATGTGCATCCCCCATGGGGTAAGTTGCTGCCCCTAGGCCTGCCGCTCAGAGACTGACCGGAGATAGGTGGGTATCCTAAGTTTATCAGTCAAGGGTTCAATGACAACTACCTTCCGGTCTGGATGCAGCAAGCTGGGTACGACACATACTACACCGGCAAGTTGATGAACGCGCAATCTGTCGAAAACTACAACAAGCCCCATGCCGCCGGGTTCAATGGCTCTGACTTCGTACTGGACCCCTACACCTACGACTACATGAACGCCACGTATCAGCGCAACCACGACCTGCCTGTCAGCTATCTGGGCCGTCACACCACCGAGGTCCTGACCGAGAAAGCCATGGGCTTTTTGGAAGATGCTCTTGCCGGCGAACGGCCCTTCTTCCTCACCGTGACCCCGATCGCACCCCACTCGAACATGAACGGGACCTACGGTGGTGGAGCCGGGCCGTTGTGGATGGATGAGCCCATCCCTGAAGAACGTCATAAGCACCTCTTCCCCGACGCCAAAGTCCCGCGTACGGCCAACTTCAATCCCAAGGAGGTGAGTCCTTCACAATCTATCTTTGCCATCCAGCGGGCCCAGGTTCTGACCGTCGTAGCCCACCGGTGTCAGCTGGATCCACGAACTCCCCTACCGCAACCAATCCGTCATCGATTATAACGACCACTACTACCGACAGCGACTTCGAGCTCTACAGGGTGTCGATGAACTGGTCGACTCTCTCATCACCCGCCTGGAGGCGAGTGCCCAGATCAACAATACCTACATTATCTACACGTCCGACAATGGTTTCCACATCAGCCAGCACCGGCTGCCCCCGGGCAAAACCTGCGCGTTCGACGAGGACATCCGCGTACCGTTCTTCATCCGCGGCCCGGGGATCCCTGAAGGCCAGGAGCAGGATATTGTCACCACTCACATCGACATTGCCCCCACGCTGTTTTCTCTGGCGAGCCTGCCGCTCCGCGACGACTTCGACGGGACTCCCATGCCCGTTGCCGAGGTCGAGGGCACGCTGCACGAGCATGTAGCGGTCGAGTACTGGGGCCAGGCAATGCTAGAGGGTGGGCTGTCCAACCTAGGTACATTTATCCGTCCCTTCACCCCCGCAAAAGAACTCCCATGTGACTACTGACACCCAAGAATGAAATGCAGGCACCCCCACCGTTCCCAACAACACCTACAAGGCCGTTCGCATCCTCAGCCAAGAGTACAACCTCTTCTACTCCGTCTGGTGCAACAACGAGCACGAGCTCTACGACTTGAGTGTATGTTGCACTCTCCCCAGCCCCACTATATCCTCTACTGACCAAACTCAAATCCAGACCGACCCCTACCAAGTCAACAACCTTCACCCGCACGTCTCAACCACCAACGTGACAATCCTGGGCTTTGACATTCCCGCGGTGATTGATCGCCTGGATGCTCTCTTGCTCGTACTGAAGTCGTGCCAGGGCCGGACTTGCATCAAGCCGTGGGAGGTCCTCCACCCGGACGGGTCGGTGAATAATCTGCTGGAGGCCATGGATGGCCGGTATGATGGGTTCTATCGCGACCAGTCCAAGGTGTCGTTTGATCGCTGCGAGTATGCCTATATCATTGATGCGGAGGGGCCGCAGACGGCGCTGGCGTACAGGAATGGATACTCCTTGGACCAGTGGATTTAGACATCGGTGCGTGGCGGAAGGGTTGCCTCCGAGATCTAGCCGGTTGGATTGTCGAAGTGCAGCACTGCCCAGAAGAAGCTACACTTCTGATTTCGTTGGGGCTCTAACTGGGACTGAAAGAATGCCGGGACGATCTCACCGGCCTGCTGAATATATGTACGATGCAACACGTCGGTACTCCGACTAGAATATGCTTGTGAAAGAGCAAATGAGATAGTCAATACAACTAGATATTTATTCTTGTTATATTAGGCGGGGCAGAATTCTTTCGTTGACTGCCGCGATTACCAACTCTGAAGCGGCAAGTGGCGACTCCGGGAGATCCGGTGGGATGGAAATCGTGGATTTGTGGAGCCGGTGGGATGGAATCATCATTTCTATCTCCCCCTTCTTCATCAGGCGAACACACAAGGTTCGTAGGAAGCAGAAAGCAGAAGCAAAGCAGAAAGATGTCTCCCTTGCGAAACACTGGTCCTCGATTTAAGTGTCGAATAGCTGGGTGCAACTCCAGCTTCCAGCGCAAAGAGCACCGCAACCGCCATGAAGGGCAGCACACGGGGGCCTTGGCCCGGGTCTGTCCCTTTTGCGCCCGTTCATTCTCCAGAAGGTACGTTAGAACTGGACGGACAAACATTTGAAAATGAAACACTAATCAGCCTGCAGTGACTCTCTCCGTCGTCACATTCGCCTGGACCACCACGACGACCCACAAGCATCCTCAACAACTCGCACGGCCCAAGCTTGCCTGGGCTGCCGGCAGGCCAAGACGCGGTGCGGCGGAGGCAAGCCCTGCAATCGCTGTCGTGCCCAGCCCCAACCCTGTATCTACCACCACCGCCCCCAGCATCCACAACAACCACAACAACCACACCAGTCACCATCATCTCCTGAAGTTCAGTCTCTGTCTCCCCAATCTCTCCCATCTCCCCCCACCCAAGACAATTCCGTCTCCCAATTCACCCCCTACATCCACCTCTACTTCACCCACTTCCACCCCCACTGGCCCATCCTGCATTGCGCCACCTTCAGTCCCCCGGACGAGCCCCTGCTGCTCCTGCAGGTGGTCTCCATGATCGGTCTATGGGTCAGCGAGACCCCCTCGGCGCGCGAGGCGGCGATCAATCTCCATCGCAAACTGGGATCTTCCATCCTCGCACAGCAGGTAACCCCGCTCCCCACCGGCCGCCCGACCTCCTATCCACTATCCACAAATTCAACGCTAACTCAACCTCAGGAGAATTGGGCACGCCCCATCCCATTTACAGCGGATCCGCCCGACCATGATCCCACTGCACCGACACAGGAGATCGTCTCGCGATGTCCCGTAGCCACCTACCAGGCGATCCTCTTATACCTCATCTTCTCCCTGGTGCTTACCCGCGCCGGCCACGGCCCGAGCCACGGGAGCAGCAAGCCTCCGCACGCGCTGGATCTCACCCTCCCCCTCTCCCCCGACGACACGCACATCCTCTCCGTCCTCGTCACCACCTGCCTCCGCAACAGCGTCTTCTACTACCCGCTGATGCTGGAGCGGTACCACCGGACCGTCGACTCGGTCGCGTGCATCTGGGTCGGGGTCGAGGAGCTGAAGCGCCTCGGCTTGGCCATGCACAAGGTCTGTCGGCTGAGTGGGCATGCAGCCCAAATGGTGGAGGGAGAAGACGAGCGGGCCAGGGTCGGCGATGGGCAGGAGGAACACCGCGGCGTCGTGCGTCTCTCGGACCTGCAGTTCCCGCCGCCGGATAGTCGGCATCTCTGGGAGGCGCAGTCCAACCCGGAGCTGGCGCGGTTGCTGCAGATCGAGGCGCGCAGGTCCGGGGGCGCGTCGGCCCCGTTGGACGGGCGCGAGGAAGGGAATTGGGTCTCGGCGTGTGCGAGGGTGTTGGCGGACGGGATGGATACTTGGTGGTTGTGAGTGGGTGCATCATGATATACTACGATAATTCTCATTTCCGCTGTTGATGGTCTTAGACTTGTTGCCTATGACGTCGTAGTTTAGAGACGATGTAGTGAAAGAGAATTGCTGAATGAACTCTTTCCCGTTACACACATGATACCTCCCCAGCAAATAATGTTTCTGACCCGGTTTTCTGGTAGTATCGTCAGACCTCTACTTCGTAAATACAGCACTGACGCAATGTATACTCTCTGGTGTCACCCTTCCAAAAGATGTGTGTATATGTGTGTGCGTATTTGCACCCATAGTAAATCTGCTTAGGGCTTTGAAGCTGTTCCGGGAGGTGGTCAACCTTATGGGGACTAGTCCCTCCAGGCTGAGAGTAGGATCGGAAATCTCCAGCCGGCGACTCACCAAAGCGCCGCATGAACGTGGAAGGCAGTAGACAGTAGTGCAAACTACTGACCACGGTGGCGAGGGCAGCGACATTGATCCGGACCACGATGTCTGGGAGAATTACATCGCACGGTCGGACGACCCGGCATCTGGCCTGGCCCTCATTCCTGACCCGTGAATTGAGGGGAAGGGATTTGCCGTCTTGAGATGCCACCGTCTCCTGGCACCGCCGTGTCGAGAAACCCCGCTGCGGACGCGGTCGGCAACATGATACTGCCCCATACGTGTCGATCAGAGGTACAATCACATCTCGTAGCACACGCAAAAGGTGGAAGCCGATGTGAAGAGACGAGGCGGCGTTGCTGCCGGAAGCGTATTTCCCAGTGCTGCGGACCGTCCGGTGCAGGATGTGCATGACGGAGGAGAGGAACAAGGCCCGAGAGGCAGAGGCTTCTATTGAAGACATAGTCGAGAGTGCGACTGCCGAGTAATGTAGCAGGGGAAGGAAAATAGGCGAGGCGAGGAAGGCGCCATGATGCTGTCAGTTGTCAGCAATTTGATCAAGTATGTAACACTAGAACAAAGAAATGTATGCCGAGAGAGTCCCCGAGTGGTGAACCATTATTCCAGAACAGAATACCGCTAAGACAATCAGCAAGACACACCTCCTATCCAGTTCAGCAGAACCCGCCTATGCAAGACATTTCTATAGCTTCATCGCATGAAAAGCGCAACTTGCGGATTCTTTAGCTCACACACCCCACAGCATATGGCAAACTCTGTGCCGCTGCGGTACGGATGTGGGATGGTGGGATATGTGGGATGCCGTATGACAACCATCTAAGCTTCTAGAAGGCATGCGGAATACTCTACATGGAACAGATGAGGCTATCTCGCGGCATTAGAATTGCTTGGCTAAGAATCTATCATATAAGATGAATGACTAAGTTAATTCATTCATGATGAGTCCGGTGGGTGAGTGGGCGAGCGGGTGGGTGGCAATGAGGCTATTCCGGTGGGAGGATCAAAATGAACTTAGGAGAGGAAGCAGTAGGAAAATAAGGTATATAAGGGCGAAAAGACACCACATAGCCTGCAATCCCCGCTTCTTCATCAGCTACATTCTGTCACTCACTCTGATACCTTTCACTTCATCAACCAAAGAAATCTCAAGCGAACCAATCATCTCACATCGAAATGCCCGCCTTCCAAGGGTCCGTCTCCGTGACGCACATCACCACTGCGACAGCGATCATCAACATCAACGGCGTACGCTTCCTCACCGACCCCGTCTTCTGCCCCGCGGAGTCCGAGTACGAGTGGGACGGCTGGGCCAAAGCCGACTGGGCCGGCTGGGGCTACGAGCAGCCCCCACCCCCGGTGAAGCTGCGCAGCCAGGCCGGCCCAGCGCTGCAGCTGCACGAGCTGCCGCCCATCGACGCCGTGCTGCTCAGCCACGAGGACCACGTCGACAACCTCGACCCCCTAGGCCGGCAGCTCCTCGACGGCCGCCAGGTGTTCACCACCCCGGACGGCGCCCGCAACCTGGCCCCGCGGCCCGGCGTGGTCGGCCTCCAGCCCTGGCAGACGGTCGAGACCGTCCTCGGCGGCAAGCGCTTCCGCATCACCGGCACCCCCTGCCAGCATTTCCCCGGCGGGGAAGTCACGGGGTTCATCGTGGAGTGCGACGCCTTCGGGGTGAGCGACGAGGGCCTTCCCAACGTGGTGTACTTCTCCGGGGATACCGTCTGGATCGACGAGCTGGCGGAGATCCGCAAGAAGTGGCATGTCGCGGTTGCCGTTGTGAACTTGGGCAATGCCTTGTTCCCCACCCCCAAGGGGATGCTGCAGATCACCTTCGACGGGAAACAGGCGGCCCATCTGATGCGCGTGACCGGGGCGGATGTGATGGTTCCCATTCATTTTGAATCCTGGGAGCACTTCACGCAGCATCAGGAGGAACTGCGACTGGTGTTTAAGGAAGAGGGGGTTGACGACAAGGTGTGTTGGTTGACGCCCGGTGTGGAGAAAACCGCTATCTAGGTGTGGCTTGGTGATTGAACCCAAAGGACCTCAAAAAGGTTGCCATGGAGAAAAGTCATCGATTAGACTCTAGAGTGCTGCTTGCATTGATTTGGTTTTGAACTTGGTTTCTTTATATAGATAATTTCCATTCTGCTAGAGAATTGTCAAAGTCACTTCTTCCTGTCACCCGCCGACTCCCGCCATTCTGTATACAAGAATTAGTAGATCCTACTGTGCTAAACGAGATTAAGACTGCATTTTATTTATATTTAAAGATATAAAAAATATAAAAGTAGCCCTTTCACCGTTTGAAACACAGTCACTGTTTTGGAAAGTCGAAACAAATACTGTATAAGCCCGGTTAGTCCGGCTGTTCTCACCGCGGCCGCGGCGGCTACTATAGTAGCAAATGCAGTCTTCCTATTTATACATAAATTGTAATTAAAAAACATGTTAATATGTAAAATTACACATACATTGTATTTCATACTTTATAACAAGTATTTACTGATCAATTAGCGTTCAGAACTCCGCCTGTACGCCCTGCACCACGCGCTCTATTAAATTTGATGTTGAAATTTCTGGTGTAAATAGTATAGCAGAACGGCCGTTTGAATGAACTGCAAGGCAGTTAGAACTGTGCATCGAGTTTTTCTGCCGGTCACATAATATAGCCTGTACCTATTTTGGTATATAAAATTCCAATGCACCTTCCTATTTAAAAAGATGAGCCACGCCCCACCGCCTAACGCAGCATAGCTAGGAGCGTAAGTCTGGTGATACGGATGAGAAGCGATAGAGGAGCTGAACAATACCGGGTAGTCCCATCGTGGCATCAAGCGGGAATAGCTTGATTTCACAACCCTCGGTTATCCAACTATTCTCTCAGCTGCGGTATGAATTCGGCATGGGAAAGAACGATACCGAGGATGAGGGCGGACATTCTCCCGGAAGGTAGATGAGACGAGTCATGGGAAGGACGGGTGTGCCATCCATCGCGGACGGAGAAGCAGGGAATCGAACTTAATTAAAGCAGGCTCCTCTGCCTGTTACCTGGAGACTTTTTCTAGTTCTTTGAGGCCTAGCTGGTTAGGCTGCGCACCACCCGCTACGGCCTGCTGCTCAGATAGGCTTCCATGGCTGAACTCACAGCACAGCACATCCACATCCCCAACACCAGGGTATCCAGCTTACTAACATAGGTGTTCTCATCGTCTATGGACTGTTGCCAACCAGAATACCACACCGACAATCTATGATTAGCCCTAGTGGCTGTAGAAAGACTGTTCACTGCCCCTCCTTTGCAAACGCCCTCACGGACACGTGACCTGTAAACGGCTTTGAGCTGGGTGATGGACTGTCTTCCTTTCAAATTAGTATAGAGAATAATTCTCGTGCTGTTTACCAGACATCCTCCACTGTCATTATAAGCCTACTACCAACATAGCTTTGAAACCTCCAGGTATCATATTCTACTTGTCTCTGGATAAGACATCCGGCCTCACCCCGTTTAAGCCTGTTCTACTATCACTCTTCCATCCATTTATCCTGCTATATCTCTGGCTTCCAACTTCAAACTATCGAGTACCTGACGTGATCAATTCTCAACCAGCATCTTCTAGCCGTCTCTCAGTAGCGAAGAAGGCGTGACTATACCCATCCAGATCCCCCGTAACTAACATACAATGACTTCTCTCACATCGATCTGCGCGAACTGGAGTCCCGAGAAGGCGGAATGCAAAAAGGAAGGGCGGGCGACCTGCAAGGAATGCTTCCTGATTACTGTCAGTGCTATAACATGACTACTTGATTCCCAGATGTGTACTGACATAGACCTCGACTTATAGTATTGCAGCAGAACATGTCAAGTGGCCCACTGGTCTGAGCATCGGAAGGACTGTAAGTCCTTCTTGAAGAAGGATACATGGCATCCTGCGTGGATCCTGGAAAGAAGATTCCCTGTGCTCACGAAAGGCGGCTTCGAGATGTTTGAAAGGAGAAAATACCTTTGGGGCACCGATGCTGCGATTGATGTCTTGAAGCTTGCCTCCAATGAAGGGGAAAGCTACGCTAAGGACCTTCGCCTTTTGTTTGCTGGTAGGTATCAAATCCCGTCTAGTCTATTCTTCTGTGCATGACTAACAGGCTGTGTCGATAGCCTCAGGAGACCTCCGCAATGTCGTCAGAACCGTCGCCGACCTGCCAACCGCCTATAGTGGCCCCCTTGATATCACAATCAATGACCAAGATGAAGATGTCGTGATCCGGAATGTGATATTACTCCTTGTGGCACTTGTTGTCGATGACCCCAATGAAGCTATCGACTGCATAATCCACCTCTGGTACTCGGCACTTGTACGGCAATCCGACATCCGAGTGCTCTCGGATCGCATTTGGCCCCTCCTTCAGGACGTCTGTCACACCACGATCGATCATGAGCCATTGGAACCCGTTTCAAAAACCTGGAATTTTAGGGCTTGTTCGCTGAGCGTAACACTTGGACGCGCGGTGTGGTTCCGCCTCCTGTCCTATTGCAACATCCCATCTGGCTTGACAGCTGAGAGTGCCCAGAAGATCCGCACAGGACAGGCTTTTGGTGCTTCAGAGAAGGACCTTCACGATGAGCATATGATCTTCCTTTCTCCGCGTCAGCGGCTTGCATACCATAAATTCAGACAGGACGGCCTTCTACTCCCATTTGGTTACCCTCGCCGCGATTTTGTGCAGCCAAACCCGTGCGTTCAGGTACCCTCGTAATGTGAGGAGATCGGTACTGACGCGAGACCAGGACGTTATTCCAGTATAGAGGAGTCTGGCCTCTGATGGCTCGCGCGAATCCGCTGAGTGGATGGTCGCTGAGAGACGTCCTGAAGACACACAGCGGGCCCGCCACGGCAGACGTTTACGGCAAGCTGTTCTGCTACCTCCACAAAACGCTGGCCCATTTTGTCGAGCGATTGTCCAGCACAAAGATTGCCTTCCAATTCCATCAGACTACCGCGTCTCATCTTGTAGAAGGTCTCGATAGGGGTACCTTTGACCGAATCGAAGTAAGTATACAAACCTACCAGCAAACAGAACCTCTCCCCCCCTGCAGCCCCACTGATCACGAGTAAAATAATCCATCCATCCAGTACTAAGCATCCTCTCCCAGCTCTCGAATCTTGCAGACAACAACCACATGGGCGCCTATCATGCCCTCTCGACCATGGTCCCCTTGCTTCGGCCTCCGCAGCAGAATCCACACGCCACCCTCATCACTCTGTTCACGACCGCCATCAGCAGCGGCACGACCCTCGACGAGGGACTCACATCCATGTTCGCCGATCCTCAAACCCAAGAACTGCTAAGAAGATACAGCCCGGAGACGGAACAATGGTCTGTTTTTGATGCCGCATCCCTCAGAAAGGCCTCCGCTCTCCAGCTCTTCGCGCCAGTCGACAGACTCTTCGATAGGTGAGTACGCTGAGCACACAACGGATGCACGCATCCCAGTGCAGTGGACACGAGCAAGCAATTATTAACACTCTCGATAGGTATCTGAAGACATTTGCAGTTCTGGATGTGGCCCGCCGGGTCGGCGCGGTGATCAAGGAACCACACAGCATCGTTGCGAAATGGCCTTACCGGATGCAATTGCGGCCTGATCAGGAGGGCGCGCTGCAGGAGCTGAAGCTCTGTCTGCGGGAGATCCGATCGAGTAGGGAGCGATATGTGGAGTGGAAGCGATCGCTCTAGGGCCTCGGTTGGTCATGCTGTGGTACTTTGTAGTGGTTTATTTACCGGTTGGCGGTTTGATTTGTTATTGTGTTATGATGGAAGATCTTTGCTGAGAAGCTTTGTTTGAGAGTGGATTGTATCGCCTGGGTTGATCAGTAGGGGCTTCGGGTTATTCGTTGTTCTGGGCCAGATCTCATGTTGAAGCTGATTGTGGTTAACTGGAGAGCTCATGAGAGTTTAACTTGCTGTTTCGGTGTTAGTCGAGGTAGCATCTGGGAGCTATGCAGCGAATACTGTGGCCGGGTGTACGTTCTGTGGTCGACGTCGTCCTTGTTCTCGCTCTGACAGGAACAGGAAGAAAATGCTACAGCCTCCATGCCCGTGACGTGAACTCTTGCGGTAGCTGTAAAGCAAGAATCAACTTTTCGGTGAAGCTGCGACGCCTTTACAGCCAGCGTACTAGCCTAGCCCTTCCTCTCCACACATAGTGCCTGCCCATACAAGCTGATATCGTAACCGAGCGCAAGTCCTGCACGAGGCGCTCGAGATTTATGGACAGGAGAACTATATCAGAGGGTGTGGAAGCAAATCCCGGGGCGAGGGGAGCGATGCCGCTGGTCGCATTGTGAGCAATCTACCCATCAGAGAAGCGCAACTGTTCGACCTGGACCTGCGTTGGAGATTTCAGAATAAATCAACAGAACCATATCATCTTGTCCCCCGGTATCAAGGTTATTACTTCTCCAATCTATTGTACTCCTGGGAGAGAGTGTGGGTTGAGAAACTACTATGTACATCGATAGGATAAATAATGATGGTCAATCTGCACAGCAAAAGAATCTACCAGTTCAAAGATGGAATGTTGCTATGCAGTGGCGGGGCAGTACCCATGCTAAAATCAGACCAGGTTTTAGTACCACGGTACTGAGGGCCGAACTTAAGTTGGTGGATCTAGTACACACTTTCTTTGAGCTGTCACGTGAAACGGGGCAATGGCGCATCTGGGAGCGCGTCAGACTGAAGATCTGGAGGTGGCCGGTTCAAGCCCGGCTTGCCCCATTTTCTTTTTTTACCCTTCTTTTTTTATCATCATTGCAATGTCTTCAGTCTGTCTCCCTTTGTTAAAATCTAGTGACTAATCGTCATATTTGACAGTCCAAATGTGCTACAATCACGTTCTCCGATCTGCCCATGGCTCTCAAAAGTTGTAATGAATTTTGATGAAACGAGCTAAAGATTATCGAGCAAAGCCTGCCTTGAAGTGAGGTCCCTGAACTTGACTCGACTTGATGAAGTGAAAGCCATGCTCCTAGAATCCCCCTCCAGTAGTTTCACACCCTTCGATATGCACCAGTCAGGAAAGTGTCGTAGTGGTACATGATGATCCTTAATTAAGATTGGCATCCAGGAGGAAGGGCATTCTGTGTTGATTGTGAGATCAGACTCGCTCAAACATTGCTTGAGAGTCTGGTCTCTGCTCAAATATTGCTTGAGAGTGTGTTTTCTGCGCAGTGTTGACTTGGGCTGTCGCAAGAGCTCTTTCAGATGGACGAAACTCGCCCAGCATAAGAAAGATAGGGGTCCTGGCGTGAACGCTGAGGTATCAATCCAGTATTCGATATCTTTCATCCGAATATAATCTCCATTTGGCATCCACTTAGCGCCAATTTTGAAGCTTTGTCCAGAGCGATGATGATGCTGATAGGGCTTGTCGAGGTGCTTAGGGTGCCAAAATCGGACAATTGAGGTCGGGGGCTGTTGGAGAAGCATCCGCCGCCAACTTGCCTCAGGGCGCAAAAACGCTTCTTCTCTCTTTTCGGATGCAATGTGAGGATAGCTCCACCAGCCACAATAGTCTCCTCCCACTCTACATTGCGTGTGAAGTTGCGTGTAGATGAATTCGGGCCAGATCTTTCTCCCACGAGAGGATTCTTTCTGGGTTTTCGTTGCGGCTCGACAGGAACATAGTACAGGGCCTGCTGAATCTTGCGCGAGCTCGTGATCAGATCTTTCCATGTGAAACAGACTCGGGTCGAGATCAACAACGTATGCATGTCCAAGTTCAAGAGGATTGCTTCGAGGAGCTCGGGAATAAAGAATATCACGGATGGGTCTGACGAGTGGCGAGCCTTGCCTTTGTGGTTCTTCTTAACTCTTCTTGGAGAAGGCATAATGAATAAGCGTTGTCGTAGTCGAGACTGAGCAGAACGAATGCGAGACTGTTGTAATCTCATAACGCCAGGATGACAACGAATGACTCATTTTGTTCTATGGTCGTGTCACAGACAACTCAAAAGTATGGCCTGCTTGTTTCGTCACTGTTTTCAGGATGGCGGAAATCAATCTCAGTGCCTGGTGCAAGTTATTCTCGGCATAAGGAAAATGACGGCAGTTGCACATCACACCGCAGCCCACCGGTCAGAAAGTTTGTTTTGTCTGTCCGCAGGTGAACAGAATTCCCTTCATAGAGGCGGAGCGGTAGCCACCTCTGGCCCAGCCCCTATATTTCACCTCCTGGTAGGACAATGACACCTTCGGTTGTCCTTGGTATGGGGTTCCAAGCGCTGGTCGGGAGGGCCTACTCCAAGGTAGCATGCAAGTGCTAGGTTCTCCCTCTTGGTGGGTACTGGGAGATGACGAGGTTGAGGAGTTACGTGGTTAGGGCATCGGAGTTATCGGGCTTGGGGTGAGGTTTTTGTCGAGATTTCGGGAAAGGGTTAGTGATGATGGTAGTGGTGACTTGATGGCTGCATCAAAACATAAGCAGGGAAAAGCATACTGTACTTGCAAACCAGTGCTTTGCAGGTAGAAAAGGCAAAGTAGAAGAGGAGATGAGGGTGGTTAGATGACTTGTGCGCAATCCAGCCCGACCTCTATTACCAGGTCTGTTTCCATGAGTTATACCTATCTGTTACTAGGATGCTTTCAGGGGATGTGGTAGGAGTTAATAAAAAGACAAAAACATACAACAGAAGGGATTCGCTGGTGGTCACCCACCCAACTACTAACCTCCCGGCGTGTGGCTTAAGTACGGCTGAGCGGACGGGAAGCCCTGTTTTCCACACCCTGTGGTCGTATGTGCTGGGTAATTACACAGTATAGTATATACGCTGTGGAATGAAAATTTTTGTTGCAACGAGGGTCCAATCTACTCTGTACAACAATCTTCCTCTGTACCATGCTACTGATACTGCTATAAGAACTCTCGATGGAAATTAAGCTTGCCCTAAGATTGTACCAATTATTGAATCGCAATTAGCAGCGTGCGCAACAGCTGAGGGCCTGGATGTAAACGCGGCCAAGAAGAGAAGAAGCATTGAGCCTGTGATATATATAAGGCTGCAGACTAGCCTGTGTAGCGTGTAGACTTTCGACGAGGCTCACAGAGGGTTGATCTTCGATAATCGCAATAGTCATGTCTTTCGCTTGCTCTGCCCATTAACATCCCCCCCGCGAATTTGTTTTCTGCCACCTGGAAAAATTTGTGTCCAAGTAGTATTTAGCCTAGTACTGCTTTGTTGTCGGTGTCCCCAAGTAATTTAGCCACGTGACCAGGCGATTCACCAACCGAGTTGAAGGATTAACTACTAACTGTGGATCCTCCCTATAACGAATCAATTGGGAAAGGCCGACCCGTTCACTATAACGAGGATTTCTTTGTAGCCAGTATAGGTTTTTGCTGTAGAATTGGTGTAGATATACATTCTCTTAGACTGATCCTTGAAAAAGCCAACCACGTGATCCATAAAATCCTATCTTCCTAAATAGATATAAATCCTTACTTATTCAGGTATACCTCTTCCTCTATATAGCGAATTTCGCATGTAGGAATAGTCTCGACCAACGAATTTCATTATATGGCGAAAATAACGAAGTTATTATTGGGGGCGGAAATTCCCCCACAGCAGTTGAACCAACCAACCATCAAGATTTCATGATAACGATTCACATCGCCCATCCCTGAGTTATAAAATCGCTTAGATTATACATCTGATTGGTTGTAGAACAGAGATTGGTTTAATGTATACTTCTAATTACTCATCCATGACATCCGATCCCTAAGGGGATTGCTTAGCTGCCATCCCTACCATCCAGTTTAAAGTATTCCAGATGAGCTCTTTCTGCCCTGCATTCCATCTATAGGTAATCACGGAGTACTACAGAGTAGTGAGCTTGTCAGCAAATATTATGACTATAGCTATCAATGGATAGCGGTACAGTACCTTTTGTGATTCGTCCAATATGACGAAGTCAAATTGGTTACCGTCGGTGATCACACCAGAACAGCCAACCCTGGCTTTTTCTGTCTTGATTCTTGCGTAGTTCACTGCGCCTAGACTAATGTTAGAAACAATACTGATATTAGTTGGTGGCGGAGATAGGGAATATCTACCCATGTATCCCAGTAGCTGCGCAAGTTTTCCCTCCCAAACTCCATTTTCTCTTTGCTTCGATAATCATAAGTTGTGTGGAAGACATGATTTCAATATCATACCAGACTGTGTAATCGGATGATCCGGAAGCCTTGATATTTGTATCCCGGAAAAGAGTCTCGAGAATTACCTCAACACCAAGTCTCATGTCACGAGCATGGTCCTCTTTGGTGATGCGGTGGTGGCACATTCCATCCGATCCCTCTGTTCAATTATGCAGTGCACAAACACCCTCCACCTTAGTCCAATCCAATCAGATATTTTCCAGCGGCAATAAGAAGCCTCCCTTTGAACTGATTGGAAACCGAGACCCTGCTGGGTCGACATCTCTTCGGTGTGGTGAGTATTGATCTCAGGTCTGCACGTCAGGTTCATCCTTTCGTTGGACTTGAAGCCAGCGCGCGCAAGAGCAAGTGTGGCACTGTGATACGTTCATGAGATAGTTCCGCGAGGCTGATGAGTCGTCGTGTATAGCGGGTCGCTTGAAAGGCGTCAGAACTTGAGCATCATGTTCCCCCCGGCTGTCCTTGGTCTCGAGTGCCAGTTCTTGTAGCTCTATGTCTTTGATTCTTTGGGTCAGTCTCCGGGACGTATGCTCGAAGTGAGTAGAGCTTACCAGGGCTTGTGGAAAACAGTATGTGATCAGCATTCCAATTCATCATTGAGGGATTCTCGGTTATCCCGAAGTAAAAGTGTACATCATTCATGTCGAAACTGCTGAAGGAGACCGAGCAATACTCATCTCCTGGACGACTTTTCTGCTGAAGGCTGTCCCCTTGTTATTCATCGTTGTTGAATCCGTTATCCACAAGATTGCCGCTTTGACTGAGGCCATGAGCGACCGTAGTTCTTTGATAGGATTCGAGATCTTGCGACGATTTTCTTTGTAGGGATGATAGTGGATCTGCTCGGGATAATCGGGAAAGGAAAGGTTCATTATTCGAAGTGAAAAGTAACTGCCAGAGTTCTTTCGTAGGTCCGATCAGAGACATCGAAGATGATCGAAGATGGAAGGTTAGTTGATTCCAAAGCGTAAGGGACTTGGTTATCGAGGGAGAAGTGTGGACATCAGTTCCGATCTTGGAAGCCACGCAGGCGACTCTTGCCCCATTTGCACTACATACACCTGAGTAGAAATGCAAAGAGTTCACTCGTATTATTTATTCACATATTGTGGCTCGATAAGTGGTTAATGATCACCCAGATCCGCAGGTATTCACACGGTCTCTGCGGCATTCATAGCGGCCGCTCCTTCCTTGGATCCTTGAATTGAGGAGTCGATGTCATTCACCTCTGACCACCTCGATGACTAGGTAAAGAGAGTAGAACAACAAACACAAAACCATTTCCCTTCTGTATCAACGAATCTTTCCTTTACATTTGCCTCTATCAAGTCTATCAAAATGCCTGCTCAACACAGTCAAACAATTTTCAATTCTACATAGTCACCAAAGAACCTGATGGAGACGGCTTTCTCGTCAAGAGAAGATTCAAGGACATGAAGGCTACGAAGCAGATGATCTCCCTCAGCAAGAGGATAGTCGCATGTACAGAAAATAACTTAACTTCTTCGGCTTCTTTAGGACTCGCTCTACACACCAAAAGCCGAGAGTCGAACGAGGCTTTGGCAAGATTGAGGATTGACAGGATCCTACGCGCCGTGGTACGCTAGCACCGGATTCCCCTAGATGATCATGCCCGCGAGATGAAACTTGCCCAGCTATCGCGGTACAGTCCCGGATCCGTTGAAACTGAAGAATCGAGAAAGGAAAAGCATGGTTGGCTGTTTTGGTGCCATCAGGGATGGCAGTCAGTTCGATTTTTTCATCCTCGACGAAAGTCGCTAGGTAAGATACTACAAAGAGACAATTGGTATAGTCATAGCATATGCCAACACCTTCTGGTAGTATTCATAATTCCCTACCGATGGAACTCGGGGCAGAAGGAGCTGATTTGGAATCTTCTCAATTGGATTGTGGCCGCGGAGCAGTCTCCGTAGGGTCCGGACAAGAGTGGCTGAAAGGATTGGCCAACAACCTCTACGAGGTTGGGCGTAACCCCAAGGGGCATTGCGCGGATGGCTATCTCTGTCCTGTTCGAGCCTCGGTGGTCAGTTTGTTCTTATTTTTTCAACTGCCTTTGCTTGATCTTCGACGCGGTTGCTTTTAGCCTTTTGTTCTAGGATCTAGGCCTTATTGTTGGTTGTCCATGTTGCTCTTGCTGCTGTTTTTGCTGCTTGTTGCTGCTTACCTCTCGTCTCCTTGTATTCTACAACCTTGCATACAGAAGAGTGGAATCCATTCATAAGCAAATCATATAGAAGATTGAATTCTGTTCTACAGCCGATCGGACAACACCATCACAATGCACGAACATTCAAACAACCAAAGCACAGAATATCATAAAAAAAAAAAACAGAATCAACAAATCAACTAAGCATCGAGAGAGACCTCCAAAATGCGCTCCTTGACGCAGAAGCCCAGATCCTCCTTGGCGCCTGCCAGATACTCGACCGACTCGAGATCGGACGCAGCCGGGGTAGACAAGGGACTGCCCGAGCTGCTGTTGGCCGTCAGAGTGGGCAGTGGGCTGGTCTTAGTCACCGACTCCTCTTCTTCCTCTTCGTCCTTCTTCACTTCTTCCTCCACCTTCACTTCAACCTTCACTACCACCTTCTCCTCTACCTTCTCCTCCACCTTCTTGGCCCGCACAGCCACTTGCTCAACAGCATCGCGGACCAGATCACCCACAGACCCCCCATTCAAGATCTTCAACGTCGGAATATCCGCCTGCAGCTCCTTGGTGAACCACGCCCGGATATCGACCGCCACCAGCGAATCCACCCCACGATCCACCAGCGGCACCGCCTCATCGACCGCCTCCGCCGCCGGGATGCGCAGCAACCGCTTGAGATGCGCGACGAACGCCTCCTTGACCACCACAAACGCCTCAGCAGGCGACTCCAACACCCGCTGCAGCCGTACCTTGATGGGCTCCGAAGCCGCCGCACCAGCATCCCCACCACCAGGTCCAACACTGCCCTCGTCGCGACGCACCAAGTGCGAGAACTTCACATCGCGTCTGCGTCCCTCGGGAACCAGCTCCTCCTCCGAAGGAACCCGCGTATTCACCCCGGTGACCACCTGCGCCGACGCCGCGAGGCGATCCTCCTCCTCGTTAACAGCCGGCCGACCGGACAGGATCGCCTCCGCGAACAGCACCTGCAGATCCTCCTCGCTGATATTGATATACCCCAGGGAGGCGAAGTAGTCGAAGTCGAAGGTGTCGGAGTGGGCGGCGTACCCCACGCCGAGCACCGCAGGGATACTCATAGCCGACCCGGGCAGGCCGTGCTTGCGGCGCCGCTGGTGCATCAGCGAGATCATGTACTCGTTCGCCGCGGAGTAGTTGCTCTGGCCCGTCCAGCCGATCACCGCCGCGATACTAGAGGCCACCACGAAGAAGTCCAGGTCGGGGGACCGGAAGAGTTCGTCCAGGAGCTGCGTGCCGCGGACTTTGGGAGCGAGCACGCGCGTGAATTGCTCGTAGCTCATGCGGGCGAACAGCTCGTCGGAGAGGATCATGGCGCCGTTGATGACGCCGGCGATCGGGGGCAGGGTCGCGGTCAGGGCAGCGTGAACGGAGAGGAGGGAGTGTTGGCTGGTGATGTCTAGGGACACCGCGCGGACGACCGCCTGGTGCTGCGTGGCCATCTCCTGGATAAACTGCGGGGAGACCTTGGGCGTTCGGCTGGTGAGGACCACGTAGCGGGCGCCGTGCGCAATGAGCCAGCCTGCCAGTGACTGACCGAGTTCTCCGGCCATTCCGATGAAGAGGTAGGTGCGGTCGGGACGGAAGAGGCGGCCGGAGGTGATGGGCTGGACGGTCGCCGTCACTGTCGGGCTGGCAGTCCAGTCGATGACGCTCAGGGCTTCTCCGAGCATTGAGTTGTCCTGCACTTGGTCTAAAGCGATAAGAGGCGGAAGCGAAGCTGCGGTAGAAGATGAGGCAGCCTTGTAGGCCGTCTGGAATTGTTGAGCAATGCTCGAAGAAGCGTTGAGCTCGCTTTCGGTAACGGCGTGACTTATTAAGGTTTGTTCGTTGAGTACCAAACAGGAGGCAGGCAGATGCTGCAGGATGGTCTGATGCATTGCCTTGCCGTTGGAGAACAGCACCGCGAAGCCAGGAGCTTTAGGAAGTAGGCTCTTGACCGCCGACTGGGACAGACGGGGATCCAGATGGATGGTTGATGTATCTTGACTATCAGTTGCGGTGTCAGTAAAGACGAGAGCAACATTCTTCGCCTCTGCTTGCGCTGTCAGTGCTGCTTGAAGCGTAGCATCGGCCGAATGAATCAAGCCAGTGGACCCGGGAAGAGCGATCGACAGGATGCGCTGAGCGATGAGCTGCGCAGCCAGTGACACCAGGCGGGAGGCCAGTGCTGGCTCCCCATGCGCATTTTCTTCCACCAGTACACATTGAGAACGAGGTACTGTGACCACCGACTCATTTGATGTGGCCAATGCGAAGACCGTCTCTTGGGTGTCGATGTCCTTTCCGATACACGGCCGAACAAATTCTCCCGTGCACGCAGCCACACTTTGCAGCAAGGAATGTGTGATCCGGAGCGAGCGTGCTGGCTCGTCGAGCGGCGGCGACCAGCGCAATGGCGAGGGGACCTGCAGCGCCAGTGCCTGAGCATCTCCGTCTTCCACGCTTACCAGCGCCAATCGTTCGGTCGCCGGCGACACTGTGGCTTTGATGGAGCGGCGGAGGGCGTTGTAACGGTTGTTCTTCGCCTGATCGGCTCGCAGTCTCGTGATATAGAGCTTGCTTGTGCTGCTGGAATAGACCTCGGGCTCCATGGTCCACAGCAGCGAGGCATCCGGCTCGCTGGCTTTCCAGCTGTAAAGCGCCTGCTGACGCAACAGGGCCTCGGCAAGGATGTTGGCAGTTCCCGCCTGAATGCCGGTCTCGAGATCGAACAACTGACTGTTCAGATCTGGCTGCTCGTTCTGGATGGTGCGGAAAATGCCCAGCATCATGTAGCTGGCTGGGGTCTGGTCGCGCGCGCCTGCGGTGACCCAGAGGAATGTACCCGCCGTGCTGGTGCAGGTCTGCAGAGCCGAGAGCTTGTCCTGCGTCACATCATCGAGATACGGGCGATCGAGATCGGTGAGGACGAGAATCGTTAGCGATCCGGGCACAGAGAACTTGGACGGCGTCAAGTCTGACCTAGCCAGGTCGGACAGCGTGGGGAAGAACTCGGTGCGCCCGAACCGCGGCCCCAGGACTTGGGCAACGTCCCGGCCAAGTTTGTGCACCGGCCAGGTCGTGCCTCCGACAATAGCCAGGGCATCAGTCCGGATCCCTTCGGGATGAACGGCCACGCTGAGCGGGTTCCGCAGGAGAGCGACGCGATCGTCAACGGCTTGTGCCACAAAGACCGTCATGGGCAATGAGGCGCTGATATCCGGACTGACAGTATCGATACCGCCAAACCCGGATGCCTGCAGTGCTGCATCCCATTGACTCAATGTGAACAAGGGACCCCAGGGCCGGCCGGTGTCCGCGCCAATCCACCATCCGGGCAGTGTGCCGACGGTCATGCCGCTGAAGAGCAAGTCCGTCGAGGTCAGCTCAGCGACCACCAGGAAGCCTCCCGGTCGAAGAAGACGGCGCACGTTGGATAGCGAAGCCTGGATATCCCCCGAGACGTGCAGAACGTTGACCGCCACGATGACATCGTATGTCTCCTCCTCGAAGCCCTGGGTGGAGGGAGACCGCTCCATATCAAAGGTCTGATAGCGCATGCGAGCAGCATCGGGCCCGAAGCGGTCCTCCGCCGCCAAGAAGAACCCGCTGGAGATATCCGTGAAGGTATAGGAGCCATAGCTGCCCTGCACAGCGTCGAGCACCGCCGAGGTTGTGGCACCAGTGCCGGCACCCACCTCGAGAATGTGCACCCCGGGGAAGCGGTGCGAGATTTGAGCCACGATGCGCGAGAGCCAGCGACCGGTGGGACCGGAGCAGATGGCGTCTTCCGCATAGAATGCCCGCAGAAGTCCATCCTGGTTCATGTGCTCCAACATGGAGGTTCCCGCCCGCAGCACGGGGACCAGGTTCTCGCCCACTACCTCGACGAAACGGAAGTCCTTCCGGTCGGCATACCGGGCGCACAACTCGGCAATCTGCTCCCGAGTATCCTGGTTGCGGCTAGCTGAGACCTTTGGGTGGGCGCCTCGAGACACCATCTCCACCATCCGGTCACACCAGCCCAGGTATTTCTGGTAGTGGGGCAGGAGGCCATCGCGCTCGGTGGCAGGAATGGCGGCGGCGGCCTCGCGAAGATACCAGTAGGAGATGCGGTCCACATCCTGATACATTTGGACTTCGACGTCGGTGAGCGTCTCACCCTCAGCGGCGAGAAGGCCATCGGGGGTGGCGAGTCCATACTGGAATTGGGAGAACATCGGAAGGTCGTCGCGCGAGGTGGCTGGCGAGAATGGGACAAGAGTTGCACCCTCCACCTGTACGACGACGGCAGGTGCAGATCCCTCGACATTGTGGCGCAACGTCAACTCTCCTACGATCTGAGTGGGCTCCCTTTTGGTAATACTCGCCTCGAACTCCAGTCGGTCGGGTCGTCCACCGGCTCCCGATTGGGTGAAATACGGGTTGATGGTGATCGCGTCAATGGATACCGGGACGTGCAGCGACCAGAGTTGCGTGTCACCGGGGTACGACCACGCGGCGAAAATGCTCTGCAGCGCTGAGTCCAGGGTACCAGGGTGGACGAGGAGGTCATCTTCCCAGCCCGAACCGGCGTGATCCGTCAAAGTGCCAGTGCTGTATCCGGGCTTCCGGCGGATGTCGCTCAGCCCCCGGAAGTGTCCACTGTAGCCGTATCCGACGCGGGAGAGATTCGCGTAGAAGTGTTCCTCTGTGATCGGGACGAGCTGGTAGGTATTTTTAGCTGCGCCCGAGTCAAGGGTATCGGCAGCCTGAGCACAGAGCTCTCCTTCTACTCGGCCCTGGGCGTTCAACACCAGAGTACTGCCGTTCGTCACTGAGTAGCAGGCCCACCGTGTGGTGATGTTTGTCGCGGACCGCTCGATGGCCGAGAGGCTGAAGATGACCTCGACGCTGGAATCGTCGTCGTCTAGGGTGACAGCACGGGGGATCTGGACGTCGCGCACGCTGATCACTCCGAGGGTGCTGTCGCCACCAGTACTCTCCTGTGCCAGTCGGGAAAGCGCCTCGACGGCCATGCTGACGTATCCCATGGCCGGGAAGACGGTCTGGCCCTGCAGCTGATGGCCGTTGAGCCAGGGCAGGTCGCGGGGCTGCAGGAAGTTGCGCCACTGCACCTCACCCGGCGTCAAGGCTTCAGTAATGGGCGTACCTAGCAGAGGGTTGGGCTTGTGGGTCGGTTGCCGATGCTTGAAGTGGTTGGCCACCCGACTGTCTGTCCAGTGTGCCTTGGAGTGGTCAAAGGGATACGACGGGAGATCGTCGATGACGACCGGACTGCGGCCGCTGCCAGAAAGGAGCGACTCGACGGCTGCGAGCTTAATGTTACCAGTGCCCAGCTGCGTCCATACAGCGCCAAGAGCGGTGTTGAGCTGTACAACGTCGTCCTGGCCTCGCGCCAACAGACCCGTGTAGGGCGTAGTGGCAATCGTGGCCGTGGCGGGTCCCTTGAGCGCTGGGTGCGGGCCGACCTCGATGGCCAGGTCGAATTGTCCCGTTGCGTCCTGGGCCTCGCTGAGCGCACCAGCAAAGAGAACGGCTTTGCACATGTTGTCCACCCAGTACTGATTCGTCAGATTCGTAGAGTTCATGGGTTGGCCCTCGAAGACACTGGAATACCAGACTGTCGAACTGTTCGGGGTTGCAGTGGCCTGAACTCCGCATTCATCCAAGGAAGCCAGATAGGGTCCAGCACATGCGGCCATGTGAGCGCTGTGGTAGGCAGTGTCCACTTTCAGCTTACGAGCAAATGTGCCTTGAGCCTTGAGCAGAGCTTCAGCCTCCTCGACTGCATCAACATCGCCACTCAATGTGACACTAGAGGGCGAGTTGACAGCAGCAAGCTGCAGACGACCATAGAATTGAGGCGTAGAGCAGAGTGCTTGGGCGGTCTCCTTGTCTGCACCGACAGCCATCATGCCTCCGCGGGGCGCATGGAGGTTGGGGCTGGCGGCACGCTTGGCATGCACACCACGATAGTAGGCAATCCGGATGGCGTCGACGTCAGACAGGAGCCCGGCGGCGTAGGCGGCGCCAATCTCGCCAGAGGAGTGCCCCACAACAGCCGCAAAGGTGATACCCGCGGCGCGCAGGATGTCTACCAGCAGGATTTGGACGGCCGTGCACAGCGGCTGAGAGAGAGCCGCCTCTGCGATCCGCGAAGTCTCCGCGCTGGCCAGGAGCTGGTCAGCCAGAGTCCACGTGGGACAGTCTGCTGGGTCGGGAAGGCTCTGCAGTGCACGATCGAGCAGGGCGAGACGTTCGGCGGCGAACCGCGAGGTTTCGAGCAGCCGCGCGCCCATTCTGGGCCATTGCGCTCCCTGTCCGGTGAAGATGCCTAGAATCCTGGGGGCGGCCGGTGAGCTGAAGCGCGGACTCAGAGCCGTGTCTGTGCTTGAGACAAGCTCTTCCAAGGCACTTATTGCGTCGTCGAGCGTCGTTGCTGACACCGCTTTCCGGTAAGGCAGCGTCGATCGTCGGACTTGCAGCGTGTAGGCAACATCAGCCAAGGAGATGTCAGGGTTCGTCTTGAGGAACTCGAGGTGTTGTGCCAGCATCTCGCGCAGAGGCTTCTCTGCAGCAGCTGAGAACACCAGCGGCGTGTAGAGCTGACCATTGCCCTCGGATTCTTCCGCCCTGTCTGGGGCGATGTACTCTTCCAGAATGCAGTGGGCATTCGTACCGCCGAAGCCGAAACTATTGACGCTCGCTCTTCGTACCTGGCCCTCCGCGACAACCCACGGCTTTTGCGCAGTCAGAATCTCAAGGTGCTTGAAGTATGGCGCGACCTTGGGGCTGAGGTCCTGGAAGTGCAAGTTCGGCGGCATGGTGTGGTCCTTCAGGGCCAATGCCGTGCCAATCAGACTGGCGAGACCCGCCGTGCCCTCTGTGTGACCGATGACCGTCTTGATGGATCCCACCACCAGTTTCTCCTCGGTGGAGACGACCCCGGTTGGGAAGAGGGCGTTCGAGATCGCCTCAGCCTCCTGCGGATCGCCCGCCTGCGTGCCCGTGCCGTGGGCATGGAAGAACTGCGGTCGATCGTTGATGTTGCGGATGGGGTCGAGGCCCGCGCGCGCATAGCATTCCCGGATCAAGGCCGCCTGCGCGATGTTGCTGGGCACGGTCAGACCGGCGGTGCGGCCGTCTTGGTTCACGGCGGTCTCGCGGATAATGCACTGGATGGGGTCGTTGTCCGCCAGCGCCTGCGACAGGGTCTTCACCAACACGGCCGCAACACCCTCGCCGCGCGCGTACCCGTCGGCGGCGACATCCCACATGGCGCAGCGACCGTTGGGAGAAAGCATTCCCAGATTACTCTCGGAGATGTACATTGCTGGTTACGACGGTTGTCTGGGTCAGCGACATTCTACATTTGTGGGTGAGACCACATTGAGCAAGTGACTAGGATTTCTTACCTGGACTGAGAATCAGATTCGTGCCCGCCGCCACGGCAACCTTGGACTTCCCACTGCGCAGGGCCTGCACTGCCAGATCGAGGGCGACCAGACTGCTCGAGCAGGCCGTGTCGATAGTCATGCTGGGACCATGCCACCCGAAGAAGTAGGACAACCGATTGGCGACGATGCCACGCTCCAGGCCCGTGGCCGTGTAGCGCGGCAGTGTCTCCCAGTCGCGGGTCAGCATCGTGCTCCAGTCGTCCGACATCAGCCCGACGTAGACGGCGGTATCCGACCCGCGCAGGTCCTCCATAGGCTGGCCGGCCGCGCACAGCCCGTCGTAGACGGCCTCCATCAGCAACCGCTGCTGCGGGTCCATGGCGTCGGCCTCGGCGGCCTGGATATTGAAGAAGCCGGCATCAAACTGGGCGACGGGGCTGCTGCCTGCGCTTGAGTCTTCCGACTCAGCCAGCCAGTAGGACTTGGGGGCGTTGGTGGTGCCGTGGTGGGTGCCGACGGGGTGGTAGAACAGGTCGACGTCGAATCTGGAGGCCGGGGGTTTGCTGCTCAGGTCGGTGGGGTCGCGCAGAAGAGACCAGAGCTTCGAGGGCGTGTCGGCTCCCCCCGGGAAGCGGAAGCCGTAGCCGATTACTGCGATGGGTTCGACCATTGTGTCTATGTCTATGGGGGTATCGTGTCTATTGCGTTGGTATCGTGTTGGACCCAAGGGGAAGGTGGAAAGGTCTGAAGAATGTTAAGTTGAGTATACTGGTCTGGGAGAGGGAGAAGTTGATTCTGGCTGCTGTGTAACCCCTCGACCTGATGAGGTCTACATATATCCTTGTGATGGTAGCATTAGACCGATTTACTCGGGATACGCATGAGGATGATCCGTTGTGTTTCCTGCTTATCCCATCCTGCTGCCTTGTTGCATGCGAAGATTTGCGAGCACGGACAGTAGGGCAAGATCGGAGAGATGCAATGCAAGACAAATCCGAGGCGGAGAAATGGAGCAGGCAGTCTATGCCGGATGGGGGAAAGGTGAATGAAAGGTGTGGTGGCAGTGGTGGCGCACTGCAGGATGCCCCGAACTCAATTTCTACTACCCTCGGAAGAGCCCTAGCCATGGCTGTAGTCGTTCGGAGAAATGGGTTCGGGGCGTGCTTGGGGCTTTGGGTCTTGCGTGCCGAATGGGGCTCCTTGGGGTTATCGTTGTGGGATGGACGTTGATTATGCTTGCTTTTGTTGCTTGCGATATCTCTACTTCCTCCATCCCATTTGAACAGGTGATGTTTGCCACATAGTGATCGATGATTCTGGGATATCTTGTACGGTTCATGGGGCTCATGGGCTTGTAAGGGAGGTTGTTGGAGAGCGCTTTCTGATTTATTGCCGGGTTGATGTGTTTGATGTGTTTGATGTGATTGATAGTGATTGGACTGTGATGGTCTGAGGTATACAGCATAGCAAAATTGATGGATGTAGACAGAAATACTGCCTTCTTGATTTCCCCAATATCTCGGGAGTCATATAGTCTCCTTACCATAGAGATGTATTCCACGGGCCACAAACCCCTACATCATGCAGCAAGACAATTCAGAAAGCACGAGTATATTTGCAAATATCATACTGCACTCAACCTATATCTCAGTAACCCCATCCGTAACCCCAAAAATCAAGCAAAGCCCAGCTTATACCCCAGAACCACCCACAAATACGCGACCCCGGTCTTGAGCACCGTCCACCACAGCCCCAACCCCATGAACCCAATCAAGCGATTCAGCAGAATCAAGCGCTCGGCATAGAAGCGGGCCTCGCGGTCCCGCTCGCGCTGGGTGATCTCCCCGCGCCACACGCGGTCCATCTGCAGGGCATGCTGGGCGGCCTGCTCCGAGGCCTTGCCGAGATGGGAGCGGAACCCGGTGAAGGCATCGCCCACGAGTACGAGCCGGTCGTCAAAGAAGCTGGCCGTGGAGCACTGCGCCTCGCCGACCTTGGTCACGAACACGCGCGGGGTGAGCGAGACCACCTCGGCGAGCGGGGCGGTCATCTTGGGCAGGTGGGCGGCCAGCTGCGCGCGCCAGACCTCCGGGTCGACCAGCCCCTGCGGCACGGTGTTGGGGTGGACCTTGCCGTGGATGTCGGTGAAGATCCTGGCCATCTCGGGGGACCCTTCCGGTAGGAAGTAGTACCAGACCCAGTTGAGGAGGCGTTTGCCGGGCTCGACGTGGCCCTGTTCGGTGGGGATGAAGTAGCTTTTTTCCTGTCGGTTAGCATTCACACCTTCGGTTCACCCCGAGTCCGTTGGACAAGAAAAAGGGAACGGACGAACCTAATGAAATACGTGCCCCGCAACAGCGTAAAATTCAGACGATTCTCAAAGTACTCCACCGTGCCGGCCGACAGCAACTTCTCCGGCACCGTGCCGCGCCACCCGATGTAGCCGGCGTACTCCTTGCGCGTGGGCACCTGCAGCAGCCGGCGCACCGTCGAATGCACCCCGTCCGCCGCGAGCACCATCCCCGCGCGCGCCGTCTCCGTCGCCCCCGTCGTGACGTCCACGTAGTCCACCTCCACCAGCCCGTTGCCCCCGTCGGCGGCCCGGTCGTACCGGAGACCGGTCACCTGCTTGCCCGGCCGGTAGTCCACGGTCCCGTCGCCGGGCCTGGGCCCCGGCGGGTGCGGCACGGCGGCGGACGCCAGCCCGTCGAAGTTGGCCCGCAGGATCAGGTACAGACAGCCCCAGTTGCTCATGTGGTGGCGCCAGCGCGTGTTGGCCACGCGCAGGTGCTTGCGCCGCCACGCCGCGCTCAGGTACTCCGTCGGGATCGCCGCCGGCCGCCCCGTCGCGTCGTACTTGTCCAGCAGCGCGACGACGCTGGGGCCGATCGACACCCCGGACTCGTGGCTGTGTCGGTCCTTGGACGGGTCTTGTTCCAGCACGATTACGTTGCTGCCTTGCCGTTTCAGTTGGAGGCCTTGCAGCAGGCCTGCGACGGAGCCGCCGATCTGTTTACTGGGTGTTAGTGGGGTTGGGTGGGGAGGAGAGGGTAGGGTAGGGTCAGGGGGCGGAGGGGGTCAGGGGTCGGGGTTCGCACGATGATCACGGATTCGGGGACCATTGTTCCTGTCTTGGTGTGTCTGGATAAGGGGAAAACTGGTGGTTACGAGAAGTGGACAGCCACAGAAAATATCTCGCTCAAGTATGGAATATGGGTAGGTGAACCTAGGGCAGTTGAATTAGCAGGCAGAAAAAAGGCGAACAATCAACCAGGAGAAACCAATGCAAATGCGCGCAGTATTATGAAGAATGAACGCACAGGTATCGGTATCAGCTCCCAACACGCCATGAGCCTGGTCAGCATCCTAGCACTTCCTTCATGCATGCATCCGCATGGTTTCTCCCACATGGTCGGAGAAAAGAACCCCATTCAAGCCGAAGGGTTGCATGACCGTCGGCGAGTCCTCGATTCCCCCGATGTCGACACCTGGGGCACGCAATCAATACCCCTTCGGGCGTAGGGCGGGTCGGGATTTCCGAATGTCCCGTTTAGGGTCAGCGCGAGTGAGCCCTATCTGACTGGGTGGTTGGAGCCTTGCAGGATTACTAGGGCAGCCTTCGTTTTGCCCATGTCTGACGAATGCACAAACAGTTCACATGGGTGGTTTGTGAAGATGACTGCGCTGCAGCAATGCTCTATCCGGGGGAGGGTCAGGGCGGCCGTTCTCCGTGTTCAAATATATGGCAGGCGTTGCTTACGTATCGGACGCTCATAATCTATGTATCTATGGCCATAACATTGTTCTAAGAAGGATCGCAAACAACCGAGGACTATCGCGGATATCAATACATATTCAGCAGCTCTCGCAGCAAATGCTCTACCTCGTCTATCTTGCTTCGCAGGTGGCTTCCCTGCTTTCTCATCGTCTGGTACAAGTGCTCGTTCGTCAACCCCATGATTGCGCCCTGCGGGGAGACACCCGCCCCGTCCTCCTCCTCCACATGCACCCTCGATCGCTCCGTCCCAGATTCCCGAGTGACCCCTTTGTGGTTGGCAAGGATACTCACCCCATCGGGCAGCTCCAAAGCCGCCTCCGTCTCCTCCAGCGACCCCAGCAAGATGGCCACCGCTTTGCGCGCCCGCGTCGCCGTCTCCCGCACCGGGGTGTCAACACACCCGCACGTGGGCTGGAGCTCCCCCAGCCGCAGGCCAAGGTACATGTCCGCGTCTTCCAGAAAGGGGTCCAGCGACGGCTGTCGCGTGGGATGCGAGGAGCAGTGCATGGCCGAGAGTTGGGACAGCTGATCGTAGAGGTCGGTGAAGATCGCGGTATAAATGCGGGTCAGAACCAGATAGCAGGAGAGAGTGAGGAGCTTGGTAGGAATGTCAAATGCAGTGGTCGAGGGTAACGGTTCTGCGGCCGACGCCGCGAATCGCTTCGGCTCGTCTTCCGCCTCGCCCCCCTCCGTCCCCCTGTGGGCGGAGACCACTTTGTAGAAGCCCCGCGAGAGGAACAGTGCATCGCCAATCGGGTAGTTGTCAAGCGCATCACCGCCCCCATGCTGCTGGTAATCCTGCGACATGGACGCCGATGAGGCGCGAGAGCTTTGAGAAATCTGAGCTTCGTAGTGCGACATCTTGGCCAGGAGTCCGGTCAGGGTGGTGAAGTGGTCTTCCGCGGGAGACGGCCCCGCCGTCGTCGCCGCTGCCATCTTTTTCGTTGCTGTTGTTGCTGTAGTTGTCATCATCGGTCGTCCTCCTTCCATCGAGTCATTGATCAGCGCATCCCCCTGTGCGAAAGACAGCAGAACCTTGTCCCAGTCGGTGTACATCGACAATCCCGCCATGTACTCGTCCGCAGCGCTCGCGGTGGGAGCTTCCAACCCATCGTCCAGACCCGACAAATGATGCGCCGAGAAGTGCTCGGTGCTCATCAACAGGTCCGGTGGGTCGATCAATGCGGCCGAAGTCTCGTCGCCCCATGGAAACGAATCCACGATCATCGCGTCGGTGTCCGCGAAGAGGCTGCCGTCTTTCTTCGCCGTCGCCCCAAGGGGCAGGGCGGGACACTCCAAGGGCGAAGGCAGCGATGACAAGGATGACGAGCACGAGGAGGAGGAGGGCGCAGAAGAAGACGAAGAAGATGGAGGGAGCACAAAGGTGCCCATCCCCGGCAGTGGGGGCTGGGTCAGGCCCTCCCGTTCCGTGCGCGTCAACTTGCGCGAGTGCGAGTGGGACTGTGACTGCGACTGCGATTGCGACTGCGCTTCGGGCGGGTCCTCGTCTCCTCCCCGCAGTTTGTTGCGACCCGTCTTCAGTCGTCGACTGTAGGTGCAGGACCGGGGGATCTTCGCCTTCGCGCAGCGTTGGCAGGGCCCGGTGGGGTCGCCCGCGATCGAGGGCACGCAGCGCAGCTTGTGGGCGCGACAGCGCTCACAGGAGGCGCGGAGGCTGGGATTGCTGTCGCTCATGGTGGTAATTGGAGACAGTGACAGTCGTTGAAAACGCGGTGTGGAAATGTGTCGAAACAGAGGTATACGAAGAGGATGGGACTTGCAATGGCTGTTGTTGAGCGTTGTCTGATTGCGTAGAGGGGGAAATTAAAGTGGGCGGCGGGGAGGGATTTCTATGGGGCGGGCGGGGTTTCTGGGAAGGGGGGGTTGAAGTGCTTCCGGAGGAATTGGTAGAGTCTTTCTCCGCCCACATGGACTGCTCTTACTACTGCCTCCTCCTATCACCTTCCGGATACGCACATTTAGTTATCTTCGTGTTCTGTTGTTTGCGCCGTATTGGCTGTCAGCCATCCCGGAACCGTGATGGATTTGAGCCAGGATCATGCTCCCTGGTTCGGGCATTCCTGCCCTAACCCTCAAGAAGGCTAGAGTGAGGGGAGAGGGTGATGAGACAGAGACATGTCGCTCGCTTATCATGCATATACGTCGTTATATCCGTTTCAAATTGTCCTCGCAGTGGGCGTGGGCAGTAGGCAGTGGCGAGCGAGGCGGTGGTGATGGTGTTGACTGCTGATAAAACAGCCAAGTAATATATAGAGTATAAGCACTAGCCATCTGAATCCGACTCCGGTGGTGAAGTAGCGAGCCACCCAACCATGCGTAAAAGCTTTACTGCCAATCCGGACCAGGCACTAAGATTACCCCTCACCAGCGAAAGATCTAGATTCGTCATGTCAATACTGCAGACAGACGTCTCATTCTTCAGCCCCAGGTTATATGAGCAATAAGCCTATATACTTGGGGGAAATAGCCGCTCTGGACCCGATAAGTTAACCAGATCAGGTTTGGTGTGAAGAAACCCATTGCGGGTGGCGATAGGCTTGATGAGCCAAGATAGGGAGGGAGCTACGGGGAAATGCCCGGTTGGAGACTGAGCATAGATTACCAATCTAATCACCGCCTACTAACTAGTTAAGTTAACTAACTTAAGTGCTTATCACTAATCACTTGGGGTAGGAGATGGAGGGGGCATCCTCAGTACTAGAGAGGCTCTGCATGAGACAGATAATCAGAAGAGGGGGGAACTCTCTCCTACCTAGGTTACTGACTCTTTCTGGCCGAGTGATTAAGTGCTTGGGCAATTGGGCGATTGGGTCCAATTGCGTCGTAATCGCGAGAAGTTGACAGGTTGATTACTTAGTACTGTACAGGACTTAGTACAGTACTTAGTGCTTGGTGGTGGTGGTGGTGGTGGTGGTGGTGACGCGGAAATACCCGCTGGCCCGTATCACCCGCAGCCAAGGAATGAGAGTCTGATTAGGTCTTACCTCCTCAGCATTGCACTTTCCACTCTGGGAATGGAAGTGTTGGATAGTCATAAGGTATACGTAATGTAACTTCACTTACTCATAGTTAACTTATCCTAACTTACTAAGAGCAGATCAGGGAGCATCAAAAGTGGGCTGCCGTCTTGGCGTGAAGCCACGCCCCGTATTTGTAAAACAGCACGGGCGCAGGAAGGAAGGCCAGCGCCAGAAACCCCAGCAAAGTATTGCCCCACCCATACCCCAGCGACTGGTACATCGCCGGCCCGGCCAACGGCAAAAAAGTACTGCAGATGAACCGTAACACGTTGTTGGCCGCCAACGCTGACGCTGACGCTGCCGATCCGAACAAGTCCACCAGATACAGCTGCGCAGGCATCTAACCAGAAAGACAAGGCACAGGACAAGAGTAAGCAATGGGTCACTAAGCAAAGAGAGAGGGGGGGGGGACTTGCTTACCATGACAAAGAAGGACCCAAACCCTATCACAGTAGTACCGATGATGGGCACGATCCAGTGCACCTTGTAGTAAGCCGTCCAGCCATAGATGAAGAGACCGATCGCAACGCAGGGGCAGAAGTAGATCATCAGCAGAAGACGATACTCGGGTCGATGCTGTGTGACGCCATCCTTCTTCATGCGCGCGGCCGTCACCCGGTCTCCCAGGGGTTTGGCAATAAACATACAACCGACCAACGACACGCCCAGTCCCAGATAGACCAGCCCGGAGGTGGCGGTGGTGAATCCATACTGCTTCTCAAACACCACCGTGAACGTGGTGAAGAGAAGATACATGAGTCCAAAGATGAGAGCCATGTAGATCGAGATCACCAACAAGATGGGGGATCGGAATAGAAGCTTGGTGGGCCGTACGAGGGCTTGTAGCAGGACTTGCTGCGGCGGTCGGTTGTCCGCCATCTTGGATCGTAGATGCACGTTCCCGGTCGCCACGCGAAGACGGGCGGCCTTACGCTCTAGCAGGACCTTGGGATGTGTCTCTCGCATCACCACCAAGGCGGCAATCCCAACCGCACCCCCGAAGATGGCCAGGAGCCAAAAGGTCCAACGCCATCCGAGACCCGCGGCGACAAAGCCACCGATGAGAGGGCCAAGTACCTAGTAGTCACCGAAGAACATGTGTGGTCAGCAACCTTCGCTTGTCATTCGTACCGAGTAGAGAGAGAGAAAGCGAGGGTCAACCCTACCGGTCCAGCCATAGGGCCCAAACTGTACAACGACATGGCGAGGGCGCGTTGCTGAATCACCGTCACATCGGCGATTGTCCCACCCCCCAAAGCCATTGGAGTCCCTCCTGCACAGCCGGAGATGAAACGACAAATCATAAAAGTGGCGAGGTTTTGACTCAGGGCGTTTCCGATCACGAACGCCACGAAAAATAGATTGGCGACATGATACACGGGTAAGCGGCCAAACACCTCGCTGAGGGAGGACATGAACATCGGGCCCATGGCCAAGCCCAGAACATAGAGGGTGACGGCCAGAGTAGCCACGGTAGAGGAGTGATTATCGAAGGTATCGAGGACTTTGTTGATACCGGGGGCACACATGGTTGGGCCCATGTTCCTAAGATGGTAAGTGGTTAGATGGATGGATGGATGAATGAGGGTTAATTCTGCCTGGGGCCGGAAGGATTGCGCCCTACATGACCAAAGAAATCAAGGCCACCACGATGACATGGGCCCATCGCTTGCCACTGGACCAGTTGTGTGGGTTTTGTTGATCCTCAGGCCCATCCCAATCGACAATCTCGTCATTGGTGGTTGGTTTGTCTTCCACCAGACTCGTCTCGAGAGAGGCTGCGCTGACGGCCGTCTCGGTATCTTCTTGTTTAGCCGCCATATCTGACTGTGTCTGGTCAATCTGACTGCTGTTGCAATACTTGGGGGATGGATTCGAATTAGTTTGGGTTAAGGTAATGTGTGTACATACTTCGGTGGTGAAAGTTTTTAAAGGTGAGAAGCTCCATCACACCACCGGAGTCCGCGTTAGCTACTCCGTACATTGAAAAACACCAGACTAGAGGAGGGGGAGAGGAGGGGGAGAGGAGGGGGGGGGATGGACAGGGAAGCTATCTCCGATTGAAAGTGTTCGGATCGTATATGCGGGCTTTCCTCCGATTAGGGCCGATTGCCCCCGCCGATCCCGTATATACGGTGATTGGCCTCAGGCAGATATCTTAACACTAGTACTAGGCCTACTAGGCCACTACTCAGTTAGTCTCCGTGCTTAAGGCATCCACTGCTGCTGACTCCGCCTCACTCAAAGAACCAACACTCACTATGAACTACCCAACATCCACCCCTCCTGCAACCATCCATCCATCCATCCATCATACATTCATCCTCCGTTGATCCCTATCTTTGAACATGTCCTCATCCAATGTCTCCATGTCGCAAGACCCGCTTACCTCATCCGCCGCAATCCCTCCCGCCAAGCCCCGTCGCCGGCGTGACAAACCCCAATTCTCCTGCAACGCGTGTCGTCAACGAAAGTCTCGATGCGATCGGCAACAGCCCACATGCTCCAGCTGTCTCTCGCGGGGTCAGACGTGCGTCTACCTGACGCCTAGGCCCGGAGCATCGTCCTCGTCGGCCCCGTCCAGCGGGACCTCCGGAGTCCATGACCGGCTCGTGCACCTGGAGCGTCTCGTTAAGTCGCTGATGGCCGATGGGGTGGTATCTCACCACCACCACCAACACCATAAGCCCCCGCAGCAGCCACTGGCTACGCCCGATTCCAGTTCCAGTGGCGGTCTTCGACAAGAGTCGGCCAGCGGCCTCGATACGCAGTCGGACTGCGGAAGCATGCAGATCACCAGTTCGGAGCTGCGGTATGTGGCCGGCGAACACTGGGCGGCCATCCTGGACAGTATCGCCGACCTGAAAGCCCACTGTGACCGCGAGGAGCAGATCTCCCTGGCCGAGACGCCCACTCACCTCAGTGAGGAGGAGCCACCCCACTTCCGCCATGCTTTGTTGCTGTATGGATGTCACCGGGCCACCTCGCGCGCGGAGATTATCGCGGCTCTGCCGCCCAAGGCCGCCGTCGACCGCTACATTTCCCGCTATTTCAACTATCTCGACCTAGTCGCATCCGGTGAGTGAGGCACTTCCCTGTTCAACCCTCTTTGCTATTCTCCGACCGTCTCGAGAGGGAGGTGGGCTGATTTCTGGATGGTGTACTAGCTGCGGTACATGGGCCCAGCTTTCTGCGAGAGGCAAGTTGGCATGTTTTCAGATTATCAGTGCACCCATGCTGACTACGATCACATAGTATGAGGCATTCTGGACCGATTCCAGCCGGGTGTCAATCGTATGGGTTGGCCTTCTCTTCAGCATGGTGTGTCTGGCGGTGATGGCTTCGGATACGACCGACGGGCCCGAAGCGGAGCAGAAGTCCCTCCAGATTGACCTCTACCGCGAGAAGATCGTGCAGTGCCTGGTCCTGGGCGAGTATACGAAGCCCGGGCAATATGTGCTGGAGACCGTCGTGCACTATCTCTACATTGAGTTTGGCATCAACCCGGACGCGGATCGCAACATCTGGTTTTTGTTAGGACTGGAAGTCAACCTGGCGATGCGAATGGGCTACCACCGCGACCCCAGCCACTTCCCGGGCATCTCACCGCTGCAGGGGGAGATGCGACGACGACTCTGGGCCACCGTGTTGACGAGCGACATTCTCCTCTCCAGCCAGATGGGGATGCCACGGATGATCTGTGACTGGAAGTGCGACACGGCCGAGCCGCGCAACCTCTACGACATGGACCTGGACCAGGAGCTGACCCAACTGCCACCGGCCCGCCCCGAGACGGAACACACCACGGCGCTGGGGATCATCGCCCGTCGCCGCATGATCATCGCGCTGGGCGCGATCGCCGATCTCGCGGACGCGGTCAAACCGGTCAGCTACGCGGAGATCATGCAAGCGGATAAAGCGCTGCACGAGGCGGTCGCCAGCATCCCCCCGCCGCTCCGCATCAAGCCGCTGGCGGCGAGCGTGACGGATTCGCCGCAGGTGATCATGTCGCGGCTCTTCCTGGGCCACCTTTTGTACAAGGGGCAGATCATGCTGCACCGACGGTTCCTGGAGCTGCATGTTGCGGCCACGGCGTCAGCGACAGCGACTGGTGCGGGGGCTGGCGCTGGCGCTGGCGAGAATGCTAGCGAGCAAGCCAGTGGTGAAGCGCCCTTCGCGTATTCGCGCACCGCCTGTATCGACGCCTCGCTGGGGACGTTGCACATCCAGCACGTGCTCGACGAGGAGACCTGCCCGGGCGGCCAGCTCCACGAGATGCGGTGGCGCATCACCTCCAGCATGAACCACCTCTTTCTAACAGCGACGATGATCCTCTGCTCGCTGCTGCACCGGGCGCAGCCGCTCGGCGAGCGCACGGAAGAAGTCCTGGCCGCCCTGCGGCGGGCGCGCACCATCTGGATGCGACGCAGTACCTCGTCCCGGGAGGCGAAGCGCGCGACGGAGATCGTCAGCCTTACCCTTGCGCACACCGGGGACGGGAATCGGAGTGCGACGAGCGCCGAGGAGGACAGCGAGCCGATGGTGGTGACGCAGAACGCGTCGACGGTCACCAGCAGTGACTTCACCACAGGGTTGGGGATGACCACCTGGTCGCATTCCATGGATCTGAATGAAGGTGAGCCGAATCAACTCCACCGCATGTTCATCACCCTTTCGTGTCTGACTCGCCTTAGCCGACCGGCGGATGATGCCGTCAATGCTGGGACCGTACCCGCCCCCGCAGTACACCGGGATGGACTACTCCTTCCCCATGATGGACGACTGGTTACAGATGCAATGGCTGGGTCCGCAGGAGGCGGATCCGTTCTTTTCCGGATGACTTACATCGTTCAGGATTAAATGTTTACTACTGGGAATAACACCATTGTGAAGATTCTGATCACCGCTGCAAGATCAGCGACCGTGATAAGAGTAAGTAATTAGCTATGTTGCTAAATTCATCTATCTCTGTTAAGGATGTGGATGGTGGATGAATCCCGGCTACGTAGTCTACCTGAGGAACTACCTTAGGTAGCTAAGACCCACCGAGGAGTACGGCAGACCATGTTTCGGTCTGCCCGGCGAGGACCGCGAACAATATCCTGTCCAATAGAATGCAGATTAGAAGGGGACGCTCTTGAGAATTCTAATCAACAGGAACAGGCTGCAGTGGTGAGACTACTGCGGGAAATGGTTTCTCCGTGGTACCGTACTACAACAGTCACTGCAGACGTGATGTCTATTATCTCTATTCAGCTTTTCTACATAGTATAACTCCAGTCAGGGAGGATATATTTTGAACTTGTGTCGTGGAATCACAGTATACCGCAGATGCATGCCTCGTTCTGCTATCAGATCGCAGGGAGGCTATCGTAAAAGCTCAGGGGCAAAAACGGGACAGTAAGGGAGCTGCTCACAACAGTTTCACTCTTTCTTGTAAGCCAACCCTAACCATAAGTTGGCCATGTTAAATGTTGTGAGAGCACTGAAGGGGGCCATCGGTCCACACATATCTCAACTCGGAGATCGTCGATAGTTCTGGGCCGTACATCCATGTCCCTCCTTGCCGGGGCTTTCCCTGCAGAAAGTTACGGTATATCAGGAATGCCGTTGGCGGACTCAGGGCCCGGGGGCGCATTAGTATCGTCGAAATAGTGATCCTCAAAGAAGAGTCTCCACCCTGGCATTCCGTTGCCATGCGCGTTTGGATCATATTGGAACACAGCATTTCGTCTCCATTCCTGATCCCTAATGGGGTCACTTTTATACTCCCCATTCTTATCGAAGATATATGGGACAGCGACGTACATCCTCGCCGCCGTGGGTGCTCCAGGAAGAAGTCTTTTATTTAGCAAGTCACGTAGTTCTGCAAATTTCCCGTTGTAGTTTGCTAAGAAAGGATTGTTGGGTGATAGTTCCCTGCGAGGGTGCATGATGTAGATGCGCGTGTCGTCCTCTGCCCCATTGAAGATTGTTGGGTCGAGGGCCGGGCCCACCCCGTCTTGTGGTTTATCACCAGAAATGAAATTGAGGACGCGTCTCTGGAAGTCTGCTCGTTGTAAAAAACTAGGATTCTCCCAGTAGTGTGCCTAGAAAAGAAGGGTTAGCTGCGGTAATGATCCATAGGGATTGAATGGCTCTGGGCCTGGACCTAAATGGTGCTGCTCGAGCAAGCTTCCCATACCGGTCTTGAGCTGGGTTGGACACTTGACATCGAAAGGGCAATTCTTCGAATGTGTGATGTTGCATACCATGTAGACCCCTGTTCTAGACACCACTGTTACGACAGTACACCCCATAAGACCCGTGGTGGCGATTTGAAAGGCACCACTATCCTGAAATCTTCGCTGCTGGGCCATCGACTCACTGGTCTCGATACGGCCTCGATATTTAATTATCGGCAGAGGCTTCCCGAAATACGGATCCCAAGCTTTCTTAAGTAGGTTTGCTTGTTTTGGAACGTAATCTCGGATATCGGCAAGGGTCAGGTCTGTAAAGGCACGCGGGTGGAGGCTTGTCCTTTCCACAAGCTGATGAGATGCGTTGCTATCACCTTTAACTTCGGTGAGGCGAAGCCCGTAGCTGCGTCTATTCAAGCTACCGGAGCAACCTTCTGAGGCTGGACCACATAAAGCACGGCATGAAGGAGCATCTGGATTATCCCAAGTGCTTGCACCGCATTCAGGATCACTAAAGAGGGTCAGACAAGGTACCGTGAGGGAGCTGGGTAAACCTTACGCTCGGGGATATACAAAGTGGCTCTTGTTAGCCTCCACCCCAAACGAGGTGGCTCTCAACTCCCCTACCTGGGAGTAAGTGAAGGATTTATCGGCGCCGATGAGTTTCCACCAAAGCGCTATGGAGATCAAAAGCCCCCATTTCAAGGTATGTGACATGGTCATGTTGGTCTCGCAGGATCTTCAACCTTGCTGCTCTTTTGAAGGAGAGATACCTAAAGACAAGCTGAATAATCTAGCCTCAGCAATGGAAGACACAGCAAGAAATGAATGTGGAAGGATAGTGGGCAGTATCATCTGGGCTCGCTTGACAACCTTTGTAACATCTCTGAGGATTAGAAAAAATATGGGAAAGGTGGCCTTGAATTACCCGTGATCCTATTCTGTAAATTGAGGTTACATCGCCTGATAAATCCCATAATTGAAAAGCCAAGGCATTACCAGGGTACCTCTGTGCTTGGACTATTGTTTGAGATCTAGACTTCCACACCATGGCTCTTCTAAATAGTCCAATCTAATCGACTCTTATCTTCTGTTGGTAGGTACAACTAGTCTTCTGGCGTCGGACCCTCTCCGGCGGATACCATGTAGAGCAGCCCCTGGCCGTCTGCCCCATGTGCTTTCTTTTGGTTCGTGGAAAAAGTACAGACTACCCAGGTCGTCATCCAGCCCTCGGAGCCGTAACAACCCCAGGTCTGGCATAGCTGTAGACAGCAAACGAAAAAGATGACTGAAATCTCCGGGCATCATAAACAATCCGTCCAAGGTCAACTCTAGCAGCCTCGGGGACCGGCGGAAGAAGGTCATGATCGGGTTCTCGGACGTGTGGAGATCCTGAAGTTTACATCGCTTCAAGTTTGCAAATGCACAGGAAATCCCGATCTGGTTGAAGAATCCCCGTTCTTCACTGCACGCATCCGTTTCTTCCAAGTCGTCACCCTCCCACACGAGGTGTAGTTCTTCGAGGAAAGGGCACATGGTGAGGAGATCACAAAGCGACTGAATGTTCTGTCGGGCTTCGTTCGCGGTCAGCGGTAGACGCAAGTCCCGAGGGCTGCACTCGAAATTGAATCCCCGGGTTGAGTGGCCTAGACTCAGGCAGAACTTGGTGCAGTTTCGCAAGGATGTTGCCAGGGGCGTCCGGTGGTGAGATAGCGCAAGAGCGACATCACTAAAAGCTAAACTACATTGGCCGTTGTCAAAGTGGTGATCGTGCACGTAAGCGTCGCCGAAAATATCGAGTTCTCGGATTGGGATTTCCGTCCTCGCGATGGCAGAGATGGTCGCGTGGAACACCCGAGCTGTGACATCCCTGTCCCATGTAGAGAAGTTGTCAACCTCCAGGGAGATAGACAGCGACGGCTGATTGCCCCGGTGGGATGCTGGCCGGTCGCGTATGTTCGCGAATGCTTGGGCCAGTAGCTCGGTTGCGTCGAAATCAGCATCAGACTGCTCCGTGCGCTCGACACAGTCACACAGCGTGAGCCGTTGAAGCCAGAGGCCCACCTGTCCTGGCTGGGTGAAGCGAACCAGCTGTTCTAGCGCAGCCTCTGTCATTTTCACTCTCTTAGAAGAGTAAAATCTCCGAGAAATAGCGGCAGTAGATATGTGGGATAAGATAGTACGTCCAGTCAGACGGAGCGCGCAGACATCCCGGAGATCGAGCCAGCTCACAATAGTGTCGACTAACTCGGTCGGAAGGGTCTCCATATCCATAGAATAAGATTGAGTGAAGTCTGCCAGAGAAGGAGTAAAGGGGGAAGGGGACAAATAAAGCATATCCCGGAGTCCTATTTAATATGAGACCATCTTTAGCGGTTCTTGGCGGTTACATCGCGTTGTTTCCCCAAAGCCCTAGCCGGCAGGGTCTCGGACGCTCGGGCCTGGCATATCAAGCCTTGTGAACGCATGAACGAATGACAGCCCGGTCTGTTGAACTAATAGCACGTGTGGGAACTTGCTTGTCTCCAGGGAAGTGAACCCTGCTTCTAGGCATCTTGAAGTCAGATGTGGCAGGCTTCAACGGCCCCAGTTTTGCAGTCACTCCTATGGGGCCCTCCACTATTGTGGTAAGACACTGGACAGACACTGGCGTGAAAGATACATGCTCCAGTTGCGAAGAGGACAACAATCCTATCTTTACCATATACACATTTTCCGACCTTGGTTCTCTCTCGGACCTCTCCTAGAAGACCAGACAATCACAAACCAATAAATTTCAGAAGAAACAGAAACGTACTCTAGAGTGAGAAATGTCATATTTACCCTACCAGCTCAACACATCTCTCCGAACCCCCCTACCAAAACGCCTCCGTATCAATGGCCACAATCTTCCCCGGCTCCACCATCGACCCATTGATCGGAAAATTGAACCCCCCACCAGTAAGAACATACAACGTCTTCGTGTCGCCCTTCACCTTCCCAAAAGCCCCGGTCGTCGACCCCGCGACGGTCATCTGATCCGACTGCCCGGCGACGGTGAGGATCTCCCCCTCAGGGGTGATCGCCAACACGCGACTATCAGCATTGGTCATCGCCCAGATGGTCTCGCGGTCGTATCTCCCGTCCGCATTCCCACCGCCGAACGTGAATTTATCCAGGAAGATGGACCGCACCTCGGCCACCAGCTCACTCTCCGCCCCGGCCGCCGCGTACCCGTCGTCGGTGAGGCGGATGCGCGACAGCGTCGCCGCGAAGGCATTGCTCCAGTACAGGTAGCCGTTGTGGATGTTGATGTCGTCGATGCCGACGGGCGCAGAGGCCCAGGGCGGGTAATGCATGTCGGGGACCTGGATGGCGAGGTCGTAGGCGCCGGTGGTGAGGTCGACGCGCCAGACAAGGCCGTGGGAGGCGTCCGACACCAGCACGGTGGTGGGCGAGATCGTGTCCATCCCCGTCATGAAGCCGCCGCCGGCGATGCGGACGATCTCCCGGGCCTGTGGGGGCTGCTTGCTGTTGGCTTTGGTGGGACGGAGATCGAGCTCCCACACGCCAAAGGTCCCCGGGATGACGGTTGCGTAGGTCGAGGTGTTGCCGGCTACGATGGTGAAGATGTCCGGCTGGGTTTCGATGATGCTGGTTAGGGTGTTCACCTCGTCGAAGGCGCGGATTAGGGTTACTGTGGGCGGGTCCGGGTCATTTGCGTTGGTCACCCCCGTGAGGTAGTAGAGCGAGGCGTCGGGGAAGGCGGTCACGGCGAGGAGGTCGCCGTTGGAACGCACGTAGATACTTTCCAGGTATGTGGGGAAGGATGGAAATTGGTAGATTTGTCGCAGGGGGAGAGGGAGCTCCGGGGCGTGGCAGGTCTTGGGGAGCGCGGAGACGGTCGCCACGCCCAGGAGAGCTACCAATGTCTGTCGTAGGAGCCACATTTTGTGTGGTGTTTTTTTCTGAGTGGGAGGGTTTGAAGCGACCCTTGACCTAACTCATCTCGAAAAAAAATCAGCATTCAACAAAGTCGAAAGATGAAAAGTCTGGAATCCGATATATGAAGTCAGCCCTAACTGGGAGGGTGGTGAGGCTCCGAACTGCCGGTTTGGGGGGATTTCCCCCGAAAATTGCGGGTGGAGCGCAGCAGGCTGATTTCTCCGAATCCCCCTTTGGGCTCCGATCGACCCCGGCACATCATCCATGCAGCTAAAGTCTAGTCTCCAAGCTGCACAATGACCGGCGGCAGAAGACCAGAAAATAAAATCTCATCATCTCATTTCTCTTTACAGCCCTGTCACTCTTCATACTGAGCTTTCGGAAAGAGCGACTCGGATCTGGTGGCCTTGGTCAATTCTTCGGGGTCAAAATGAAGGCAGTGCTGTACACCTTTCTCGCCTATGTCACCGGCTGGACCGGAATGCAAGGGTTCTGGGAAACCAGCGACCAAGCTGTGTTGTCCGTACCTGTCAATCCAGTCATCACCGGTGCCAGCAGCCAGACGTGCGAAAATACACCCACCTCGCGACACTGCTGGGGCGAGTACAGCATCGACACCAACTACTACACCACAGTCCCCACCACAGGACACACCGTCGAGGTGTGGCTCTCGGTGCAGGAAGGCATCTGCAATCAGGATGGCTACAACCGACCCTGCATGACCTTCAACGGGACGATGCCCGGCCCACTGATCACAGCCAACTGGGGCGACGAGCTGGTCATCCACGTCACCAACAATCTGAAGTCCAACGGCACATCAATCCACTGGCACGGAGTCCGACAGCACAATAATGTCCACAACGACGGCGTTCCGGGAGTCACCCAATGTCCGATCACCCCGGGGGAGACCTTCACCTATCGATTCCAGGCGACCCAGTACGGAACCACCTGGTACCACAGCCACTTCTCGCTGCAATACGCAGAGGGCCTCTTCGGACCCTTGGTAATCCAGGGGCCAGCGACGGCCAACTACGACGAGGACCTGGGGACGCTGTTCCTGCAGGACTGGTCGCACACTCCGTCTTACATCGACTGGACCGCCAAGGAGAAATACGGCATGACCAAATCCCAGAATAACCTGCTGGTCAACGGGACCAACACCTTCGACTGCCTCTCGAGCGACAGTGCCGATGCTAACTGCGTGGGCGGTGGCCGTAAGTTCGAGGCCGTGTTCGAGCCCGGCAAGAAATACCGTCTGCGGTTGATCAACGTCGCCGTGGACAGTCAGTTCCAGTTCAGCATCGACGGCCACACCCTGACAGTGATTTCGACGGACTTCGTGCCGATCGAGCCCTACTTCACGGACAATGTGTTGATCAACGTGGCGCAGCGGTACGATGTCATTGTCGAGGCCAACGCCCCGCCCGGTGACTACTGGCTCCGCGCCGGCTGGGTCAAGTCTTGCGCCGGTGTGGCCAACGACCATCCTGATGATTCGACTGGGATTGTTCGGTATAGCACGGGGAGTCGCAGAAGCCAGATTCAGTCGCTTCCGACGAGTGTCAGCCACGTCCAGCCACCCGCCGTCTGTCTGGACGAGCCTCTCGACCGACTGGTGCCGCACCTGCAGCTGGACGTGACCAACATCACCGGCACGACGGTCGAAGACATCAATGTCCGGCTGACGGGGGCCTCGTTCTTCCAGTGGACGATCAATAGCAGCTCCTTCATGCTGGACTGGACCCGGCCGACGCTCATGCAGATCTTCGACGGCGAGACTAGCTTCCCGTCGCAGTCCAACGTGGTCAAAGTGGATGTATGAAGCAGCCCCTCTTTCCTCGACCTACCCCCCGATTCCATTCCCCTTTCCCAGATAATCATAGCCAACACTAACACGCAACAGAAGAAATCGCCCACCGAAGCCAACGAATGGGCCGTCCTCGTCATCGAGAACAAGGCCGTCGCCCTGCTGGGCGCCATCGCCCACCCGATCCACCTCCACGGCCACGACTTCTGGATCCTCGCCCAAGAGGGCGCCACCTGGGACGGGACGACCACCTCGTGGGAGACGGTCAACCCGCCGCGGCGCGACACGGCCATCCTGCCGGCCCGGGGCCACCTGGTCATCGCGTTCCAGCTGGACAACCCGGGCGCCTGGCTGGTCCACTGCCACATCGCGTGGCATGCGGGCCAGGGGCTGGCCTTGCAGTTCGTGGAGAGCCAGCGGGATATCACGCTGCAGGCGGCGGAGAGAAGTGGGTTTGACGAGACGTGCGACAAGTGGGATTACTGGTGGGCGACAGCGCCGTATCCGCAGGATGACTCGGGGATTTAGCCTTTCTTTGTCTTAGATACATAAGAATCTCGTTTTGCTTGTTCGTTATACTGAGCCACATCGTTTGTAATGTTTCAAAATCAAATTCGCAAGGCTTGTATAAGGATGGTCTTTAACCTGAGACGGGCCTTTCATTTCTATATTCTTTCAAGAGTTCTAACTTTAGTGAAGAGAAGAGACAAGTATCATAAGAACAGTCAGGTAACTGGCCAGTAGAAATCTATTCTCGTGCTAAACCACTATCTACCCCCCACCAACCCGGCCATTCCCCACACATCTCTGGAAGGCATCACGGCAACGGCACCCCGAAACACTCCACCAACGCGACCGTCCGCGCCTCGTTGACCGTCGGCTGGCCCAGCACATACATGGTCTGGAGGTTGCGGTACTTGCCGCCGACCTGGATGATCAGGCGCGTGTTCTGGGTGCCGCCGGTGCCGATGCCGGACTCCTCGATGAAGAACGGCTCGCCGTCGTCGGCATGCCCGTAGGCCCAGATGAAGGCCATCTGCGCCTTTCCGGTGTCGTTGCTGGAGACGATGATGGGCGCCGCCAGGCCGCCCTCGATGGTCGCGTTGAAGCCCGGGCCGTAGATGGTGCCGCCGGTGATGGGCTCGACGATGCGGACGCCGCCTTCCAGCAGAGAGATGGGGCTGAGGGGCGGGCTGAGGTTGACGGTGGCGCTGAAGAGGTAGGTCGAGGTTAAGGTTGTGGGGGTGGGAGTGGCCATCTTCCGTTTTGGAGGATTGTATGAGTGTGGGTGGGTGGGTTATGTGGATTGATTGGTTGGGTGTCAGCTCCAACGACAGGCTTGGAACCGAGATTCGTAGCTTAATGTTTTCTTATTGTCTCTAACCGGGGGGTCAAGGTGCATTGGCTGCCACCTGTGCTCAATATATTGTCGGATGGGATGATAATATTCGGAGTGTACGGACTCGACGACCTCCAACCCAGGCTAGCCCTAATTCCATCCTCCCGCCGGCCGTATATGCGAGGCCTGCCTCCGATAACCCCGGCTCGGAATTCTTCGGTACAAAACCCCCCTCCTGCCTTTTCTCTCTCCGAGTCCGCTGATTGAAGTATGGAAGCATGCAGTGTACCTTTCAACATCTTGGAGTTAATCCTTACAAGCATCGAAGCTAAAACAAATCAGCCCACTGACAATGGTCCCTCCCCTGCGCGTTCCCCCGCTCAACCTGAACCTCAGTCGCGCGACGCCCCGCCCCGCTCCGACTACCACACCAGCTACTAAAAGATCCTCCTCCCCGTCCCCAGCGCTCCTCCGTCCGCACTGCTGCAGCAGCACCACCACTACAGCAATCACCACAGGCAGCAGATCTCTGACAACCCTCTCGCCTCCCAACACCAACAGACCAACAATCCCCCCGCCCAACCCTTTCTCCCGCGCAACCCGATACCACCCAACAGCCACCATGTCGACCGCCATGCCAGCCACGCACGGCCACAACGAAGCCTGCTGCAACATCCCCCCCGTGGTCGCCGACGGCTACATCCCCAAGGGATCCTACGAGCACCTCGGGGGGATGAAGACCTGTATGATGCCCCTGGCCCCTCATTCCCCCCTCCTTTCCCTTCCCCTACAACACCTCAGACTAATAAAGAGAAACAGACGTGACCGGCCCCGCCACCACCACAAAAGGCATAATCTCCATCTTCGACATCTTCGGCTACTTCGACCAGACCCTGCAGGGCGCCGATATCCTGGCCACCGGCGGCGGGGCAAGCCAGCAGTACCGCCTCTTCATGCCGGATTGGTTCAAGGGGAAGCCGTGCCCGGTAGAATGGTGGGTTTTGCCTTTCCAGCCCTTGTTCCTTTCCAGCCCTTGTACCATATACATCATCTACATCCTCCTCCTAGATACAACCCCTATCCACCCTTACCCTTTTACCCCCCCCCCAAAACCCACTCCACCAAACTAATCTGACACATGGTAGGTATCCCCCGGACACCCCGGAGAAACAAAGCAAGCTAGGCGAATGGTTCGGCCAAAACAGCCCCGTGGCCGTCGCCGAGGCCCTCCCCGCCTACGTCGAGGCCGTTCAAGCCGCCAACCCAACCATAACATCGTGGTCGTTGATCGGGGTACGTATATACATACCCCCCTTCCCCATCCCCTTTTCGTTCCCCTTCCCCCGCC